CCCGATGACCGAAGCCCGCAGCCAGGCTCTCGAAGCGCCGGCAATGGCAGGAAGCTTTGGCCTTGCTCGCTCGGCATCTGAGCAGCAAAGCTCTCACTATTTGGGAGTTTCCGAAAATAGGGGACCCTAATATAGTAACCTAAGTAGTAGGGTCCTTGTTATACCCTCCAGAGCCCTGTTCGCGCGCAACATGCGACGGGTTCAGGCTTGCGATTTTGCTGCCGGGCGCAGTACTTTCAGGCATTCTTGCTTCTAGAGGGTGCCAAAGTACTGGTTTTTGCAGCATTTCCTGCACCTGTCCGGGTTGTTCCCGCAGACCTCTGAGCCTCGAAGAAGCTTCAGCCATGATGACGTGCAGATTCAGACTCCATCCATTGCCAGCAGAGCATCCATGTCCATGTGCCAACCATGATGACGTGCAGATCAGACTCCATCCATTGCCGCAGAGCATCCATGTGCCAACCATGATGACGTGCAGATCAGACTCCATCCATTGCCGCAGAGCATCCATGTGCCAACCATGATGACGTGCAGATCAGACTCCATCCATTGCCGCAGAGCATCCATGTGCCAACCATGATGACGTGCAGATCAGACTCCATCCATTGCCGCAGAGCATCCATGTGCCAACCATGATGACGTGCAGCTCTTCGCCTGAAGAGAAAAAATACAGCATTTTTTCGGACAGTCTTGCGTGGCCCAACATCTCGAATTCATTGGCAGGGCCAACGAATTTGCAACATGCGCGCCTTTGCGCGCGCGCGAACAAAGCCCTGGCGCGTTGTTATAAGAGCCCCAAAATCAGGTACCCTAATTTTCGGAAACTCCCGTCTTGAGTGTCACAAGATGTCACAAGTACATAGGTTTGTATCATCATTGGTATTCATGGCTATGGGGGGGGACCAATATGGAATCCTGAAAGCTTCTTGGGTGTGGCTCTTCGTCTGTGTGAAGCTTCTAAGCTACAAAGCTGGATGCGAGAAGGCAACTTTCGAAGCCGGGCACCAAAGCCGAATCTGCTACTGAGGACAGAGGAGGCGTCACTGCAGGTAGATGTTCTTGCAGCCAATGCAGCTATGGCCGCCCTGATGCCTTCAAGCCGCACAGCAGGCAAGAGCTCGCTATTGATTGTTTCGGGGATTCGACAGGCTTTGCGCCGATTGTGAGGCGAAGCCGTACCATTCGGAAACACTCAACTTCAGGCAGTCTGTGGCATATGTGCCGATGTGGGTATGATTTGTTACATTTGCATCCCTGAGGAGGTGCTTCCGTACCAGGACGACCAGACAGTGCTATCTGGAGGCACGGACTTGAGAGTATCTGTGTCGATGTATCTGTTCGATTGCGCATGTGCGTATGCAAGCATGTGTGCATGCATGACCTGCTGGTAATACGCGCATGTGTACATGTGTGCATGCAGGTATGTGTACATTGTACATATACACATGTAAACATGGATACAGACATCCACACTGTCTTCTCCATATACATGGGTGTTGTGCGGACACGCGTAAGTACATAAATGCGATGGACGGACAGATCATTGTGTGTATCCATGCGCAGAGACACTCACAACCGCTGCATCATGTTATGCGGTGGCGCGCTCTCAGAGTATCGAAATATAGAGGTAGGAAAGTAGGTACCAGTCTTCTTCTTTGTGCCCACCAATGCCAATGCTCTCTGAAACCCGCGCGTGTGTGTGTGTGTGTGTGTGAGTGTGTGTGTGTGTGTGTGAGTGTGTGTGTGTGTGTGTGTGAGTGTGTGTGAGTGTGTGTGAGTGTGTGTGAGTGTGTGTGAGTGTGTGTGAGTGTGTGTGAGTGTGTGTGAGTGTGAGTGTGTGAGTGTGTGAGTGTGCGTGTGTGTGTGTGTGTTTGTGTGCGTGTGTGTGTTTGTGTGTGGGTGTGTGTTTGTGTTTGTATGTTTGTGCGTGTGGGTGGATATGTATGTGGGTGGATGTGTGTGTGTGTGTATGTGTCTGTTTGTTTGTGCAGGTGTCTACATTAGTCAATATACATATTTGGGATTATTTGGGTGGTCATATATCCTGTTCAGCTAATATGGGTTATGTCTTGTATGTTTCTAAACTCGAAATCATTGTCTCGAGTTGCCCCGAGACCGAAGCCACGCGAATATGCGCGAATTGCCAGGCCAAGCCAAGCTTTGCCTTCAGTTGCAGGTACCCCTCCGTACTGCTTCAAGCTCAATTGGAATACGACGCTGACGCTAGCTCCCCGTTGCAGCGTGGAGCTAGCAGCTAGCATTCAAACCCACGTCCAAACACGGCACTTTAGTTCCTTATAGTTCATCTTGTAGAATATGACACACTCAGGAAGCCGACCCGTATTGCCCCCGAGCTTCTTGTCGCAGGCGCTGCATAGAGATGTACGACGGCCTGGCTGTAGACGGAATGCGCCCCGATGTGCCGCTTGTCCTTAATTTTCAAAGGCCCTCCATCCGGGTGCTCGGTTTGCGGGCCTGCCTTGGTCTGCAAAAACCCTCGTTGAAGTAAGGTTTTCCACCAGCACGGCCATCAACAGCTGCGGAGCCTACGGCCGTTGGGGCTCCGCGCAGAACCTTCTCGACACCAGTTCTGCAAGCTTCAGTGAAGTGTTTCAGCCACGGTTCTTGTGGTTTCCCCAGGAAGTCATGCGGCTTCAGCATATCCGGCGTTGCTTTCAGATCCTGGCGAGCGCTGGTTCATGTTTACGGCTCCTTTCCGCTCAGCCCAGTCTCCAGTCACCCCGCTAAGCCCGGAACTCCTAAACCTTGAGATCCAACCTAGACGATTCAGGAAGTGTCCCATGCAAAGCAGATCCATCCCAACGACGTCTCTATCTCCGCTGCCGTGGCCGCATCTCGCCTGCCACAGACTACGGTTGTTGTCATGCTGTGGCTGCTTATTATGACTGTTATCACGACTACTGCTAATAGTTGTTGGATAGAGCCGCTCCCGGATCACCACGATTCACTGTGATTTCCTCAGACTGGTTCCAAATACAACCTGCAGTGCCTTTTCTTCGCGAAGTTTTGCATTGCATGCAGCGACGTGAAATTGTGTGGGGTGCAAGCTAGTTTACCCTTCGATGTGCTCCACCCTTCGTTTCGAAGCGGGTATGATTACATCACCGCTTGAAGTCTGATTCAGTCTGAGCAATGCAGGTAGCTGGCAAAGAATGCAAAATGGTCAGAGATAGTTGCTGCCCTCCGAGTATTCTCAGTCTTCTGTGCAATCTCTAACTCTAACCCCTGTAAACCTTAAACCCCATAGGCCCAAAACCCCAAAACCCCTAAACCCTACCCTAAGCCCTAAACTTGTAGGCCCTAAACCAGAAGCCCAGACCCAACGTTAGGCCTTCGCCGCCTCGCCGTGGCGCTGGCCGCAGGGCCTCGACTTGCTGGCGCGCGCGGTGGAGTCCGGGCTCGCCCGGGCCCTAAACAAACTCACATCGAAGAATCTGAGGCTGTTGACGGGTTTAGGGTTTAGGGGTTTAGGGTTTAGGGCTTGATCTCGAAAAGCCTTCTAAGCTTGGGACATCGGGGTCATGTTTCAGTATCTGCCCGTAAAGGTTGCAGACGCGGTGACACTCAATGCGGTGGTGAATCTGGTGGAGCTCGGTAGCGGCTGGCAAAGGCCGCTTGGCGACGACTCGACGACTTGCTGGCGGCATTAGAAGCACTGAAAGGATCCCATGCGAGTTTGTGACAGAAATCTCAGAATGGAATCAGCCGACTTTTTGGGATGCATGGGAGTCGTCAGGTCGTCGCAGCTGAAGTCGAAGCAGCAGGACAAAGGGGCACATCCAGCCAAGCAAGGGCAGCCAAAAATTGAAATTCACCGCGGCGGGCCGAGTTGTAAGTTTCAGCAGGATGCACGGACTTAGCTGTAGCTGTACTGGCCCTATAGTCGGAGCCCTCGCATGTGCCGCTCGTAGGACCATTTTTCCTTTGGGAGCCGAATGGGAGCCTTAGCTCGCGAGGCCCTCTGGGACCAGGCCGAGGATGACTAAGAAAAATGGGGAGGGACCTGACTACGGTAACTCTTAGTCAGTACAGTTGCAGGGTTCCCAGGCTTTTGACAGGCCTCTGTCTTACCTTCTGTTACAGGTTTGGTGTTGGGTCCGACAGCGTCTGTGCACGCCGTGAGTTTGCTACAACACAATCATTCATGCTGCATCCTGCACGACGAAGACGTTCTAAGCTCGCCGCATGGTGCGTCCCATCCCGAGTCTGCCTGCTTGACTTCGGATCTTCCATGCAAGTTCGGCGCAGGCTCTGGTCTGTCTTCAGTGTCTTGCAGAAGCCCGAAACTAGACTGCAGACGGTGGACTTGTCTTCGCAGTGGGTCAGACGCAGATAGGCTTTGCCCTCTTTCCCGGCAAGAGCCCACACCAATCCACTCCGAAGCTGTGAAGATCTGTGAATCCTGAAGATCTGTAAATTCCGACGGATGCGCCCAGGGCTTTCCAGCAACGACGTCACCGCTGCAGCGGCCTTGAACTCCGTCCGGGAGCATTGGGGCGTGGGAGTCAGGCCTGGGACTTCCCAGATGCAAAATTCAAGAGGGCCGAAGAGGTGTACTCTCTACAGTACCTTCCTGAAGGTCCCGAATTCCTGGGAACGACGGAGGGTTCTTTCACCGATGAGCCTGTCTTCACCGGTCGCAGCGGATGCTTTCATAAAGTCCCAACCCAGCAAAATCTGAAGGCAAAGCCTCGAAGCCTCGCTTGCAACATCCTGGCGGAGGCTTTTCCAGCACATGGCTCGGCGATCCCTTCGCTCGAACGCGGTTCACGTGGCAACCCGGCTGGGTCGTTCGCAGGAGGAGGGAGGTCGAAGATCCTCGACATCGGGTGGTCCCTCTGAACTTGCATGATCTTGCATGAATTTGGAAGGCATCCTTGCTCGGAGCCTTTGCCGCAGGAGCCCCGGATCAGGGCTTGAGGCCGTCGCCCGTTGTGGAGAATCCGGTTCCGGCTTTTAGGGGGCTTCGGAGGCGAACTATGAAAGCTTCCGACTTTAGACCTAGTGTCTTGCATCTCCTGCATTCAGGAGCCACTTGGACTCGTGCACTTGCACTACTGCGCGGCAATTCCGGCATGATGGCCGTCCATACTGCTTCCCTGACCGCTGGGCTTGGAATCTAGATGTTGAGATTACGCTTCCTGCAAATTGCAAACACACCCTCTTGACTCCAAATCTTGTTCAGCTGCACATGATTCGCTGCGAAGCTTCCTAATGGGTGCCACGGGTTCGTGACATGTTCGGCGGCCTGAGGAAACTCTTCGTGACGTTTCATGTTCGACTGTCTGCCGTGCCAGAATATGGGGGTTTCTACAAATAGGGGGTACCTGATTTTGGGGTCCTTATAATAAGGATCCATTTACGGTACTATATCAGGGTCCCCTGTTTTCGGAAACTCCCATATTGGCCCCACTGCAGGAGCGGCCCTGTGGTCAAGAACAATGCCATCAAAGCCCACGAAAATCCCAAGGAGGGGAATTTCGGGAAAAGTTGTTTTTTCGTCCCTAAACCCTCGACCCTAATCTAAACCGATTTCAGTACAGAACCAGACGTTCGAAAGGTTGGCCTTTGTCTGCTCGTAAAGGTGTGCGAAAACCTTTTCAACTCCAGTCTTTCAGCAGTGTGTGTGTGTGTGTCAACAGGTAGTGGTAGGTATAGATGAATGAGTCAAGTGTATGTATGTGAATATAAAGACATATACATGCGCACATACATATACATATACATATACATATACATATACATATATATATATATACAAACAGTCATGTGTGTGTGTGCGTACATGCATACACCTGTTGTAGATATCTATGTTATGATGTATGGATGTGTGTATGTATGTATGCATACATGCATGGATGTATGTATGCATATATATAGACACACACACACATGGGTTTGAGAAAAAACCCGGTTATAGAGATTTAAGAGCTGGTGGCCCTATATGTTGGATTCACTGTAAAACGATAAGGAATAAATTTTAACGATAAGATTTCTGTTTTCTCTGTCAGCATATCTCAGTATGGCAGGGATGTACAAGTAATGCAAAAGAACTCTCAAACCCCAAGTAAACGCAGCAGACGTTTTAAACGCAGCAAAGCTGCTTCAAGAATCCCGCAATGTTGGTGCTGAGTCATATCGAGTTTTTTGGCCTGTGGTTCTTGTGGTCATAGGAAACAAGACGAAAGAGTCCTCGCCACCCCACAAGAGCCCAGGTCAGACTAGCAGACGCCTGAAAGCCAGAAGCTAATCAACAAATCTACATCGTTGGCATTCGAGAACTGTGCTTCCAACTTCCAAGTGTGGCAAGTGTATATCTTGACCCTAAAATCGGTTCGCGGTAGTGAGGTTTAAACGATAACCAAAACGATAACCCGAACGATAAGGTTTGGGATCAGAAATTGTGTTTTGTGAGCACTTGTTCATGTTTGTATAGAGTCAGTACTAAACGATAGGAAGGCGAATGAATGCGTGCAAAGCGAGTGCGCATTACTGTTACCACTACTCTTATTAGTATTGTTACTATTGATATGAACACTACTAGCATTACTACTGTTATTCTTACTGTTGAATTTTTATTGTGAATGTATTGGTATTATCATGACTATTACTATGGTTATGACTATTGCGATTAACTAGTGGTGCTATTATTACTACTATGTCCATTACAATTACTATTGCTAGTACTATTGCTATCACGACTAGTCACTACCACTATCACTATTACTATATACCATCACCGTCACTATCACTATTACCATTTCCATGACTATTGCTATTGCTCTTATTCTTACTCTTGCTAAGCTATTTATAGCTAATAGAGTCTCAGTTTGCCAGTAGCACCCTTTTGCCCTTTTATTGTATGGGCTCCCTTGTTAAAACTGCATCTGGTCAACGGGACACTGGGGAACCAGGCAATATAGTATTATTGCTATTGCAATTGTTATAATTACTATTAATCTACTGCTGCTACTAATATTACCTTGATTAACAAGATCCCAGAGGCTTTGGCAAGGACTGAGGCAATCATTCGATGTAGCCATATAGATAAACATGGCTCGGGGCTTGTAAAACGATAAGGAATAAAATAAAACGATAAGATTTCAAATAGGGATAGGAATCCTTGACTGGGTTTTTTTGCAAACCCACATATGCATGTATGTACGTATGTATGCATATGTATGTATGTATGTGAGTACGTATGCATGTACGTATGTACATGTGTACATATATATATATATATATATACATATATATATATATATATATGATCCCAGTTCTCGGTTCACCAGCCCCCCAGCCCCCCCCCCCCCCCCCCCCCCCCCCCCCCCCCACGCTCCCCAAGCCGAATCTGTGTGTGACTGTGCAAGCTTTTTCCACACGAGGGCTCACACGCCAAGCAGACCCACGCAGCACCACACCACAGGTGGGGGAGGAGGAACCATTGGGGGGGGGGAGGGGGGGGGAGGGCTGGCCGAACCGGGATCATATATGCATATGTCTGTGCGTAGTTGTATGCATAAGTGTATTCGTGCGAGTATGGGTATGCATATGTGCATGTGTATGTCTATGTAGATTTAGATGTGTATATATATATATATGTATATGTGTATACACATACACATAGACATATACATGAGCACATACATATACATATATCTACATATACATATACATATTGACATGCGCATATACATGTACAGATACATATACATATGTATGTCAATGCATGCACATATACATGTACTGTACATATACATATATACCTATATAATCAATACTCACATACTTACATACATACAGCCACTTATTTATAAACATCCCTCTCTCTCACACCCTGCAGGCTTGGCCCTTTGCTTTAACCTTGCTCCGGTCGCTGCATTTGGATGCCCCTGAGTTCGAGATCATTGTTCTGATCTTTTCGCAGCCTGCGGAGTTCGGGTTAAGGGTTTAGGGGAAGTCAACACCATAGGACATCAGTGTAGGCAGAGGTGCTTGTTTGCCCAGGCCCAGTTATTTGTGGTATAGACTGCTGGGAACCGCCTTCCTTTGCCAGTGCACCAGTGATCTTAAAGTTTGATGGCTGACTTTCGCTGGCACGACTGAGAATGAAAAGTAAAAGTGTCTTGGGATTCTTGCAAGATTTCACCCTGAGCTCAGGTGCAACCTCGGGATGTCGTTTCCTACAACTCTGCGATAGACGGCTGCGCAGCCGGCAACAGCTGGCAGGCTGCTTGCGATCTGTACGAGGACCGACATGATCTCCTTTGTGGCGTCTGACTTTTGTGGCATCCTAGACTCAGTTACAGTGTCCAAACACTTCAACTGGGATCGAAGCCATGACGGCACCAGGAAATCCTGCTGGTGAGTCCCAGCTGTTCTCGGACAGTCGTTAGCTGGGTGCTCAGTCCGCCGGGCTCGATCGGATGCCGAAAACCAGGTTGCAAGTGGCCGGGGAAGGAGCAACCCGGCTAATGAATGAAGTTTTTTACTGGCACACCACAGCATCGCTGCGCACACAAAAACCGTCGTCGACACACGACGTGTCATGTTTCGCGCAGCGCCGGGGAAACACCACGTCCCGAGATGCAGATGCAGACGTATGCGGCCCTAATTACAAATTACGGCCAAGACAGGCCATGTCTGAACTTCAGGTGTCTCCGCGAAAATTACACGGCCTAATCACAACTCCGTGAAGAAGCTATCGTTGAGCAAACTTTGAACTTGATGTCCCTGGTAGCATTCATAGTTTCATGAACCCTTGAAGAGTTCCTCTAGAGGCCTCAATAATTACCAATACTATTTTGGGGGTTCCTTTTTATAATTAGAGTATAATGGGCCCCAAAACCCTACTCTAATTATTAAGACCCCTGCATAAACCAGGTGTGCATGCTTCTGCCGCTGCTGCAGCTGCCGCTGGGCGCTGGCGAAGTGCCGCAGCCACGCTGGCGCCCCTTCTCTCCGGCAAGGCCAGGGGACCAGCTGATCCAAACTCTCAGCAGTAGCAGAATCTGTAGAAGTAGTAGTAGTAGTAGTAGTAGTAGTAGTAGTAGCAGTAGCAGTAGTAGTAGTAGGAGTAGGAGTAGGAGTAGGAGTAGGAGTAGGAGTAGGAGTAGGAGTAGGAGTAGGAGTAGGAGTAGGAGTAGGAGTAGGAGTAGTAGTGGTAGCAGTAGTAGTACTGTAGTACAAGCAGTACTAGAAGGAGGCACTTTGAAAGCGGCTTTGGCAGAGAAGTGGTGGGCCTCATGCCACGCCTAACATGCCAAGTCGGATGAGGTGACATCGCTCCGCGCCGATGCCAACGGCCCAGCCGAGACGACGTACGTTCTGTGCTGTACTGGGGGTATGCCTCAGGCGATTGATGCATCGTTGACTTGAGTTCCCAGACCGTCAGGAAGACAGCAAGCATCAGCACGAGTTTGCAAGCTCCGCTCCTGGCATAAGCGCAATCTAGCAGCCGACACATTGAAACCGAACTGCCACCGACCTTGCCCAAAAGGCGGACGACATCTTCTTGCGAATCAGCTGCATCCCTCTACCATTTCACGCCTGACAAACTGCACAGCTTACGCTTAGCTTGTCTTGTGCCTTGTTGCTGCCAGAACCTGACGAAGAAGATTAGAACCGACCAACAGTGACGACGAAAACGATGACATCAAATGCTGGTAGCCCAATGCTTCTTAATTGTCTGCATGCTCGCACCGTCACATCACAGCTTACCCGTGAGCCAAACCACAAAGCAAAGCGAGTCTGCGAGACACTTCTATTAGGATGATGAGCATGAAGTAGTCACAGTCATCCCCGACCATAGCATGTCAAACAAAGTCTGCAGAGCAGCGACATGTCGTAGCTGCGACACGAGCACTCCAAGTACTTCTCATAAACACGCTGTGGGGTCCCAACCCCACACCACAGTCTGTCCGTCCCTGAAATGAAGGCAAGCATCCGCGAGCTCTTGAGTGCTAAGAATCAGGCCGCCTCAATGTTTCCAAGTTAGCGGCCTTGAACCCTTTTTTCGCTTTATCTCTCGGACTTCATAGGTCACATGACGATATTGCCAAACTTGTCCTGATGGTTTTTGTGGACCACATAAGAATCCCATCAACTGTCTCGTCCGCCTTTGAGATCTTTCCGTGGAAATGTCTGTAGGTGCCGGTTCGAGATGATGAAATGGCCCTGATCCTAGAGCCTCGCTGCCTAGGCTGTCACTTACAATGCGGCGATGAACGCATGTGACTTGGACTTGGCCTGGCCTCGCAAGCATAGTTTCCCGTTACCTTGAAACCTCGGACTCCGAAGCCTGCTAATACACGTCGCGGAAAGTTGCTGCAACGGGCTGGAACATCTGCATCTTGTACGACGCTTTGCGGTTTGTTGCAGAAGACGCGTACGGTTGGGGTAGCAAAAGGAAGCCGACGTCCGTGACCGTGAGAAGCCTTCGGCGAATTGGCAACACCAAGAACCGAGGCCTGCATTCGACGAAGGAGCGACGTGGCATTCCAACAGCCGAGGAGACGCCAGGTTCCAAAGAGGCCACTCAGAGCGAGTGTTTCTTCTTCTTCCTTATACAGTATGGCGAACATGTGATCACATCACGGTGGGAGTTTGACTAACAAACCTCCTCCGTGCCGGAAGGTAGATCCGCCCAACGGTCCGGGTCATCCTGGCCCCCCAAGCAACCTCAACGGCAGCAGCACGGCAGAGCAGTAGCCGTAGTGCGAATAGGAGGAGTACGAGTAGGAGGAGCACTACTCCATTTTATAAAGAGCCCTTGGCAACTCGAATACGGGCCCGGATTCACCCCGTGTGCAGATTTCCTGGCGCCGCTCCTTGCAGTTGCGCATGGAGCTTGGCCAGGCCGGGTGGGAGCCTGGGTTTTGCGGGGCTTGGTTTTTTTGAGTTTATGGGGGGAGGGGGGATTGCATGGATCTATGTAGTTTCATACTAGCATGGTTTGCAAGAAGGTGAAGAATGTAGTAAGTGTTACCAACTAATTATTATCGATTGCATTCTGTAGAGACCTCGCAGAAGAGTCTTTACAAGGCAGCTGCTGGAGTAGGGCACTGCCAGGCACTGTGGGGAAACCAGGAAGCGTCCCTTCCTTCGGAACCGCAGCAGCCCAGAGCACCCTTTTCCGGAGCCTCGGGGCATCCTTAAATCCGAAACCCTAACTAAACGGTTTAGGGTTTAGGGTTTGGGGTTTAGGGTTGATTCTGTACTGACATGCCTCGACCCAGGACCACGCGTATGACTCAATGCAAATATGCAAGAGCAACCTTGATGCTTATAACTGATGCAGACATTCAGGCAGGGAGGTCCAAGGTATATACTATGTCCATATTACAAAGCCAGAAGAATTCCAGACCCTGGTGCAACTAAGCTCTTACTGCATGTGTCTCCAGAGAGTTTCCAGATCTTTCATGAATATAGGGCCGTATTAGTGAATATAGTTTTAGTATAATATACCCCAAAACCCTATTCTAATTATTTTCGGCACCTATGTTAAGATGTTCCTCGACAGTGCGCAACTTCGGTATGAGCTCTGGAGGCCTCCTTGGTGCCCGATTTGGTCTCAGTGAACCTGGCGCTCGCATGCTTTGCTGCCGGTCGAGGGCAGCTCGGCAGAGAAGTCCTGTTGACATGCCGGTTCAGTTTCGGATGAAGTGCTAGAGAGCCCAAAGCCAGCTGAAAGAAGAACTGTGTGGTAGCCTGGGCTGCTTCAAAAATCGTGATGAAGCCGTAAGTTGTTCATTTATGCCCTTATGCTCTGTGATTATCGGATGTCCGGGGCTTCAGAATATAGCCTGTTTGTTATTATTATTTTTTATTTGACTTGAATTGAATCTTGGCTGGCCCCTCAATCCGAGCCCCCGAACCTGCATGGGCCGGCCCCTCAAGCCGGGTGGCTTGGGTTGGAATTGGACTCTTGCCAAGACAGCCCACTTCGCAGAAAAAAAAGCTCTTCCCTGGATCCCTGAAGGAGATTATCTGGGGGCACTGGCTCAGAGATGGGGATCTCAGCACCAGCAGAGATACTAAGTACAAGAAGGATCAAGAAGGAATTTCAGCCAATGCCCTTGTCGCTGCAAAGACGAGCTATCCCCTTGACATGTGGGGCGATCCCTGATGCTGAAGGCATCACCCTTCGACCTGAAGTGAGGCTTCTTGCATGTAAATCATGTGCCACCAAAATATGAACAAGAGTTCGTCAGCATCAGGAAGCAAGACACCTTGAATCCAAAAGACTTGTTTGTCTTATGACTGCATTTGCGCCATATTTGGCTGTTTGGGTTCTTCGGCTTGTTTCACTGATGGCCATCGCCTGTTACGTGGGTTTGCTGCAACGCAGCCCATCCCAAAAATTCAAGGTGGCAGGAGGCCCTCAATTACGGCGAGCAGGCTGGCATCCTGAGCCCAGACCCTTGGCAGAGAAACGCGCAGTTGAAGTGTTCAATATAGGGGAAAGGCCACTGCAGTGCCAGAAGTCGAATGCTTCAGTGCGCAAGCGAAGCAAACATGAGTTGCAGAGGCCATCCGTCACTTTTGAAGCAGAGCAGGCAAGGTAGATGCCAGATCCCTTGAGTCTTCATGCTCGCGCTCTTCCATTTCAAGCCGCAGCAACCTCTTTCCAAGGATTCCGGCCAAAGCCAGCGTCCCGACGAGGCTGCGCCATCTGTCTGGGTTTTGTCTATGTGTCCTGGGGGCATTCGGGTGGGTATGGCTGCTGTGTACCCATTGTTTCGGAAGTCGGCTTTCGAGTATCCGGACACTGTCAAAGCCCACCTTCTTCGGAGGATCACTGCCTGAAGGGGAGCTCGTAATCTCCTGGCCTGACTTGGCCACCAGAGCGACAACCGGGGCCTCTCCCCCCCAAAGTCGTCTCTTAACAAGCCTAGACCTGTAAGCCCACAGCCCCTGCAGGTCACCTTCGGGGCCCTGCTCGGTGCCCGCTTCCCGCGGGACTTGGCTATGAAGCTGCTGCAGGCGATGAGAGCAGAGGCCGCGAGCTACAAATGCATGAGCTAGCTTGACTCCTAGGCCGTAGTTTGTGTTGGGTTTTGAGCTGGGGCTTCAGGTTTTCAGATAAAGGATTTCCCGCGAGCAACATGGAAGGTGTTCTTGCATTGTTCCGGCAACGAGGCTTCCAAGTAACTGCTATATGGGTCTTGCCACACAGACATTGGAGTTGAAGAGCTTTCATACTTGACTTGTACGTAAAGACCTTTTTCTTGCAGATTCCACTGGGTTTGTGCTATGGGGGAAATGCGGCTGGTACACCTGACACCTGAAGTGTATCTTTACGGTAGAGTCACGAGTCAGCGACATCTCTTTGTGATGTCTCGGGATGGTGACTTCCAGACTATCTTGGATGGATGAGCATGGCAAGCAATAACCTGCGCACAGGAGAATATAGTCGCCACTCGTACTTTTGGGTGCCCGCATTCCAGTTTCGACACTTTTGGAAATGTCGTTCCTCGTATCCCGAGGCAGCACCGATCTGGGACTGAAGGTAAAACGAGCCGACCGTGCGCGAGTTGTTCTTCTGACGAGTAATCAAGCATAGCCGCAAGGCTAGTCGGCTTTATACAGTACCCTACAGTTTAGCAGCATAAGCTTGTTTCCGACCTACATGAGCTACACTTGCACCGCACAGCTTGCCTATGCATGGCAGAACCATGCATGAGCAACAGCAGCCACAGGACCTGGAACCGAATGCTGTCACCCATAGCGCTGTGGTCAGTGCCCTGATTGCATGAGACGTAAACGTTTGAAGGCTCGAAACACTTTGACGCTTGAGTCGTGCCCAGGTGCGCAAGAAGTCGAGGTCTTGGGATCCGGAAGGCTTTAATTATTCCGTCACTCGGGGTTGTGCCTGCTGCGTCACTTCCTTTTGAGAGGTCGCTTCGTCTTGCTCGCTCTCAATCCAACGTAGTCTGCAATGCCCCAACCAGAACTTCGCGACCATGATCGCCCGCTGAGTCTGTCATTGGGAACTCACGTTGCCAGTGTTTAGGTATCTACCGTACGAACCCAACATACAAGCAGCAACATGTATCACGTGCCGTAGGGCTCTCGTTATACTGATTGATATTGATTGATTTGTTGATCCATCCACAACTGTGGTCAACTTCCGGCGACTAGTAACTACCTTGCTTGGCCTGGCAGCAACCGACGCCATCCGGTCCGGCCACTGCAGGCGCTTGTGAACGCGACGGGCCACTTTGCTGAACATACTCTGCTTGCTTCTCCCAGTGCACTGCAAAAACTACCTGGTTACCTCTACAACAGATCGCAGCTAGTGAGGAAGGCTCCCAGTGCTTTTGCTGCGTCCACTTCGTTTGCTGTGCTGTGGCTGCTGTTGCTGTTGCAGCTGCTGATGATGCTTATGATGATGACATTTTGATGTTCATGTTGATGATGATGTTGGTGGTGCTGCTGCTGCATGCTGCTACTGCTACTGCGATTGCGACTGATACAGTTCCGGCTGAGCTGCTTCCGTGGCTTCTTCTTGTTAGTACTACTGTTCAAATGCTCCTTATTGTTGGTCTTCTTATCCATCTTATCGTTGCCGGCACTCCTGCTACTGCTGACGATGCCACAGCCTCCGCTGTCGTGGAACTTGTCACTGCTACGGTCTGTTGATGTTGTTGTTGCTGCTGCCAATGCGTTAGAAGTTGCTGTTGCTACTACGATTGTTGTTGCTGCTGCGGCTGCCGCTGCTGCTGCTGCTGTTGTTGCTGCTGCTGTTACAGCTCTTGTTGCGCTTGTCGTTGTGGTCGTGCTTGTCGTCGTCGCCGTTGTCGTCGCTGCTGGTGGTGGTGGTGGTGGTGCTGCTGCTGCTGCTGCTGCTGCTGCTGCTGCTGCTGCTGGTTTTTCAGCTTTTCTTGTCATTGTTCTTCTTGCCCTTGATGATGCTGTTGCCGCTAGTGCTGTTGTTGTCAGCCGCTGCCAGTGCACCGGCTGTTACTGTGCGCTGCCGACGTTATGGGTGGTGTCAATTTCAGGATGGTGCTTTCAGGATGCTTTCAGGTCTTGAACCAGCAAAACCCTATGACTGATCGTGCTTCGGAACGATAGCTGTCCATGCTCCTTAATGGGGACCCCTACCCTATAGTGGGCTATATAACGGGTATATCATAGCTATATTGGACCTAACTACACTTTTACTTGTTGCTCCTTCCGGAAATCGACTTCTCAGCTTCCGAGCATAAGTAGGTAGTTCTGGCTTCACTCAGCCTCGGGCGAAGTGCCGGAGCTCGTAAGTTGCGGTTCCTATTGTTTGCTCGTCAAGCGCCGCAAGAAGTCCCACACATGTTGGCTGATTTCCAGTCCTCTCCATTCTCGTTTCATTCAAGCTGCAGGCTTTGCCGGCCATGTAATGTTTGGGGGGGCCAAACCATCCTCGAAGCTCTTCAGGAATCCACTGGGGGCCCCGAGCTCGCTTTGGGGACTCGGCGGCACCGACGCATTCCGCAGGCACACATGTCGGTGACGGGGGGTTTCGTTCTGGCTTTCGTGTTTGATTCGCGGTCCGACGAGCCATAGTTTTGAGAAAGGGGCATGCATGAACGCAGAATCATATTATATTCCTGTTAGACTTCAAGATGACCTCCCGCCTGTGCTTCCCGGTCTCTACTTTCCAACACGCACCCGCAGCAGCGCATGCTCTCTCTCTCTCTCTCTGCCTCCGTCTCTCTCGCTGTCTCTCTCCCTGTCCGTCTCGGTCTCTTTCTCTCCCACACACTCATTGAAGCCACTCAGCAGCTTTAAGGGCTTTCGGCTTGAAGGAAGCACCTCGGAGCTTCAGAACGGGGATCCCAAGCTCCCACAAAGCTTTGCCCATGGGGGGATCAACTGAAGCCGTGGAAGGCTCTATGCTGCGCGGACCGCTCGCCCAAACGGATGAAGACAAAATGCCAAAAAAAGCCCTGAGTTTAGTTTCGGATCCAGGGTTTTACGTGTTTTGGCGTAGGGTTGGGGCCTTGAAGGGCTGAAGGGCCGTGGGTGAATGGATGTTTGAGGGGTTTAATTAGAGTCTGAAGAGCCGGAGTAGTTCAGGGAGAGCGGAGGTCCGACGCTTCATGCCTCTTTTGCATGAAACTATGCATTATAATTCTTGGCCACATCGCAGACAGCTTAGTTACAACTCCTCTGTTCGCCAAACTTGGGTTCGAGCTCCAGTTTCGGGTTCACCGAGCTAGCTGCTTGTTTCGACGGGTCATGCAGTACAAAGACGACGCCGAAAGAAGAATCTGGAAATTGGCAGCCATAGCTGCGATCACCAGAGTTGATGGTCATGATAACAGTAGCCATATCATGCAGTATCGCAATGTACAGATACATTCAGGTAAAGCTATGACTGGTGATCCCGTATAAACACATATATATATATATATGTATGTATATACACACACATGTCTTTTAGCATCAACAGATAAGTACATCGAACAAAAGAATATGCATGTGTGTGTGTGTAAGTATGGATGGAGGGATGAATCGATGCATGCATGGATGTACGGATCCATAGGTGCATACAGGGATGCACGGACGGGCAGACTGATGGATGGATGGATGCTAGCGAGGTACCTAGGTAGCTGGGCAGGTAGGTGGGCAAGCAGGCTGGCCGGCAAGCAGGCAGGCACATAGGTCAGGTCGGAGGCAGGCAGGGAGGGAGGGATGTAACTGTAAGTTGGTAGTTAGGTATAGGCATAGGTACATACGTAGGTATATAGGTAGGTATGTAAGTCGTTGGTGCAAGTGTGTATGCGTACTGACTGGATGGATAGATGGAGATGGATGGATGGATTGATGGATGGATTAGGCTGGATGGATTAGGATGGATGGATTAGGCTGGATGGATGAGCATGGGTGGATGAGCATGGGTGGATGAGGATGGGTGGATGAGGATGGATGGATGAGGATGGATGAGGATGGATGAGGATGGGTGGATGTTTGTGACATCCGGCTCTTTATCTGCAACGAAACCCGAGATGAATTGCTGTTTACCACAATGATTCTTCCTTACAGCTGTTCGCGCCGAGGGCGTGGCACATGGCCCTGGCGCTCATGTCGGATGGCCCTTTCAGGACGCAACCTCAAGGTTTCAGGCTTGGGGTCCTGGGGTTCAGAGAGGAAGTAGCCACTGCCGATCTGGACCGCAACGCAACGGGGAACATGTTCGATTCTGGGCCGTGCAAAAAAAAGCATGGGGTGGCAGCCACTGACAGTATACTGAAGTTGTTCTACTGTACTATTACTGTCACTAGTAGCGAAGCTAGGAACTTAAAATATTGGTGGCACTCGTGGCACTATCAGCAGTACTCGTAGCAGGAGGTGGAGTAATTAGCACTGGTGGCCACTGACATTTGCGATGGGAAGGACCCTTTACATATGCGGTTCGGAGCCCTCAATGTACTAATCACTTATGGGCCTAGGAGTGAGTGAGTGTGTGTGTGTGTGTGTGTGTGTGTGTGTGTGAACGGCTGTCACCACTTCAATCTTTATCTCTTTGGAGTTCAGGGTTTAGTGCTTGATTAAGTGATGAATCCCAGCTCCACACATCCTGTGGCACAAATCAACCAACGCAAGTATTCCCCGAATATTAAGCTTTCTTTCTCGGCCCATGTCGAATGTTTAGGGCAGAGGGCGTGTTCTAGTATTGGGGTGGGGTGATCATCACTATGTTTCAGCACGATGTCATCCAACTATCCCGAGTTGTTGCTGTTTCGATCCTTCATCCCGTGTATCGTCTCCGCCCTTTCAGTATGTTTCCACCGCGCACGGGCGGGATTGGGTTGCTATGCCTGCTTCCCCAAGACAAATTGTATCCCTGGCACAACCTGGAGGCCAGACGTGGTGACATACAACGCAACCATGGACGCCTGTAGCAAGGCAGGAAGCTGCGCACGTCCACATTCATGTTGGAAATGCATTCGAGATGGTGTTACGAGTTTATTCCCTTACCCTTCCACGTGAGCGACGACAACTTTGCACAATGACAAACAGCTCCTTTCCTCATTCTCCTCCTCAGGTTGTCAGAACGCAGACTTGCCATAGCACTTGCCATCCAGCATCGCCACAACAAACTTTCATCGCTGCAAGCTTGCTGCACAATCTCAGTAGGGTTTCTCTTTTGGTCTAGTCGGCTCGCAGCTGTGCCGCTGATTGTCAGCATGTTCATCGAGGGTTCTGACCGGTCACTTGACATCATTGCTCTACTCGTAATGTGCTCTCAACTCAACGGGATTTCGTCCTTCCTAGGGACACCTCTCGAGTATTTCAGTTGCTCAGCTCTTCGGCTACGCCACATGACTTCGTTCCGGCACCTGAGGGCACAGGCCCCCGACGAGGACGCCGCACGGGCGTTCTTTTTGCGGAACATCCCCGCGAAGTGCGATGCGGAAATCTTGCGCAACTTCCTCCAGTCAAAAGGTTTGACAAACTTCCACATGGAGATGGCGCTGTTTCCGAACGGCAAGTCGCGGGGCTACGCAGTGATCCGGATCCGCGACAGGTTCGTAGTGCAGAAAGTCATCGACAAGATCCACGGTCAATTTATTCCTGGCTTTCACAAACCAGCCCCACTCTGCTGGGAGCCGTTGATCGACCGAAGGCTGCCGAGACGTGTTCAGCGCCCGAACTTCGTGCCGGCAGAACGGCCGCAAGCATTGCCAGCCGGGGTGTGCCGGTATGACTTTGACGGCCACAACATGCCGGGCAAGGAGGGCATTTTAAAGGCATCAAACGTACAGGCAGATGCTTCTTCCGGACTGACAGCCACGGGGACAGGTGTTCCCAACAGCGAGCCTGGACGACAACTTGCTTGCAGTGTCGCAGAAGGCACGGACACAGCTGTCGCTTTGCCGAGTCAGATGGCGCCCATAGAAGCCACCATGCAAGGCAGGCAGGCATGTTCTGTCTTGAGACATGAGCCAGCTTGTACGATAGTGCTTAGTGCCGAGGGGAAGCTCAGTTGTTTTCTTTAGGAACATGGCAACACCTGTTGCATTTGTCCAGAGCGTGTGGCACGCAGCGTGGTTTATGTCAGTTCATGGGTTCTCAATGTCAATGGTTGTCTGGGCTGTTCATCACGGAATTTGCCCAATAGAAGCCGGAGTATCTAGATTCTGGACTGCAGGTTTTGTTGACACGACCTGCAGCAGCAGCAGCAAGGATCACACGCTCTGTTCTGATCTGGTATGATCAGGTATTAAGTCTGCCGGTTTGCAAACTACTGTACTCGGCGACACTTTGAATGATTCGAGCAAGCAGCTCGAGCATTGGACAGATCGATGCTGAAAATGCTTTCAGCACACTCAAATTTCAAGTAGTTATACAGCAGCTTGCTTTTACTGCATGCGATCCGCATGTAACGCCATGTAACGCGAGCCAAAATGGTATCGCTGGATCCAAGGCACAGTTCGGGAGCATGCACACAATTCCGAGTTGGTTTACTCCCTATCCGCAGAGTCAGTGTGTCTAGGACCACCAGAAGTTTGAGCTCAGAATTCAATATCGGGTGAAACCTGCAAATGCACGCGAGCCGCAGGGCGGGGCAAGTGCACCGTCTCTTTCAATTCGGCTCTCTTTTTGTCAGCGACTACATCAGAGCTGCTGCGAATCTGAAAACTGCAAGCCCCCACAGGGCAAACACTGCCCGAAACCCAAATCGGACCCCTTCCCGACGTTATGCCACAACGCTTTACCCAAACAGAGCTCGAAGCCCAAGCCCTCGCCTGTTTTCTGGACGGCCCCGCCCCCTGCGAGCAACTGCATGAGCGCTTGCCATGGACTGACCAGGGCCAGCAGTGGCAGCGCTGCCTGAACCTGTTGACGGCCTGCAGCTCGGAGTCTATCACGATCAAGACCCTGTGGGTCACTGGCAATCGGCATCGTGGTCCAAACTTGACTCGGTTGCAGTGCATGGCAAAGGGTTGAAGCCAATCCCGAAGGAGATGTTCCACAGCGTCCTTTTTCCCACCACGATCTCATACAATATCGCCATGGCCTCAGAATGGGGGAAGAAGGGAAAAACGGGGAGGAAAAAAGAGACATCCCATGCCTCGTAGAATGAAGGACAGACGACACGCAAACAAGCAGACAGACAGAGGCAGAGCATCCCGTCCCGACGAAGCGAAGCCGGCAATAATGGAACCGCAATGTGCTATGGAACAGCATTCGGGAGCTTGCCCTTAAGTCGGCCTGCCAGCTACCTCGAGCCCCCTGCCCCCAAAAAACAAAGCCCACAGCAAGCTGCATCACTTGTGGACCCAGAAAGGACATGAGCATACGCATTTTAAAGGGATATGCCTACCTTATATTGGGCTTCATTATCAGCAGGGTTTATATGGACTGTCAACCAGGCCATCTCTGCCTGCGAAATGGGGACTGCGACTCAGCTGACGACATGGGAACTTCAGCGTAGCCCCGATGCACAACCTGGGAGTTTCCAAGAATTAGGGGACCCTAATACAGTACCCTATATAGTAGGATCCTTCTTTTAGAAGAACCCCAAAAAGAGGTACCCCTAATCTTCGGAAACTCCCACCTACGAGTATCAGTTGGTTTACCAGGAGCGGGCGGCGTCTTTCGAGGGACTTCCAAGGTTTGGATCCTGAAGGGTCCATGTCATTGCGAACGAATGCCTCCTTATGAGTATAGTATCATGTACCCCAAAACCCTATTCTAATTATTAAGGTCCCTATATTAAACCCTTATAGTACCCAGAAATAACAGGGCGGTACCGAAGGCCCACGACTCTGGCCCAGCATGACCTGCCCCATCCCTGCCCGTCACACCTTTAGCTTCAGCCTCACGTCGTTGTTCTGCTACCGTCGACTAACAGTGCCTCAGCTTAGCGCAGTGGTAGGCAGAGCGCGGTAGAGCCGCAGAGCCAGGGGTGCAAAAATGTAAGATAATAATGTGGGCGCCTTGATAATTAGAATCGGGCTTGGGGGTATACTATACTACATTATTAGCAAGGAACCCCAAAAGGGCATATTATACTGTAACTATTAATAAGGAACCGCCAAAAGGGGTATATGATACTATAATCATTAACAAGGAACCCCCAAAAGGGGTATATTATACTAAAATTATTAATCGGGAACCCCCAAAAACCACAGCTTAGGCCATGGTCTTTGGTGTTGCATCTATTGGATGAGCTTCGACAGCAAGGCGGTCTGCAAAGCGTCGCATCTCTCCGTATCTGTAAAGGTCCAAAGGACCGAATAATTAGGTACTCGGGTGTAGGATAGTATGTAGGTTACTATTTGGGAGAGTATATGACCATTAGGTACTTGGACCCTTGGGGTATGGTTTTCCTCGCATATTGCCGACACCCTTTCAATTGCTACAAGCAGCAACGAGATCCATGGCACAGGCAGGTGGGTGCAGTTCAGGGCCTCAGCCATGTTCAGCAGCACGGATGGTTGCGTCAGTAGCAGTAGCATGCGGTATCATCTCATACCTACTTTGTTGTGGAACTTGGCTTTCAATGGCTGGGTGCGTCCGTCTCTCTTGACAGGCTTACGCCCGAGAACGGACACCTACAACGCAGCCATGTCTGTTTGTGCCAAGGCCCGCCGGTCACATGTTCACGGCAGGCTGGGCCGAATCCCGGCTGTACGAGATTGTACGAGAAATGAGTAATGCCTGGAAGGATCACAGCATTAATGTTGCCGCATGTTTTTTGCCCTGGAAGCTTTGGCCCATATCTGAAGGCATTCAATCCCGTGATTGAGGCACCCGGATTGAGGCACAACACGGCGTCCCTGCCTAGGGTGCCTATGGAAGGAGGTAAACACAGCGTAGACACATCGATGCAGATATGGTCTTGAGAGGCCCATCAGACCCAGATCGCACTACAGCTCATGCTGGTACCTGAGATTGTCGGAAAAGCGCACGCAGAGCCCCTGTGGTTGCTGTTGCTTGTGGAATTCCGTCGAAAAGATCCGTTGGACCAGGTCTGGCCTGCGCCGCAGGCAGCTGAGGTGCCCAGATACTATTCTCATCAGGGCTGGGGGTTGGGCAGCCTGGCATCCACACGATCAGGATCTCACGAGTTGGAACGCCTTGTCTCTCCCTGCTTTCCCATATCGCATTTTTGCAGGCGGGGCTTTGTTGAATTGTTCTGCATGCCCGGGAGGCAGCACCAGGTCACCTTCAACACGGCCATAGATGCTTGCGTCCACATCTCGGCGAGCAGTTTCTTCGTTTGAGGGGAGGGTATCGTGATGCCGACTCCACTGCATAATGCAGACTCCTTCAGTCGCCCAAACTCGTATCCCAACATCACTAACCCTTACCATAAACAAGCTAGAGCTCTAAGCTCTATAAACCCTGAACACTCTCACCAGTCATCTGCCCATTATCAGGCAAAGACACAGCAGTGGCAGCAGTCCTTGGCCCTCCTCGGCGAGATGTGGGGCAGCCTACCATCGGGCCACTACGGCCGCTGCAGCCGTGAAGCCGAGTTATATAGTTCCGTGAGCTCGACGAGTTCGGGGCATCTCGATCGCTGTCTGTCTCAGGAATACGACTGTCAGATGTTTAACCCCAGACCACATGCCCTCATACAGGAAATACGAAAAGGGCTTGAGACGCAGATAGTGTGCCCGGACGATTAGGGACGATGTGGGAACTGGAGGAGCTACGCATGATCGTGAACCACAAACCCCAAAGTCAAAGACCTTGTCCCCTAAGGTCCTAGCCTTCGACGGTGTAGGGCCCTTCAAGTCTTACACGTAGGGGAACGTTTTGGTCGTCAAGAATCACAGTCTCTCTTTGAGGTCGGACGCTGCTCTGCAGCCGGACGTGGTGTCCTTCAGCTCGGCCATGACAGCCTCCTTGCGGCGGTGAGATTTCCAGGGTCCTGAACCTATCGTCTGCCCGAAGGCAACGAGGGCTTTGAGGGGCTACAGTGGCTATAGCTAGAAGACTACAAAGAAGCTTGAGTAATTGCTTTTTTAGCTTTCGACGTTGTTGACTGCTCCGAGGAAGCGTCGCACATTGAAAGACGTCAATATCCGAGGACCTTCGAAGCCCTTGAACCCCCGAACGCACAGAAAGAACCGAAGCTTCAGGATGGGCTTCGAACCACAATATACAGTATCCCTGCCACGACAAGACAGAGAAGTTGTTCAGGCCTAGGCCGCGACGCATTAAATGGTGTGCACTTAGTTACAACAACGAGCTCTTTAAATCACTCATCTCGCTCAGCATTCAAGGCTTTGTCTCGGCAGTCACTCCACAAGCAAGCATGGGGGCTGCTGGAGGACCAACTCCTATGTTGCGCGCAGTCTGGCAATGAACGGGCATGCAGCGGCATGCATCAGTGGAACTCCACTTTCTTCCTGCCTGCTAGAAGAGTTTGTTCTGCGATGGCGGCAGTGAAATGCAAGTGCAGCCCCAAGCTGTCAAAAGCATAGCGTGTGTCTTGTATCATGTGGCAGACGCTTGTTGAAGGCTAGCCTGCCGCACTGGCAGGACCTGCCCCGGCATTCTCTTCAGCCAAATTGGGTGATCTTCAACGCTGCGCGGCATCCCAGAAGTATGGGCTCAAGCCGCAAATCGCATCCTCGAGCTGGGAGGACGAAGGTTGGTTAAGAATCTGGTTGAACGGCGAACATCACACTGTCACTTGCTTCAAAAATTTTGCCACGGCAGTTGTGAAACTTGATAGTGGGCTTGATTATCTGTCAGGCCCCACCTAATCTCAGAAACTAACCAAAGTTTTCCGGATTCAGTTTGGTGCTCTCCGTTTGTTCTTGAAATTGCCTGGGGCTTCCGAGGCTCCGTGCCAGCAGCACGCGATTGCAGGGACTGTACAGATATATACTATGACAAAAGATATGGTAAAACGTCATAGCGAGATAGAATTTTGTTTTGTATACTTTTATAAAGTATAACACAATACAAGAGCATCATCACGAGCATCGTCAAAAACAGCAATAACAACCGCAACAGCAGCAACACCACCACCACCAACAACAACAACTACTACTACTACTACGACGACGGCGACTACTACGACTACTACGACTACTACGACTGCGACGACGACGACAACGTGGACTACCACTACTACGACGACGAACAATACTACGATTGCTTCGACAACCACTGCCACTACCGCTACCACTGCCACTGGAAGGAGGAGGAGGAGGAGGAGGAGCGCAACGGTAGTTAGATTGTAATTAGTCTTAAGGGAGGCCCCACGGTTTCCCTGAACCGATTTTCGGTGAGCAGGGCTCGGGGGGGGGGGCTACAAATCCAGAGAGAGAGAGAGAGAGAGAGCCCTCCCCATTAATAGGACATCATTAGTTGCAAGCCCCAGGCCATAGACTCATGCCACCGGGGCGCTTCCTGGCAGGCCGCTTCGGATCTGAAGGGTTGAGGAAGACAGGATCACGACCTCGTATGGGGGCCGAAATAGTTACCAATACTTGTTGTTTTTTTGTTTGGGGTGGGGGTCCTTCTTCTTGAGTATACTATAAGGGACCCCTATGTTACTCCGTATTCCTGAAAAGGCCGCCCTGATCCTGCTGCAGCGGGCCAGGCATCAGTCTGTGCTGCCTTGCGCTCAGGTTGATGGCCACAAGCGTGCAGTGTCGTAGATGCTTTCCAGGCTTACATCACGAAGAGATTCGGCCTAATTATTCCCGGACCTCCCACACTTAGATGCTCTTATGCTTCGGCTGCGCCGGAGCTGTGAACTGGAAGATGAAAGGTACCACCCAAGTCGAGATCTTGACTTCCCTAGACTTTAAACAGTAACCCAGACCCAGCCCAAACCAACCCGGAGCCAAATTCACCACAGGCTGGACGTAGTTTCCCACAGCCTGGCTGTGAGCACATGCGCCCGGCGGCCTTGGTTTTCCGGTTCGGTCTGTTTCTTCCATCATGCTGCGGGCGTAGATTGTGTTCTGGATAGTGTTCAGCGGTGCTCTGTGAAGTGCGAGAAGTCGAAACTCGAGTGCAGTCGCTACAGCTTTTCTCTCATTTAAAAACTTGTTGGCTGTTTGGCTTATGTTGTGAATCTCTGCTCTTAGGTTCAGGGGTTTTGGTAGTGTGGGTTCCAGATTCGTGACATGGTTTGCATTCAAAGAATGGTGGACTTCCGATCCGAGTCTTGGCATAGTTCAGTCAGAAGACTGGAACATAGCTTGATTTGGTACATGTAAACTCGGTTCCACAGAAACGTTCAAACGTGAGCAAAATTCAGAATCCCTCTTTCGGCTCGCCATTCGAACTCAGCAGAACAACCACAATACTTTCAACACTTGCATTCGTCCGTTCAAAAAGAGCGCTGGTCAGATCACTGGTTGGGGACAGCAGTCGTCAGAATACGTCATAATCTGTGTAAGTTCTTACTTATAGGACGGTTGAAATTCTTATTGTCTTAGTAGTTTTGCTTCCTCAGGTGTCGTCCTCGCAGCCAGGCGTTGCCTCGCAGTTGATGGGACCTCAGCCCGCGGGTAGTTGCGGTGAAGAAGTTGGGCTCTCCCCGTTTAGGGGTTTAGGGTTCAGGGTTTAAGGGTTTAGGGTTTTGTGGGGTCATCAGTGTGACTTGTTGGATTGTGCCTCGAAAGCAGAGTAGCCCGGCCAGGCCGGGCCAAGTTACATCGATGGACGAGTGATTTTTGAGAGCTCTGTTGCAGTGACTCTAGACTCTTGAAGACAGATCAGCTGAGAAAACCGCTTCTCTACTATGAAGGCACTTCCCTTGAGTCGCATTTGTTAACATCAGGTTGCGTTTGGCATGTAGGACACATCGAGGTGAGTCAGGTTTGTTTACAGACAGAGAGGCGAATCCATGCCTACTGTTTTTTGCACTGGCATGTTCCTGCTTCTATCACAGCCTTACCCCGGCCTCTGAATGAGGTTGGAGGGGATGCGGCAGCTCACTGTGCAGCACGGAAGCCTAGAAGCAAAGCCGAGCTGTCAACCATTCTTGGCCATGCTATAGATTCGGAGTTGTGGAAGGTGCGACTAAGAAGTCCTGAGCCTTCAGGCTTGCAGGAATGAGCCTGCCTGTAAGCTTGCTTGAAGTGCGCATCTGAAGTTTCAGAATGGCTGCCTCAGAGTGTTGACAACGCGAATGCTACACAAAGCATCCTGCTACTGCTTCGCCAAGTTCGGCCCAGGCCTGATGAAGCAGCCTACGTTGGTATGTTGGACGCTTGCAAGGCTAGGCACAGTTGGCATCATGCCTGGGCTGGCTATCCAGGTTCTTCAGTGAATGTAGACTACACTAACTACACGTCGTTGGGCTTAAAGGGAACTCCAGAAAGTTGGATTAATGGTAGGATCCCCTATAATTTACCATAAAGGGTATACGATAATGATATTCCAACTTTCCGGCTTCTACTCTTAAATCAATTCAAGACAGACGGCCTGGGAAACTTTCGTCTTTGACGGTTCGCCAGCCCGAGTTTCAGCTGGAGGAGGCCCTGAAAGGCTAAAGCGCGTCAGCGGCAAGCGCTGTTCGAATTGGTTGTTCGGTACTTCTGGCTGTTTTCTTGTTTGCGCTTGAGAGTCTCAGAAGAATCTGACTTGAGCACACCAGAGTCTTATTTGATAAACTTTCTTCACGACGTCCCATTTCGCTGCACTCACACTCATGAGTTCAGCATTCATCGAAGCCATAATCACTGCTATGTTTCTCAGTCAGAAAACATGAGCACTGCAAAAATCAGATTCCTTGGGTGCGAAGATGATGATAGTTTGGCAATTTCGCTCCGGCTGTTGCATCATTTTGCCCATAACCATAATGTCCTTATATGGGTCTTTTTGTTTGATAGTGCGTCATGTTGAACCCTTGGTTAAAATACCATGATCATCATACTTCATGGTTGTTTCAGTAAATGCTGAGCCCTAAACTGCAAGGGCATCCCGGCATCCACAGCCGGCTCCACCATCAAAGCCTGTTGCAGGAGGCGGCCTGCTGGGCCTTAGCCCTGAGCATCCTCGCGGAGCTCCGAGGAGGCGGGAAGCTGGGCTTGGGTTTCATACGGGGGCCTATAGGGCTCCTTTAAGGGTTCCTTTAAGGGGGCCCAGAGGGGTTACTATAAGTGATCTAGTAATTGCAGTATAATGGGCCCCAAACCCTATTCTAATTATTAAGGCCCCTATATTAGATTGCTTCAAGAGGATCATGATCATGCCGGGAGGAGAAGGGGAAGCATGTCTGTCTGGTCATCCCTCTTTCGACTTTACTTATCTCTCTATCTACCTATCTATCTAACCATCTTTCTATCTCTCCTGCCTCTTGTTGTTATATCGTGTTTTCTTTCCTACTTGCCTTTGCATCTGTTTGTATGCTTTATATATGTATATACTTTGTATACATACATGCATACACACGTACACTCTCATACTGGCATGTGTATACATACATATATACATATACATATATACATATATATATATATATATATATATATATGTTTACCCACAAAATTACACATGCACCGAACCGACGTCAGACCCACAGGGCCGTGCACAGGCACATGGATGCAAAGAGGGAGAGATGCAGCTAGAGTGTAAATGACTCAGCTAATCCCGTCAGCTTGGGCGCTTTTCCTTGGTAGTCCGCTGCCACTGTTTACCCAACCGGCCGCCTGCAGATGGCCCGCAGTCGCAGACGTGCAGGTCTCAGTGGAGCCATGTTTGGGTGTCCCAATTTTGACGATTTGGCCGTCGAGCTTAATTCTTGACTGACTAGTTCCAACTTAACCTCGGAACATTGAAATGTTGGCAGAAGGTCTGACCAGACGGCCTATGCTTTGGCCATGGGCTCCTGTGAGGCTGCAAGGCAGTGGGTGCCCCGGCAGCACCAAAAGTCTTGGAGCACACGGTGTATTAAATTCTGGTATGGAGCCGGTTGATAAGGCGTGACGCGGAGCTATGTCAGACGAAACGACGAGCAGGGCAATTAGTACTACTCGTTACATGATTCCACGACCATGCTTGAAAGTTGGGTTACTGCATAGGATTGTAAAGTCTCGTGATGATAGAGTACATACATGCATGTATGCAGTAGACATATGACGTATGTATACATACATGCACGTATGTGGTGGGTGCGTGTCGATGCATGCTACATACTGGTATGTATGTAGAAGAAAAGGCTGCAGGGCTCAGCCCTGAACCTGTGGAAGCCACACGGAGCCGTGATGACTTGCTGGCTACTGGCTCCTTCAGTCCTGTTGGCGGGTGGTCTGCAGAAAACATTTGCACATGGCGAAGCAACCATTATAATGATGGGCCTGGTCTAGTCTTGCGAGTGTTCTTGTTGCGTTTGCTCGTATGATTGACGTTCCGCATCTTTGTCTTGTTCCTTCATTGTTGCTTCCATGCTGAGCCTACATTATCTCTATTTGTTGTCGGCCTGCTACGGGTTTCAGTTTCGCCATCGTGCTCAGAAGAAGACGAAGAAGACAGCACTTCTGGAGCTGACCCTCAAAGCCTATTCCGCCCAACACTCCAAGCGAACGCAAAACGTGCTGACATAGTTGGCATGTGTGCTCAAACCCGTACCCCAAATGAGAAGCCGCAAGGCTTAAAAGCTTTCTCGGGACCCTACAGGGTACAGCCGACCAATAGTAGCTTATGAATGTAGAGAGGGCGGGCAGTCATGTACATATGTGTTTTCACTACATGCATACAGCCTAGAGTTCAGAGGCATGTACGTCCATGAAACAGCGGACTTGGACTTTGCATTAACGGCAACGCGCCCGATGGACCGGCCGTTGTGATGGTGTGTCGTTTTGACGCTGTCCTCGCCTTCGACTGTAGGTGTTTGACAAACACTGGAAATATCAACCAATCAGCTTTCTGATTCTATTTGTAATAGATCGCTATTTGAATGCTACTTGTATGTTTATGGCTTCTGGATGCAAAGCAACTTTCTGTACAAAGCCCCTCTTCAGGTCTCTCTATAGTCTATAGCTATCCAATACGTTGACAGATGCTTGTTACTCATCTTGTGCTGTTAACGCATAAGTCATAAGCCTGCAGATGCATTGGCCGAGGAGTTGGCGCTCTCGGTTCTCGCAGCGGGCCGAACTGTTGAGGATTTGACATTTTGGGTTTGGGACAGCCGGCTTGGGGTTTGAGATTTCAATGTTGGGGATCCAGACTTTTTAGGAGCTGCGGAGAAGTTTGTTGCTTGACTTCAAGAGCCAGGGTTTTTCCCATGAGTCATTGGAGACATTGACTTTGCGCAACACATGTTTTTTGTTTGGTTCTCCTTCACTAAGGCCACGATGCAACACGAAGGACCCTCTCCGAATCTGGTGCTTGGGCAGCAAGTTAGAATCGGTAGGATGAATTCTGTTCCCGGCTTGACATCAAACAACCAAGCCATGCAAAGCCTTTTTTGAATTTTGTCGCCCGTCTCACTGCCAGTAGCCCTTGCAACAGAGTCTATCGGGCATTTGGCGAAATTCTGGGCACCAGCAAAACTTCAACCCACAATTGTGGTGAACTGTAAGCAACAAGCCTTTGCCGATGCGAAAGTGAGAAATGTGACGGGTATAGTGGTGTCGCAAGCTCGAAGCCTGAACCCGCGGAAGGGCGCGAGAGAAGTGGCCATCTCATTTGTTCTCTATCCACTTGCAACTTGAATCGTTGTTGTTGCATATCATACCCATGTTTTTGTCGATCCTGCTGTGCTACTTTGGTCCTGGAATCCACATCAGTGTATCACGGCTGTCGACCCATCATTCCTTGTACTTGTTGCCTCCTCTATTCCACATACTGGGCTGTCAGACAATTACATCATTTCCCCATGTGATCGTGCCTTTCCGCGATCCACACTTAGTATATCATTTGTTCGATGCAGTAGCAGAGATCTGTTACCTTCGAAGGACCGTGAAGAGGCCGTAATGCCATTGAAAGCACGGTCCCCCGGCCAATGGAGAGATTAAAGCAGTTGCATTCGCTCTGTGTCGCTCTCTTCTTGCTTCTTCTGAAAAGCCTAGCTGACGTTTACATGTTGACGGTTGTGCGGGCCGCATCTCATAAGTCAGGTGACATTGAATGCAGCTGTGATGGCACTGGCCACGGCTGGGCGCACCGCAGAAGCACTCTGCGTAGTGCGGCATGCTGAGGCATCACGCTGCGGTTTGGTCCCGGGGACTGCAAGGCAAATAAAGCCTTCGGAGTCAGGTTCGGAGCCATAAGCAGGGGACTCGGGTTTGCAAGAGTCGGTGAGGTGAGGATGCGGAAGCATACAAAGCTCTCCCGAACTTAGTTGCAAATCTTACTTCCAAAAGACTAAGAGAATTGCAGACTTATGTGTGTCTACAGTGCTTTCTGTAGAAAGTGGTATTTTGACACACGAAGACGAAGACTGTTGCTGCAAACCCTGCTGCCACCGCTACCACTACTACGACCACTACTACCACTACCGCTGCTACTACTACTACTACTACTTCTTCTGCTACTGCTACTACTAATACTAATTACCACCACCACCAGCACTACCACTACTCCTACTCCTACTCCTCCTACTCCTTCTTGTCCTACCTACTCCTGCTCCTACTTCTCCTTTATCCTACTCCTAGTCTTACCCCTACCGCTACTACTCCTACTCCTACTCCTGTTGCTGGTGCTGCTACTGCTAGTGCTACTGCTGCCACTGTTGCTAACTCCACCCGCCCCTACCCCATCCCTACCCCGGACCCCAACCCCTCTACCCCACCCCTACCCTGCCCCTACACCTGCTCCTGCCAATACCCCCGCCACCCCTCCTACTCATTCCTCCTCCACCTACTCCTGCCCCCACCCCTCCTCCTCTCCTGCTCCTGCTCCTCCTGCTGCTGCTATTGCCACGACCACCAACCGCCATAATTCGAGAATTTTACAGCGGCACCATTAGCAACACGAAGGAGCGGAGTGCTAGTCACGGCAACAAGATGAGCGTCACGCAACAAGCTCAGTATACTCCTGATTCAGCAATTTCGCCGCGTGCGGTTGCTAGCCCTTATACGTAGAACCCTTATAATGAAGCCCCATGAATAGATTCCCCTCCCTTATTGGTGCAGGATCTGGGCCTCGTCTCTGGGGCGTGGCAAGCGGATGCCAACCCAACGCTGCCGGAGGCCTTGATACTCATGGTTAGCGTTGTTTAGTATTTGTCGGGTTCGGCCAGGGTTCAGGGCCGTATGGATCTTTATAGGCCGGAGGTTGTACACGGTATACAGCTCAGGGGGTGCAGGGTTTGAGGTGTAAGGTTTAAGGATTGGTGTTTTTGTTTTCTGAGCAATGTTTAGGATTTACGGTTGCAGGTTTAGGTTTGATTCCCACATCTCAATTCCGAGCAAAGCCCGCTTCCAGACCAGCACAACTGGGTCCGCTGGACACCGCGAGTGCAGATTAAGAATCTCGAGCTACCCACTTCGGACCAAGGCGCATCTAGCAGCCGTCATCAACTTCATTTAAAGAACATTAGTCAAAAAAATGCAAGCATGCCAAGAGCAGCCATATTCAGTGTTCAGTAGTCGCGTAGCGTCTTCAGCAGCACCACTACCATCATCACAGTCGCTGCCATCAACATTAGAACAGGAATCGGATGAGTGACGAAAAAAGTAGTAGCATTGACGATAGCCACAGTAGCAGCGACAGCTCACACCACCAAACAGACTCGAAGCCGGGTGTCGAGCGATAGTTCAAACTGTTACTTTCTTACCATTCGCATCATGAGTACGCTCATGACTCGGACTTCCGTGAGCAACACCGAAGTTGGAGCTTTGCGCCGTGAACTGAGCCTAAGTCCAGGGCTTGAAGCATCCGTCTCCTGCCAGGCCGACGTAGACCTACACCGTTTTCCGGCAGACTCTTGACTTCAGCTCAAGCGCGGTTCGGGGAGGATGGTGCATCCTAAGATCGTGTGAAGGAACCTGGAGAGCTCGAGCTGAAGTCTCACGGTTTGTGGTTCTGGGCTCTTTGGGCTGAAGAAGGCTAGGAGCTTCCCGTGGTCTCGCTCTGCATCAGGATGGAAGAGTAGACAAGTTCCAGGATGGAGGATTGCAACATGTACAATTTAGCCCTCCTGGCGGACTCAATCCAGCTATTCGAAGGACTTTGGCCCCTGGCCCGAATCATAACCAGTAGATAAATAGTCCTTTCGTAGTCGATCCGACAGAACCATCTGGCCGATGTTTGGGTTTATCTTACGCATGAACCTGGCTACCGCGAAGTCGTACCTCGCCATCTAGGTAGCGTTCTCACCCTCTCCATTTTCCGACAGATACGAAAATGAGCTGTGCTTGGGGCACATTGATACTGGAGCCTATCTGATGTTTCCTGCTCTTCCAACAGTGATATGTCTGGCATGGAGCCTCGCTTTGCGGGGTTCTGCATGCTTGTTGGGTGAAGGACGATCCACTACAGTGTACTGGTTGGTCTTCGGGATCAGACGTTTTGAGTCTGCGGACCGTTCCAAGGAGCTGGCAAGATTTACCGTTCTTGCAGCGGTCCTTGACGCGGCCATTGATCCATCTCGGAAACGTGGTGCTTCGGCAGCAGCTGGGTTTGGTGCTCTTCAACAAACAGCCGTGATATCGCTTCATCATTGGTCATGGGCTAAGTTGATTCTCGAGACATAGTGCATCACCGGCCGACCGGGAGTGTTTCGGGATGAAGTAGGGGCACGACTATGCACAGCACGCTATGACGGGTCTGGGATGGTATGATACAGTCTCACTGCCTCTCGCTCAAGAGTCAGCGGCAAGAGGGTCAAAAAACATCCCTATAAATCGTGCACAACCTTCGACCCCTGTCTCTGGCAGCAGCTTTGGAGTCTGCCGAAGGCCTCGGGGCTTTCATCTCAGACATCCCAGGTCTTGTCTTCGTCACCGGTCGTGGCACTCACGGCGGCACGGCGGTCAGCGGCTCAGATCTCCACAGATCTGCTGTGGGAGGAAAGCCATTGGAGGAGGCTTGGGTCGCCGAAGCGCTCCACAGGTCTTGAAGGCCGTGATTGGGGAGTGCCTCAAAGAGTTCGGCCTCGCCGTGGAGGACGGTTGCTCCCATGTGCAGTTCGACTCTATATTCATTTGCAAGTCAAGTTTCCAATCCTCCGATCCCATGTATTGCCTCAGTGCATGCATGGGTCTTGCCGTCGAAGCTACATCCCGGGAACATAGTCCGGGGATGCTGGGTGCAGGTCCACTTCGTTTGATTGTGCATGCGCTAGACCACTCCTGACAGGAGGGTGATGCTGAGGGGACCGACGGGCGTTTGTGGCTCCCACCGCACGTCCTGCAATGCCTCGCTTTCGAAGATGAAAAGGACTTGAAATAGCTGTGCACAGAGAGATGACCGACGGCACCGCCAACGTTCGAAGCATGCGCTTCCGTACCCCCATGCCGCAAGATGCTTCTGATAACTGGTTCGCTACGAGCCAAACATCACGATGGGGAACATGTTCGGGAAGCAGAACGCCTCAACAGGTGCTGGATGCCCACTTTAACATCAAGGTCTGCGACTTCGGAAAGACGCAGGTCATCTTGGGCTTGAACAATTGATCATCGAACATATATATTGTACGATATTGTAATTTATAATATACTGTATTATAGTGAACAATAATGTATAATAATTAGTGCTTCACGGTTTCTCGTTTCAGCAAGGGGACATGAGACAGAGCCTGGGTTCCGGCATGCGAGGCTTGAATCGAAAGCTCCAGGCCACTTGCAGTTGAACTCGCTAGGCAAAGCAAGCCGGCCAACATATGGAGCACACGCCATGGAACTCCTCGCCTGAGCCCGAAAAGCCTCTGAGAAGTTAGTAATACTGTCCAAGGGGCCGATCGGGTTGACGGCTGGTTTACATCATTTAACTGGAACCTGAGCCTATCTGTCTTGAAAAAAACTACAGGGGCCTTAATAATTAGAACAGGGATTTGGGTATACCATAATTATAATGAGGACCCCACCCCCCAAATAATATTGGTAATTATTAAGGCCCCTATAGCACCCAGAATCAGTTTTGTAGTGACGATGCACAGGAGCTGCGAAGTAACTGCGCCATCATCACGGGCCAGGTGTGGCTTCCTAGAGCTGGCAGACATGTGGGAGTTTCTGAAAATTAGGGGTACCTTGTTTTGTGGTCCTTCTTGTAAGGATACTCCAATTTAGGGTACTGTATTGGGGGTCCCCTATTTTCGGAAACTCCCATGTAGGGGCAGTTCCCCAGAGCCTCCAAGAGCCCTTAATTTATGGATATACCTTAAGTCATATTAGGCTTCCTATTTAACTTGAGGTATAGTCTTTAATTCAGGGGTTTTGGAGGCTGTGGGTAAAGGGTATCCGGGTGTAGAGGCAACCATAAGACGGAGTCAAGCCTCAGCAGATCCAAATAGCTCCAATGCCAGTGTGGGTTTCTTTTCAGCTGTTTGTACATCAGGCAAGTTTCTGTTGGAGCCGTCCGACTCTTCTGACCATCTCACAGCTTGGGGCTCATGTTAGGCCATGCCGACATGCGTCATAATTAGCATATGTTGTCATAGTATTCACACTATAGTATACTACATTATGTCATGGTATAATATTATACTATTGTATATTGTATCACATTGTACTGTATGTCCTTCCAAGCCGCAAGACCACGCAGGACACGGGAGGCTCCCCCCGATACATGGCGCCTGAGCGCCCTGCCAGCAGTTCTGTTGCCCCGGGGGTCTTGTAGGGTCTGGTGGGGTGCTTAGGGTTTAGGGTTTAAGGCTTAGGGTTTAGGGTCTAGGGTGTAGGGTTTAAGCTTAGGGTTTAGGGTTTAGCGCCAAGTTTGGGCGATGCTTGCCCATCATATAACATAATGTTCTTGTATATATGAGAAATACATAATAAGTTATGTTGTACAAAGAGTTGTGCAATACAAGAAGTTATACTATACAGAAAGTTATGTTCTAGAATAGGATGTAGCTGCATGAACTATCAGACATTCCAGATTTTATATCACAAAACTACCATCCGCAAATGGTGTCAGCAAATGGTTTTCTGCATTCTGCACGGGCTGCGACCCCTTTGCTCGAAGCTCCAAAAAGATAAGGAAGTGTACAAGCGCCCGATTTGGTTGGCCCTCCCAGGTGCTTCATACTTGGCGCACACATCACCGAGAAGGCCAGGACAGGTGGTTTCGAGGTGTATAGACCCAGAAATGATTGGAGTCGCCAAGTCTTATCATCAAGTCAGAGATTATGGGTCCGGCCCGTCCTCGAGGGGCTTTGCACCAAGGCTTCGGACAACCCCAGCACGATCCAGAAGCTCCCGCCCCAAACGATCCAACACACATGCCGACAGAACCAAAAGCCCAAGCGGTATCAGACGTCTCCCGGCTCGCCTGCTCCAGGTGGACATTTGGAGCTTGGGATGTTGCCTTGTGGAGGCATCTCCGGAATCCTTCCGCTTCTTGGTGGGGTTGGGAGCCCGCCCACAAAAGCAAAAGCCTCGGATGCTGGTGAGAAACGGTTTCCAATGCCCATGCATGAAAGTCTAGGACTTGGGTTCGAGGAGTCGGCTTCAGTTTCAGGATCCTGTATTCTGGACTCAGATGGCCTCATTGCTGCCTCATTAATCAAAGAGGGCCGACGTGTCTCAAAGGATCGTTGTAGACCTGAGCGCCTGTGTTAGAGTCATGGGCTTTCGCAAACGTTGCAGGTTTAGGCCAACACAATGGTAGATGTTGCTGTAGTAATTGCACAGAGACCATCACTGCAGCGACAAATTCCCATCGCGATCCCGCAGCTAGTAATTCCAAGGCCGCAACACATGTTGCTGCCTAATATAGGGTCCTAAATAATTACTATTCCTGTTTTTTTTTTTTTTGTTGAGGGGGGTCCCTATATTACTCTTGCAGGTGCTTGGCGGACCGTTACCTTACGAGGAGATCCCTGCAATGTCGGAGGCTGCCTGGCTATCGGTGGCCTACAGAGATGTGAGGGGTTTCCGAAAACACTGGGTACCTTATTATGGGGTCCTCGTAGTAAGGATCTTCCTATGTGGGGTACCATATTAATTTGCGTCCCCTATTCTCGGAAGCCCCCATGTGTGCCCAAGGATTGCAGGACCTTCTCTTCGGCAGAGTGTGTTTAGAGTGTTCAGACTACCAAGGGGGTAATGGCCGGGTGCTCCGCACCATGTTTCTCGGGCATGATCTGCAACTAATCCCTGCAAGGCCTTGCTCCGTTGTATCCATGCACTCTGCACCCTCGTGTTGGCTCCCCAAGAGGATAGACTTTTTGTGTTGATGTGAACCGCTTTGCCAGACTTGACCTATGAGCATTTCTTGACCTTCTCTCGGCTTCGAGGGTTTTCTGATACTCATATGGGTGATGTCAAAATTATGGTCCCTTTTTGGGCCCCTATTGTAATACGGCACCTATTATTTAGGGTCCCTTTCTTGGGTCCCTATTATAATACGGCACCTATTATTTAGGGCACCCCAAAAAGGGGGCCATAATGTTGACAAGCTACCCATGCCAGGTGCAGAGCCTTCTCCAAAGAGGCGTTCCGCCGCTGGTTCCACAATGGCAAGCCCCCCCTCTCGCGGCCAGCGGTTTAGGGTTGGATTTGGGGTTTTTGGGTTTAGGGCTTGGGACTGGGAGGGGGGGGGGGTGGTCGGTGTGCGAAGCTGCATTGGATTCTTAGCCCTCGAGCCCGTGCATGACTTGCTCCTGTCTGTTCCTCAGTATGATGTGGGGACCGGCCGTTTGCCCTCAAGCTTTCGGTGAGTACCGACACGAGGGCATTTCAACCTGGGCGCTTCACAGCTGTGGCACATGTTTGCATGGAAGACGGAAACAGGGCGGCCAACAATGTTAATGCTGCTAGAATACCGCCAGCAACGGCTCAACCCCGATAAAGCTTCCGGAAGCCATACCTGGCCAATACGCAACGTAGCATTGGACACGAGGCTAGGCTAATCCACGGACTGAGCAGCAGCAGCAGCTGGTGTTTCGCGACTGTCGGGGTATCGCGCTGTGCTTGGCCGTGGGCTCAGCGTTGGCAGGCAGCCAGGCATCACAAAACGTCCAAGCGCAAACCGAAGTGTGCATGCTTGTGTTTGCTGCCGTGCCTAACTCGAGATGGAGCCCCTACACAAGCAAACAATTGCAAGCTCTCGTCAGAGGGAACCAAGACCTGCTTCAACCTAAGCTTTCGCAGCTTTGCCTTGCAGCGGCCAGTCAAGACAGGTAATTTCCTGTAGCTTCCGCCGCGGCCGCCGTGTTCGTCGTGGTCGTGGTGATGTATATCCTGTGTAGACTGGAACAGAAGACGATAGAATCGAATCATCATGACGGCACAAACAGGTAAGGAGCAGCTTTAGCAGCAGTTGTGGCGGCGGTAATGGCCTTCGTGGTTGTGGGAGTCTGATTTGGCACCAGTACTGCTACTGCTGTAGTACAAGCACTACCGACAGAACCCGCATCACCCTTCGCACGACAGAGTTGCGGCATTCTGGAGAAGACCATTCACTGTTTATGTCCATGGTTGCGTCCAACAGACAGAGCAAGACCGTCCAAGCACCCTCAGGTGTCGCCCAATCGCTTCCAAAGCTCGAAGCGCACCTTTGCCATGCACCCGGGTGTTCCGTCGTTTGCATCGCGTGTCACGTCCGATCTCCACGAGTTGGGTTAGTGGTCTGGATCTATATTAGCTACAAAATTAGTTATCTTTCTGTCGTTGTTAGTCTTGGTTCTGCTTGTTTCTACAAGATCGACCGGCACTTTTTCCACATGTTGAAGCTCGACTCAACAGCCATCTGGCTTCAAATGTCGTTAAGACGGACGGCATGCTTTGTTTTAAAGCGCAGCCCGTCAAGCAATTTAGTTCAGCATGCGCTGAAACGAAAGTGATCCCCCTCCGAAGGTTCAAAGCATATACGAAGCAATGCTTCTAGAACAGCTCTACATCCCACGCTGGTGCTAAGTCTACAGTATTTGCACTCGAAAGGAAGAGATAGGAAGGGAGTCATGCCCACAGTCTCCTAAGTCAGCCTCCGGTGCCAAGATGGCGCTGTGGCACGGTCTGCTGCTCATGCGGCTTGGTCTTAGTGCACCAACACAGTCATGAAGAGAGTCATACCTCAGGTATTTTGAAGAGCGAACTCTAGAAGTATTTCTAGTGTGTGATATATATATATATATATGATACATTCCCCGGGCCCCATACTTGGCATTGGAACATCGAGGAGTTTGCATCCCAAGACCCGTGCTGCTGCCAGGCTTATCCGTGCTGTTTGCTCGAGCACTGCAGAGATCCTCGGCATATCGAGACACAGGGATGATTGCGGAAGACACGATGCCATGGTCTTTTGATTCGACAGGGAAGCCCACGCTCTAACGGCAGTCATGCTCAACATTTTGTAGCCGGAGGGCCACCGGCCAGCTGTTCCGCCCTACTTCCACAAACTCCCACATTGAGCTGCAACTTTGCATGTGGTTCACTGCTCAGCGTAAGGATGCAATCGGCAGGGACTGGCGCAAGACTTGTTTGCAAGGCTGACACAAAGCATTGCATTTGGCGTGCAATGCCTAGTTTTTTGTCGGGGTACACAGCAGATTGCATCACACCTGAGCCGAGCAGACCTTCACCGCGACAGTGTGTGTATCTAGATCGGGAAATTTCGCCATGAGTCCCTGCATGCGAAACTTAAGTGCTATTGGATATCAGCAGACAGTGCTTTCGCGAAGACTGCCTCCTAAAGTCCTGTGCCACAAGCTCGTCCAGTACAGTCTTGTATAATGTTGTACCGTACATGCTTTACGCTGCACTGTACACGTAGACCCTGATGGTGGGCCAAGAAAGCTAAGCAACAAGGAACCTCCAGCGCCTGGCACAGCGGCCTGAGCGGCGAAACCGCCCTTTAGCTCCTGTCATTCATGTACTGAGAGTTCGTTTTCTACATCCGGGCTAAAGGAGTATGTCATGACAGTGTAGAGCTCAGCCCTGCAAGAGTTTAGGAGCGCATGTGATGTTGTGATAAAGCCTGAATAACATGAACAAATGAAACAAGCCGCCAAAGATCAGGAGTAAGCCGCATGTGAGAAAGCATTCAGTGCACTTGGATTTTGGTTTGAGATGTTGAGATTGGACTTTGAGAAGATATGCTCTTTCTTGACTTGATGGTAAGCCGCAGACACACTGTTTACTGCCCCGATTGTGCCTAATTATTGCGATTTCAATGCCCTGCACTGAGCGACTTCGCAGCTTTTCGACTTCAGAATAGGACGGCGCCCCGATCCGGACCGAATATCTTTATGTACTTCATAGTTTTCATCCGCGCCCATTTCTGAGACGAGAGTGAGCATGACCAGGATGGACTTTGCAAAGCTCCTACCTGCTACTGTAGACTACATACGGCTCAGGGCTTAGGACCCGAAAGCCCAAGCCTGTGCATGTAGGGTTATGCCTCGGAGCCCTGAAGGCGAGGAGTAGGTTTCAAGCCCGTGGATAAAGAGCCCTTTGCTGCAGGGTATTGCGATCTTTCTTAGGGATTGGGGGGGTGTTTGGATAACTTCCGACAACGTATGCTAGCAGAGATGAGCAGAGCAGACGGTCCCTAAACCCCGACGCTTGAAGCCGCTCACCGCGAAATGAGCCTGCAAACCTCAACCCAGGCCCCCTCAATGTGCTGGGAGTTTCACTGGGGGTTCTCAGTGCACCTTTGGACGCCGTCGCGTGCGGGCCCGAGGCTTTGAAAGATCCTCGTGTTGCTATGGTGTTTATGTATAGACGGACCGAGAGAGAGCGCCGGAGGAGAGAAGGAGGGAGCTCGCAGGTGTAAGGCATCCACAACAGCAATATTCCTTCTGACTGTTCACTGACTCAGTTCTGGTGTTTCACAGCAGCAATACTCTGGCCTCCAGACACTCCTACACCCTCAACCGTAAACCTCAACCTCAAGCCACACCACCCATGACTGCAGGTTTGCTGTTGCCCCGCAATCCGTCCTTGCGCCTGTGGGCATGGCTTGGACCTGAGCTGCAGCTTTGCAACCGTCCTGGCTTCGAGATTTTGTCACTCCGGCCAAGGCAGCCACCCTAAGTGATTCTGAATGCCCTGCTCTCTTTTGTTTCCTCTGTGTCTCTCTCTCTCTCTCTCTCTCTCTCTCTCGCTCTCTCGCTCTCTCTTTCTCTCTCTCTCTCTCTCTCTCTGTCTCTTGTCTCTCTCTCTCTCTCTCTCTCTCCCTCCTCTCTTTCTCTCTCTGTCTGTCTGCCGGTCTCTGTTAGTATGCATGCACGCGTCATGCATGTGTGTGTGTGCGCGTATGTAAGCATGCATATATCTGTATATATATATATATATATATATATACAAGTACAAGTATAGTTATGTAAACAATGTATCGTACCACCTCAGGCTACGGTGTTTAGAAAGATATAAAGAGTGTTGCGCTTGACTATATTATATCACCTTGTTGAGTTTGTCGTGTACGGCAATACAGCTGTCTCATCGACGTGTGCATTAATTCCTGTTTGTTACTACATTGTTCGCTTGATAATCCTGCTTATGTATACACATCCAAATTACACATGTAAACGCAAATATACATACTCCTTATAATGGATGCGCATATGTATGACTGTCACAGTATGTGTGACACCATGCACATCTAGACATGCCTACGCATTGACTTCAATGACTGCATAGGCTCAAAGTTTTCTGCATAGAGGAATGACTGCATGCAGACATACAGACAGACACAGTGCATGCAAAGAGGCATCGAAACAAGCACACTCACACACAAACAAACACAAACATAAGAATACCACACGTGTACGCATAAACGCCTACGTGCACAATATGCATGCATGGAGGCATGCGCATCTGCATTCATGCATACATACTTCCTTACATACATGCATACATGTACATGGATGGACCGATGCTCGCCGAACTCGCAGAGCCCAAGGTGGGAATGCTTTTTAGCCTCCTCGCGGCCAACCAGGTCCACGGCGACGATTTGACACACGGCTTGCATTGCATGTCGGTGAATTGCACTTGAGGAAAGGCACGAACAGCTGTAGGGAGCCACAGCGAGCAGAAGGAAGTGCCAAAGAAAGACAGAGAGAGAAGCACAGAGATCTTTTGAAGGGTACTTTTCCCTTGTGTATCCTTTATGATCCTTTCCCCCGGTGAATCAGTTGTTTTGTCACGCCATGTCACGCCCCTCTCAAAGCCCTTAAACAGGGGCGAGCCAATCGGCTCGGGGCGCTGGACACGCCCTCAATGCGCTGGAGAACTGAACAGAACAGACGGAGAGAGAGAGAGAGAGAGAGAGAGAAAGCAGTAAAGAAAGAAACAAAGAGCGAAAGAAAGACGGACGGAGAGAAAGAAAGAAGCTTTAGTTGGAGATCACAACTCGTCTCACGCCGACCCGAACTCGAACACTGAGGTAGCGCTTCACGCGCAGAGGGCAGGGGTTTCGAGCCTCCAACCCGACATGTGCAAGCAAGCATACAAGCTTTAGTCAGTTCCTTCGTTATTCAATGATTTTGGATGGAAAGCCAGGCAGGGTCGAACCGGAGGCAGCCCATCAAGTCTCATGTCGACGTGGAAGATGCGACGTGCGTGTAGCAAGAGGGTTCAGGAGTAAGGCTAATGTCCTGCTCCAAACTTGCCGGAAGGAAGGCAAAAAGAAAGAACGGATAGCTACATGTTCAGCGAAAGTATGATGTACAGTGGAAGACTTGTAACATGCAGTTGTTCAAGATGACTGGTTCTACATCCAGATGCACATTTGCAAGCGTTTGCAAGTGTAGCAGCGGGTACGCGCGTGAGTGTCTACACCGCAGTTGATGTATGCGTGTAAAGCCATGTCTCACGGTTGGTCTTGCATGATGCGAAAATGTAGACGCGAATATCGCCAGATGATTATCTACATACGTACCAAAAGGCAAACAGACAGAGACACACACGATAACTGGTCGCTTGCGCTTTCCAAATGAAGTGTCTGGCCAGAATGATTTGTGTTTCGAGCGAGTTTGGCGAGTACACTGTGGAATACGATGTGCAAACAGACTTCGCAGGGTTCGGTGAACGGGTGTGGAGTATTTATGTGATTGGGCAGCGACGTTCTGATCTCAAGAGGCTCTACTACCGCAAGTTCATGGAGTTCTGATTTCCGGACTTGGAAGAAGGCCACAGATGGCTTGTAGGTACCGCGTTCAATAGACCGTGGTGGTGTTGACGAGCCACATCTGAGGACCCCAAAGGACTTTATGTCTGCACTGGCTGTTGTCCTTGGCGCACGGGGCCGAGCAATGCAGTGATTTGTGGTGCTTCAGAACGTTGGAAGGCTCGAAAGGGTACTTAGTCTCGAATTGTGTTAGTTATCTGCGTGGCCGTGCATCGTTGATCAGACAAGTTAAACTATCGGTGAACTTCGTTGAATTCCACCTCCCCAGAAGATCTGACGCCATCGCTGCTCCTTGAAGCTGCCTCCCTCGCTTGGAAACCGCAACATCTGCAAGCTTTCTCTGTAGAACCCTATCGAACATTATTCCTTAAGGGAACCTGTCCTTTCGTGCATCTGGTGATAGTATGTGCGAGTAGCCCGAAGCAGTTCTCAGGCAGCTTTGTGTCTGCACGGGGGCGCAGACAGTAGTGCCGCGAGGAGTGCACCTTCAAGCGAGGCTTGCCGTCAAGACTAAAAATATTCATATTATAGGGGCCTTCATACTTGAAGTATAACGGGGCGCCAAAACCCTATTCTAATTATTAAGGCCCCTATATTCGAAGATTTTGCTGTGCAGCTAGGCCTGAAGCTGTGTGGCAGACGGCCGTAAGCAGAGGTGCCGGATAAGAACCCGCTCAGCACCGGCCATGGATCCGAGGAAATGTATGCCACCTACGTTGCCACAGCGGTGATCTGGTGCTTCCCTCTCCTGATCCTTAGGGGGTGGTTTAGTTCGCAGGTGAGCGCCGAAGGTGCATGTCTTTAGCATCAATTGAGCTTGGTCTAAGCGAGGCTTCGCGGAGAGTTGTCGATGCTTACTGGTAGAAGACCTGCAACCCTGAAACAACCGCTTTAACCCTGTAAACAAAACTTGAGAGTCAGCTACAAAGTGTGCGAGACGCAGAGTGGTTCGTGCGGCATCTAATTTTGTAACTGTCTTGCAGAGCTCTTGTAGCGACAGCATGGCTGCACATAGCGTAAGGTGCAGCCTGCTCGCCGTCGCCCTTTTCGCTTGCCGCGAGACAGCGGGCCGTCTCGACGCATTGGCGAGTGCCTTGCTAGGTGCGAAGCTCCACGCTTGGTCTCAGGGGTCCACGGGTCTAGGCTTGGAAAACTGAGAGAGAGGGCCCGCCATGCATAGTGCAATTTCTTGCAGTCGTATGTCGGAGCGGTGTCGTTGCCGTCATCACTTGTATCGTTTCTGTCCGACGGCGCTCATGATCACCTGATACATTTGCCCTGAATTGATCACCACCAGTGAAACCACGATAGCTGTTGTCGCTTCTGTTGCTGCTGTGAGTGGTTGTGCTGCTTGGTGCTGTTTGTTGTCTGGCATAATCATATTCCGGTCTCGTTCTCAAAGCGACGTTCGCAATGAATCTTGCGTGATGGGAGTGTGACAGGGCAAGGGGACTTGGGGAAGGCATATACAACGAAGATGGTGATGGTTGTGACTCAGTTATGGACCTGATGGTGGTTTGGATGACGACGACGATTTTGACGATAATGGCATGATGATATGAAGAAGGTTTTGATCAAGATGAAGAAGATGAATAGTATGATGTCCTCGTTGATTCTGTTGTTGTTGCTGGTGGTGAGTGGTGACTTTCGTGGTGCTGGTTTTGGTGCTGGTGCCGGCGGTGGTGGTCATTTCGGTGATTTGGCTACAGTTCCTGATACATGGAGGCCACTGCACATTGAATCGTCGGGCGTGTTGTGATTATGAATTGGCGTGCGGCTTGCGCTTCAGGAGTTCCGATGGGCTCCCCGTTCATATGTACTCCACACAGCGTAGTGGCAGCTGGAATTTTGCCGAATGTCTGAACACTCGCGATCCTACACAGACAAGCACAGGGCATCGACCGAAAGCAAGTCCCAGTGGTGCGAAGTCACACACTGTGTGGAGGTGGGAGTCTCGGCTCATCAAGCGTCGTGGCGAGCAAGACCTTCACGGCAGCGCTGGCCTCTTGGCTGAGTTCGTGGCCATCGGGCTTCGCGTGAGAATTCTACAACGGTGCTCCAGCGCTCTACTGTAGCAGCTTGGCTTCGAATAGGCGATTGACGAGAAGGCCACATCTGGCCACTAGGTACATGAGGGGTGTACCGGTGTACCAACACAGGCTCAAATGTGTCAGGTCTTGAGTCGGTGTCGAGGTCTGAAGCAGGGGCTAGGAAATCGTAGCGCTTTCACGTGCCACAACACAAAGGGATTGAAAGTAGCATCTTTCGCAGACACTGAGCCCTTGTGTTCACAACTTGAGCTCATGAACTCTGAGCCTGCTTGTCTCTCGTTGGGGGTAACTTTTCCCTACATCTGTACCACTTTGAAATGGCTGCCCCCAACCCAAACACGGTAAACCCTAAAGCACAAGGCGGGTCTTCTCTCTGAGGCTGTAGGCGATGAAGCTGTCAGAGAAACCCAAGGAAGAAGGTTTCGATGTATTCAGGCCTTGTAACCCCTCTGAGAAACGAATTCCGGAGCAGAAACGGATCCAGGAGTATCTAGGGCAGGACTGACATGATGATTGGTTAGTGCTTTTCATGTTGTGGACACGAACGACGGCCGTACTTCGAACAGTCGCTGTCTTAGCAATCTGTGTGGTCATTGCCTGTACTGACCAGATTTTGTTTTCTGGCCTTGCAAAGTTCGGAAAGGTCACATCACCTCGGTCCCCTTTTACACTCTTCTGCGCCGCTCTGCCCTTGGCGCTGGTTGCGCCGTTGCACTTGTATGTGCCTTGGCGAATAAGGTCTTAGAGGGTTTTCCATCACGAGTTCAGCGTTTAGTTAGAGTCTAAAGTTCAGGGGTGCTAAAGCCTGAGTTGCCATGGCTACTGTTGCGCGGAGAGTAGTCAGGGACAGGGCGCAGGGGCATCACTTCTGCAACGACATCCCATTTCACACAATCCTGAGCTTTCAACGAACCCAACGTGTCACTGCAAGCAATTTCCTGCGAATTTGTGGCGCTCGTCCTTGTATCAGGGTCGGAACTTTGCCCCTCTTTTCTCTCCTCACGTTTTGAGGCATGGGTTTTGCAGCAAGCCACCTGGGGATTTTTTTGTCAAGCGATTTTGGACTTTTCAGGTCTTGAACCGCTCCTATGGCAGGCCCTGGGATCTTGCCTGTCAGGAAGGGTCAGAGTCTGTGCAAGTGTCAAGTTCCTGAGAGAGCACGAGCCCGGGTGCTTGTATCAGGAGGTTTACAGCTTGTCATGTGAAATCAAGTGACTTTTGCAAGCGTTTTGGAGCACACTTGTGTGCATGCGTCTCAGACGGTCAGGTCTGTCTGTCTGTGCGGCCCTGGCTGGCTGGCTGTCTCTGTTGTCTATCGGTCTGACTCTGCGTACTTGTGCTGGGTCAGGGGTGGCGTTTTGGAGGGGGTGACATAGAAGCAGTGTTGCCTCGTCCGCCTGATCATCCAGACGTGCTGTTTCGAATTGACAGCGGGCTGCTGTTAGGGTTTATACGATCTTTTTTTATGATTCATTTGCGTGACAAGAGGCTGAGCCAAGAAATGCGTGCCAAAGCCAAAAGTCTTAGAGTCTCTGCCATTCTGGAGTTCCTGGTGTGTCTCTGCCTGTAGGCATGTTTGTCATGTCTTTGCGCATGCGTATGTACATATGTACATATGTATATGTAAGTTGACACCTTATATATATATATATATATATATATATATATACATATATATATATATATATGTATATTAAAATGTGTATGCATTTATTTGTTTATACGCAGACACACATCTACCTCTCTCTCTCTCTCTGTCTCTCTCTCTCTCTCTCTCTCTCTCTCGCTCGCTCTCCCTGCCCCTGGTATATCTTTGCAGGCGGACACGGTGGACAGGGTGAGGATGGCAGTCTAGTGTGGTACAACGTGATATCATGTGATATGTATGTATGAAATGTAAAAATTATATATATATATATATATGTGTATATATGATGCCGGGCTGCCACCCCCCCCCCCTCCCCCCCCACCCCCATGGTATGGTGTCCCTGCCCTCCCCCCCCGTGGTGTGGTGGGGTTTGGGTCTACTTGGGGTGTGTGTATAATCATCAGCATCATCAGCATCATGACCATGATCATGATGATGAACATGAACATGATGGTCCCCTGCCCCCTCCCTGTGGTGTGGTGGTTCGGGGTTTGGGATGCTTTGGGTCTGCGTGGGGTGCCTCCCCCCTCCCCTGTGGTGTGGTGTGGTTCGGGGTTTGGGTCTGCTTGGGGTGTTTTGTCTAATCATCAGCATCATCATCATCATCATGATCATGAACATGATGGTCCCCCTCCCCCCCCTGTGGTGTGGCATGGTTCGGGGTTTTGGTCTGCGTGGGGTGCCACCCCCCTGGTGTGGCGTGCTTCGGGGTTTGGGACTGCTTGGGCTGTTTGGTATAATAATCATCATTACCATCATCACCATCATCATGAACATGATAATCATGATCATCATCATGTCGTTCCTTTCTGTTTATTTATCTTGTGTCACACTGGCGATCTTCCTGGCAATTGGGTCAACTGTCACAAGGATCGGGCCTGTCAGGGACGCGGTCCTGTTCACAGTTGCCCCCTCATGTACGAGTCGTGGTTGGAAAGTGTCCACTGTCACAAGGATCGGGCGTGTTTGGGACGCGATCCTCGTGACAGTTGACGGTTTTGGTGCCTTCATGTGGGAGACGTGCACGGTGAGGGGCGCCATCCTCGTGACAGTTGACGGTTTTGGAGCCTTTACGTGGGAGTCACATGCCTCCGGCGCGGGGGGGGTGGGGGGGGATACCATGGGGGGGGGGGGGGGGGGGGGTGGGGGCCCGGGACCCGAGACCATATATAAATATGGGTTTATATTGATTTATATGTACGCGTATATACATAAACGAGTACCTGAACGTATTGTAGCAAACAATGATACTCCAGCAAAATGCAAAGCATAGTCGTTACATTTAACGGAACATGTAGCATGAAGAAACAGGGAAGGGATGCTTTCCAAGACAGCAAAACTCCATATCAACATGCAGCCCCTAAGTATATCGCAACGATTTATGCTGAGACGGCCGCTCTCTCCTTGGCAGGCATTCTTTGGTCATCATGTCCCCGAGCATGGGCGCATCTGCCCTGCTTTTCAATGTCCTGACGGGCTACCTGCTCTTTGGTGAGGCCGGGAGACAATCCGATCTGTGACGGGTTTGCTCTTCCTGAGATCCATGTGCAGTGTAAGGTACAGTAGGGTCCTGATTAATTAGAATAGGGTTTTGGGGGTTCCTTCTTATAACTATAGTATAATATACCCCAAACCCTATTCTAATTATTGAAGCCTCTACATTAGCCCGCAAATGCGCGTGAATCATGGGTCGCGTTTGCACTTTGCAGCATTGCTCATATGATTCCTCTGTGGAAAGTGGAAACCAATGTGCCTCTTGAAAGTTGTCACGCCAAATTCTATCTCATCTGCGAATTGACCAATTCCAGCCCGAAATTCCAAACATCCCTCAAGCTTCGACACCAAGCAAGCTTGCAGCTGCTGAATTCACAGGTCCCCGTCGGATTCTGGGAGCTTTTCGCCTGCAACGGGAACAATGGCTTGGGCGGGCGTTCCGGGCTGTGGCTAATCATGGTGAGGCTGAGGTCCGGGCACAGCGACAACGAACGTGGTAGTCCGGCAGAGGAGTAGGAGTAGCAGTAGTAGTAGCCGTCATAGTAGTCGCAGTCCTACGCAGTGGGGGAGTGGTAGAGGAGCAGGAGTCGACTGAGAGTCGGAGCCGCAGTGGGGGTAGCAGCAGCAGTACAGAACGACAGTACGGATTCATAGTCGTAGTGGTTGTGGTCATAGTAGCAGAACCAGCAGTAGCAGCAGTAGCCTCCAGTATAGCAGTACGGTGGTGGTGGTGGTCGTGGTGGTGGTGGTGGTGGTGGTGGTGGCGGTGGTGACGGCGGTGGTGGTGGTGGTGATGGTGGCCGTCGTCGCAGCAGTAGTAGCAGTAATCGTCATCGCTGCAGCAGCAGCAGCAGCAGCAGATCCAGAAGTAGCAGTAGCAGTTCGAGCAGGAGTTGGAGTAGCGGGTAGGGGTGGGGGGTACGGGGTGGGGGCAAGGAGTCGGAGTCGGAGTTGGAGGAGCAGTAGGAGTAGTTGGAGGAGTAATAATAATAATAGCAGTAGCACTAGCACTAGCAGCAGCAGCAGCAGCAGTAGTAGTAGTAGCAGCAGCAGCAGCAGTAGTAGCAGTAGTGGTAGTGGTAGCAGTAGTAGTACAGTAGCAACAGTAGCAGCTTCAGCAGCAGCAGGAGTAGTAGGAGGAGGAGTAGTACCAAGAAGAGAGTAGTAGTAAGTAGTACAAATGATCATGTCACGAGTAGAAGAAAGAAAAGAAGAATAGGTGGTAGGACAGTAGGAAGGGTAAAAGCTGCCTTGCTGCTTGTTTCGCTACCCCTATTTCAACCTGCGCCTGCAAAGGTTCAGTCTTGGCATCTCCTTGATCTTGAGCGGCGTGCTCTCGCTAATGTCCTGGAAATCAAAGCGCTCGGTCGCAGCGCAGTGACGTTGTGAAAAAAGCCGCCGCTGATTTCAGACCCTGGCTTGAAAGTTTCGAATAATCGCTGATCACGCGACTAGGAAGCTTGAAACATTGCGCTGCACAATTACACAGGAACACATCCGCCCTTCGGAACGCGGCTGCATAGTTCATCATCCTATATCGCATCGTTTGCCCATGTCAGCTTGCATCCGGCAACTTCCAAGAAGATCCCGTGTTAACTGCTTCGGGGCAAGTGTATGGACAAACGATATTCGTTGATTCGAGGGCCCTGTCCACATGCCGCGTCCTTTTGGTGGCATAAGCTTGAAGCGAAAGACCTTCACCTGGATTCCCTCATCATTCTTTCATCGCAGCGTGTTGGCACGCACGTGCCTGATGATATCCTGGCACGATTCTGCTACTAACTACTTCTGCCTCTTCCACCTATACTATACTACTACTTACTGCTACGTACGAGGACGACCTCCACCACCACGATCACCACCACCACCACCACAATCAACACCACCTCCACCCACCACCACAACCACAGCCACCGCAGCCACAGCCACCGCAGCCACAGCCACCGCCACCCCCACCGACACCGCCACCACCGCCACCACCCCCACCACCACCACCACCACCACCACCACCGCCACCGCCACCGCCACCGCCACCGCCACCGCCATCACCACCGCCATCACCGCCATTGCTGTCTGCGAACTGTAGGTCTGGTCGTAATTGTTATCATAATTTTCAAGCATAGCAAGTGCCCGCAAGGATCAGCTGTGCTATGTAGTTCAAAAAAAGCTCTGCGGGATCCCCATTGCCGAGACCATGCTCCGGCTGGCGATCATGCTGGCCCTGGCGGAGGCGGCTGGGGCCTAGTCTCTGCCCTTTATTTTGATAGACCCCTGAGTTTTGTATTGACAGCAGAGTATCCCCAAGCCCTTGTTCCGATTCGCTTTTGGCTCCTATCTTTGTGCTGAGGGCGACTTCACGTTTCCGAGACTTTGTTGCCAGCATCTTTTCGTGTTTGGACTGAGCATGTTGCTCCTGGATCAGTGTTTTGACCACTTCCGTCCACAACTTCCAACAAAGGACTTGAGTTCTTGGCATTTGTGGAGTTTAGGGATCCCTAATGGTCAAAAGCCCCGTCTGCCACTGAAGGATTCGGGCCGTGTCAGTAGTGGCCGTTAGTTCTCCTTACACCACCGGTCGGCGAAGGTGTGCTCTTGTTACAACTTCATGCTTGCAGGTCCTTCAAGTTTTCGCTTCAACTGGATGAACTTAGCAACGAGGTTTAGGGTGGTATTCCGAAGCCTTCTGGGACCTTCCCGGGTTTACTTCTTGCACCGCACGGCAGCTGGTTTCATATCGGGCCCAGGTTTCAGGTGAACTTCGTATCCAGGGCTCTCATCAAACAGGCGGCTGGATCTTTCGAGCTGACGCCAGAGGACCGCCTGGGGCACCCACACCTTTCAGCATTGGTCTACCCTCCCACGAGTGGGCGACGACATGAGAGATTGCGCTTTCAAGACACAGGGTTTGGTTTCTCTTGATATAGTCTGTCAGAACAGAGGTCGAGGGCTGAAGCACAGAAGGTTCAAGACAGTGGGTGAAGCAGACCGCTCCGGTGCTTGGCAGCACGACGCTCACATGCTGTCTCGTGCTGATGATCACTGTTGTCCCTCTCAGCGGCCTGTAGAAAAAGACCCTGCAGCCGTTGCTCTCCGTTCGATGCACGCCTAGCTCCTGAGCCGCAGGGCTACGCCGAAATCTTGGCGACCAATTCCCCTGAGAAAAAGGAGGCAGGGCGCGGGAACCTTTTCGGCGACTGCAGCATGTTGTGTTCTCGCATGTTTGGTCTTCAACTTGGGGCTTCAAGAACGTCGTCCTGAGATTGTCCTCCCCGTTTTGCTCTTTTTCTGTCTACATCATCATGTGACCCACAAACGAGTGAATCAGCCCCATGTTCCTGCATGTTGTACACGTGTACACCTTACCCTTCTGCGCCTCGAGCCTCCAGGGAAAGCATGAGAGAGTGAGGGCGAGAGGAGCACCGGGGACGACTGGTTTACGGAGTTCTCCTAGCAGCCCTCCAGCAAGTACAGACAGCGAGTGAGGCGGATGCTGTAAGGTTGGTTCAAAAACCAGTATTTCGTCAGGGCATGCGGCAGCGGTCGATTGGTGATGCCAGTTGAAGTCACGATTGAAATGAGAGGAGTTCATCGAAACTGTCGTGACCCAGCAACTCCACGGCTTCGTTACCAGTCGCCGGCTAAGACTACAGTGCGGGAGACGTCAGGCTTTATCCCTGCGGCTTGATTCTTTAATCCGTCTAGCTGTACAAAAGTACATGTTTTTGGTAAAGGCAGGATATTCGATGCATTGCATGCATACGGCGATAACTCGTGACGATAGCAGCCAAAGTTAGAGTCCTTGCAGGAATCAATGCAGACTTAGCAGGAGGAAGAGGGATTTGGAAGCCGCGCTGGCATTGTTCTGGCAAGGCGATGCAGGGCTCAAGAGCTTTGCGGCGACCGTGCCCTGGCGGGTATCAATGGGGCTATTCGCTTCACAACATTATCAAACACCCCCTTTAATCAGAGCGGTTGCTCGACTGATGCTTTTGCGGCTTCAGGGCGTGGAGTTGACACTAGAAAAAATTATGGGGACAACCAGGCCTTTTTTCTAGGCCCTATTGCACTAGTATTGATACTACTAGATGTGGAAAGGAACAGGAACCGGTGGCATCCGGGACCACTGTGGGTAGAAGCTACCACTGCCACTACCACTACCACCACCACCGCCACGACGACGACGACGACGACGACGACGACGACTACTACTACTACTACTACTACTACTAGCACTACCACGACTACTAGTACTACCCCTAGTACTACTGCTGCTGCTGCTGCTGCTAGTGCTGGTGCCACTGCTATTATTAGTGTTATTATTACTACTACTACTACTACTACTACTACTACTACTACTACTACTACTACTGCGACGACGACGACGATCAGGACCGTCGACGTAGGGACCCACCCGGTTTGGCTCTTATGGCCACAACGAGGCTCCTACCAGTTGGTCGGCGCTTCTGTCGCAGCTGCAGGGGCTGCCCTGGCTGTGCGGTGGAGCGACAGGCTGCCTTCAGAGCTTCAAGGAACTGCCGCGTTAGTTATGGATGCTGAGCGTGGGGTCAGATCTGATCTGGAAGTCCGCTTCTCGCCAAAACTCATGGTAGGGGTTCCTGTCAGCGATCTGCCGTTAAGAACAGTCTTAGCTCCACTGATGCGGCATATGGTTAGCCGAACATCCGAACTATGCTCGTCCAGCTCTAGCGGAACCCTGCACTGTTTTAGGTGTCCACGGTTTACGATTCTGAAGCAGCGTGCCGGTTCCAGGGCATCTCTGCGACGACCCACTGACAGCCCCATTGGGTCCAGACGGCTGGGCTTCTGCCTGGGTCTTAGGGCTCAAGATAGTTCTCAGATCCAAAATGCTTGGAAGTCCACATGCCAGCTGCATAGCACTGAAGTGCTCTTCAGTGCTCTTCTGAGAAGTCCAAAAGGCATGGCATGCTTCACAGCAGCGAGGTCTGCAACAACTTCAAATGCATGCATGTATGTGCATACATGCTATGCATGCAGTCGCACGTGTGTGTGTGTGTAGTATGTATGTATGTGTGTATGAATACAGACAGAAACAGTAAGATACTGCAGTCTCACGACAGGTCGTAAGTTGAGGCTTTCAATCCTAGTCCAGACGTATGCGCCAGTACCGAAGATCTGCGATGAACTGCTCGATTGCTAGCTGCAAAGAGTGCATGTGTTGGGTGAACAAATTGTGGTTTCACCTCGCTCTCGCTCTCGCTCTCGCTCTCGCTCTCTCTCTCTCTCTCTCTCTCTCTCTCTCTCCCTCCTTCTCTGCATGCATCTCTATCAGCTTGTACTGCACATGAAGCTGAACGTGAGCAGCGGCTGTAGCTTCGGAGCCGTTTGCAGGTGCCTCATCTGTTTGAGAGACAGACCTCAGGTGCTGCGTGCCAATGTGACCGCCCGCAGCATTCTCGCCAAGCGCATTGCCGAGGATCGGCTGAATGCGAAGGCGGCGAAGGGGGAGCTCCAGTGAATCATATTGACCCCAAGTACATGAGTCGGATGTGTAGCGCACGGGGCCAGCCATGGGGCCATGCTTAGGGTCTGAAAGACTTCGCAAAAATGCCACGGCAGGTTACCAATGAGCAGCAGCTTATGGAGTGGGCCAGGTTCGCTGATGCCTTGAACACTGCTGACTAGCAATCGCAGGCTGCATGTTTCGTTTAGTGGTGTTTTGTTTGTACCGTACTGATAACGGTTATGCTAACAACGGAAGCAAACAGAAACATAATATGATGCTAATAATAATAATAACAATATTTCACAAATGACAACAAACATGGATTGTGATTTGTTCACATTGTCTTGTACTTACTTGTCCGGCACAAAGAGGTCTAGGCTTGAAACTACTGCTTGCCCTGCAAGGGTCGGAGGAGCCCACTCAACTAAGGAGCTATTCACTCTGGGCTCAAACCCGAATCGAGGAGTCAGCTACTAGTAGAGGTTCGACCCTGTCATTTTGGCTGAGAATTTGTGTGAGGGTCTGGCAACAGGGAGCTTGCAGAGGGCATTGTCACGCCGTTCCACCATGGCCTTTGAGAAAGATCAGGAGCCCACTATCTCGAACGAGATAGGGACAGGAACGTTGAGTAGTTGAGACCTTGCAAGTCTGGGAGGTCTGCACCGGATACTTGGGACACCGCCTTGGCTGAGTCAGCCCGACATTGCTTGCTGAGTGTGGGCAGGACACATATATATATATATATATATATATATGTCCACAGTTCACTCAACGTCATCCTGGTTGTCATCATCAACATCATATGAGCAACATCATAATCACCAGCATCATCATGAGCATCGTCTTCAACATGGTCATCATCATAATCACCACCATCTTTGCCGTGGTGTCAGCTGGCAGACGCGAAGGCGCAGGCTCAGCTTTGGGCGCGCTGGATCCCAGCATGCTCACTCAGATTCTGACGCGTGCAATACATGAAAGGAGTGGAAGATTGTTTGGCTTGTGGTTGAAGTTCTCTTCGGCTTCATCTTATGGTCCACTTGTTCGAGAGGCTCAGATTCATGCCTTGTGTGTTTTGGACGCCCATCAGCGTTGCCCCATGCCAGGCTCAAAGCAGCTGAGTTCCTTTGTGGTGGGGAGACGATGCGTAGGCGATTGCCTCAGCCTGCAAAGGATGTGCATTTTAGTCGCGGCGCTTGCCAAATAATTATGCAGGAGGGACGCTCGCTCTTTATGCTGCTGCTGGCCCATCCGACAACTGCTGCATGCCTTTTCTGTGCGACACGTTGAATTGGGTTACATGATGCAGCTGAGGGAGAGGCATTCCCGCGCAGAATCGAATTCTCGTATTCCAAGACGAGGCATTTGCCAACAGAGCAAGAGCGATCGCGCTTGATTGCATGCAGCAGATTTTTAAAGCTAAGGGCACGTTTGGACATCAAACACAACCCATTTTTTGCGCATGAAGGGGACACCATGTCTTATCACTTCTCCGGGTTCGCATCACAAGCTCACGATGGCTTTCTGACGCCCAGCTCTGCTGCACTGTCCTGATCAACACTAGCCAGGCTTGAGCCCCACATGCTTAGTTTGCCTCCATGCCGGGTCCAATGCCGCCGCTGGATGTTGTGCCCCTGGACCTGGGCGAGGCGAAAGGGTCTCGGACAGGGACTTATAGACATTGCTGGAGGATGGTTGCTGGGTTTAGCTGTAGCTTCGAGCCTCTGTTAGATGGCTCTGCCGGCCAGCATAGGCTGAAGCCCATCACCATGGCTTCTACCAAGATTAGCATTCTCTTTAGTTCAACTCTGTTCATGCTAGCAGCTGCTCGTGACATCTCGTCATGGTCTGGGCTTGAACTACCCGGCTTCGTGCTAGAAGCAGAGCCGGCAATAGCGGAACGTGTCAGGAGAGGGTGTTGTTCAGAGCCTTGTCCATCATTTGGGCAGGACCATACATTGAAGTAGTTGAAGTTGCCTCCGTTCCACACCATTGTGCGACGACCTGGATGCGCAGTCTAAGTGTGATCTGCTCGCACTAGAGACTCCCGTCTATTCATCCAGCAGCACATCTTAGTCACTCACATCTGTGAATGCGGTTTGGCGAGGATTCCGTTCGTCAAAGCGTCATCGAGCTGCTGACTTCTGCATTTCATGAAGACCCAGGCCCATCGGCAGACAATCCGGTAGTCGTGCAAAAGTCTGAGGACGACGAACATTCGGAGCAGTTTCGGAGCAACCGTCATTTTCAGAGCAGGTTTCTATTCAACGGCTGTAGCAGTGGGTGCATGCGCTGGCGCATCATAAGATCGAGGCGGCCCAGTCAGGTTCACATTCCACCACTGCACATGTGCAAAGCATGAGTATCGAAAGAAAGGCAAGGACAAGAGGGGCAATGATCACAGCGATAGCAATCGCAGTCATGATGGTGCCATCAGCTACAACAACCCGAGGTCTGAAACAACATTCACGACAACACCCTGACTGTTCGTAGCAATATCGCCGAAAAGAGTATCGGTATTCTTGTTGAACTCAACGGCATTCTGAACCCTGTACCTTAAACCCCAAAGAAAGGTTTCAAATAGGTGGCTTTCCCCAAAACCTCATTCCAAAAATTAGGGCCCCCATATTACCCTAAACCCCCAAAGCAAGGTTTCAAATAGTATGGTGTTGAAAAGCAGCTCAAAAAAAAGTACCAAAGAAAGGTTTCGAATGGGTGGTCGGCTCCGAGCCGGGATCTGATGGCCAGTACCTACGCAGCATGGCACGCAGTGATGCCAGGGCTGACGGTGGTGTGGAGTTGGCCGTATCCCAACAGTAGTAGCAGTGGTAGTAGTAGTAGTAGTAGTAGTAGTAGTAGTAGTAGTAGTAGTAGTAGTAGTAGTAGTAGCGATAGTAGTAGGAGCAGGAGTAGTCGTCGTCCCAACAGTAGCAGTAGTAGCAGTAGTTGAAGTGATTGTTCTAGGGACCCTAGCATTTGCTAGCACAAGTAGCACGCGGAGAATAATTAGCCTGCAAGCCCATTTTCGCTTTCTGGAAGCTGAGAGTTTTCACGGCACCGAAGCCTCAGAGTTGGTATGTTTCACACTCACACAATAAAATATTGAGATTGATCGTTATCCTGGGGGCAAGCTTGGTTTCAGCTCCAAGTGCATTTCCCAAAAAGGACCTACGGGCCTAATGCGTAGTGCAGACACGGTTACATCAAACGGAGTGCTCGTAGGGTTCTCCTAAACCCTGCATCCCCAAGTTTGCTCTAGACAGATTGCAACTTCCCAGTACGATGCCGGCTCGGAGGCTACATCACCTGGGTTCTTAGCTTGGCTGCGCATGTGGTCCCCGCTGTGGGCGGCATGGCCTTGGGCGCGCTGTCCGAGGAGGTGCGGCTGAAGTTTGCCGCCTGCAAGACTTCTTAATCACATGTAATGCGAAAAGGAAAAGTCATACGTATATGGAAACAGACACTTGCCACCTATACTTCGCAATTATGCATCGTTGCACCAGTCAAGTACTTGCAGCGGCAGCCGTTTTCCTGGGAACACGGAAATGAAGGAATCACTAACCACTGGTGGTAGGACGTTGACAGCACAAAGCGAGGTCTTGCTTGTGCCTGGTAGTGCAAGCACGTTCACACTTTTTGCTTCACATGTACTGCGCCAAAATCTTCATGTGCCTCCCGAGCTCCCCGCCCACGGACTCTGCAAAAGGGGGAAAAGCTGTTCGACAAGGCTGGTTCCATGCAAGTCTAGTGTAAGTGCCTTGCACATTTACTCCTTACATCTTAAGCTAAACTCTGTCGAGGCTTTGCTCGGAGTGGCTCTGCTGCTTCCACCCGGCGTCCAGCTCGAGGCCATTGCACCCGGGGAGCCTGAACCGAGCAGAAATCTTCTGAAGAAGCTTCTATGAAGTGTTCGACCGATGCAGCCGTCCCTTCCAGTGGCCGGGGATTCCATAGCTTGTAATTAGTTGTTTCATTTATGAGGTCCAGTCAAGGTGGCTAGCCGTGATCTTGTTCGGGCTTCGGAGTCCGAAGAGCCATAGCGCTTGAACGCTTCTGTCGACTCGTGCTGCTGCGCAGCTGCAAGCGATGATCTATGCGTTTGAGCCGCTCCGATTCTTTCGGTCGGTGGATAATATAGGGGCCTTAATAATTACCTATACTATTTTGGGGTTCCTTAGTGTAACTATAGTATAATGGGCCCCAAAACCCTATTCTAATTATTAAGGCCCCTATAGTAGTTGGCGCGTGCAAGCTCGATGCGCCGGGAGATGCCAAGCTAGCTGTCCTTCAGGACGCAGGCCTGGGGAAGCTCATTGGCCCTGGAGGCCGGCGTCACATCTGTATATAGTAAAAAAATGATACATATATATATATATATATATATATCATATTATATAAATATATGTATTTATAATATATGTATATATATATATACTAGACCAGAGAGTCTCTCATGCTAACACACTGCTACGCAGGAGTGACGGTTGCGTCGGTCTCTTGCTCTTCAAATCTTGAAGTCGGCGTGCTGTCCACGACTGGTCTTTTTGACAGCCAATGCGAGGGCCTGTGGGCAGTCCTCCTTTCTATCCCAGCAAGGACACTCAAAGCAAGGACCGAAGACCGCATCTGATTCGTTGAGCGGCAGCATGCAGTGCGGCTGGGATGTCTTAAATCACCGAACCCTCTCCGGGAAAGTTTGTTTGTGTCAGGACCTGCTGGCCTGGGCACGGGCCGCCCGGCGACGCGACCGAGTCCCGGGGACGGCATTGGAACATGTTGAAGCCGAGGTAGCCACTGTTAGCCACTGGTATGACCGAGCTCGTCTTCATAGTTTTGCTACAAAGTGGCAGTGATCGGTGCAGTGGACTCGCCGCTTTGTCGACGCGTCGGAATGCTGTCTCCAGAAACTTACAGACGAAGCGCCTTGGAAGTGTAGATGTAGGTAAAAGAGGAGCGACTGGGTCGTTAATCTCGGCCGCTACGGTTTTTTCGGGGCTGAGAACACGGTGGTGGCGTCTTCCGCCGCGATTTCCGAATGCTCCCAAACAAGACTCGTTGAAAAACGAAGCTTCTGAATGTTTGGCTTCCATAGACAGGTCCTGCTGGTGGAGTGTAAGACCGGCGGGTCTTGATGCCAGTCAAGTAGACTGTCAGGACTCTGGTGGAGTGCGAAGCCTCGTAGGCACAAAGTCTGGCACCTTTCGTTCAGGCTTTTGGTCGCTCAGTGGGTGAGATTCATCGAGCGGTCGCGTCCATGCCGCAGCACGGCTTCAAGTCTCTTCATAAAGATAATCATAACGATAGGGGTACTAGCGCATTCTGCTGTGCGAGAAGGGAAGTGCCGGGTGCGAGAGATGAAGGCCTCAATTGGAATTTGCATGAGCTTTGAACACGGCGCAGTGACGCACTCGTTTGCCCACATCGTCGAAATCTGGACTCGTGGTGCAATCCATGGCCCTTAGCAATCTCCACCCGAGGCATTGGTACTTGTGGTTCCTCGGCGTGCATCCAGATGCGCAGGGGCAAGGCCACATTAGAGCGCGCATGATTTCCCGTTGGGATTAGCGATGTTGAGCTTGTGCAGTAAACATTGCACGCAAGCGTGTGCTCAGAATATAGACGACTATAGACGTTTCTGACGACATCCGGCGGCAATACAGGAGGCACTTACAACCCGTTAGCGACTCGTTCCGGTGAGCTGTAAATATGCAGCACGAGGACAAGTCGGGAGAGCAGCTGTATAGATTACAAAGTAAAACAGAAGCGCCGTTGCCCAGGAAACAAGCAAATGCCCTTCTGTGTCACTGCGCGCAGGGGTGGGAGCAGCGCTGCTGGCCGAAATCCAACAGATTCAGGTGGGTTGGTTCAATTTTGAATTTGTCTACATGTTTCTTGCCCATTACATCATATATATATATATATAGTTGTATATATATATATAACTTTTTCTCACATAATATATGTTATATATGTATATAATATATATATATATATATATATATGTATATATGTATATGTATATATATATACATATACATGACATCCAGTTGCAGATGCGTTTGGGTGCTGCATTCGCTCCTCTTCCCTGCACGTAAGTGCAGTAGAAGCCTTTCAGCGCCGGAGGACCGCGATCGGGTGCCCTGCTACTTGGACGGGGCCTCAGGATGCATCCGGTCTCGCAGAGGTCCTGCAGCACGGGTCTTGAGCTGCCAGAAATGGCTCCTTATACTGTAACAAAATGCATTTACCTGTCAGCTTACGTGAGTATACGTACGTACGTTCATACGTACATACATACATACATACATATATATATATATACATATAGATGTACGAGATGTACCTGTACATAATTACATCTACCCAAGTCTAGAGTTATATACATACGTACATGTGTATGTATGTGTGGATGTATGTACATGTGTATGTAGGCAGGTACATATGTATGTATGTACGTATGAATGTATGTGTGTGTGTGTATGTACGTACGTACATACAAGTATGTACGTTTTTTTAATTTTATCTATATACATATATCTATCTATCTATCTATCTATCTATCTTTATGTACACTTGTAACTCTTGCCAATGATGTACATCCACGTAACTTCCATTCAGAGCCCTGCCAAAAAAAACACGACAGCAGCTACCCTCATTCCAAACTGAGATCATGCGCAACTACAGATGTTAGAGGTTGACTGTTTGCTGTGTCCTCGAAGCCATGACTCTATATAGATCCCTACCGGCTAGCGGTCTCGACTCAGGAGACAAGCAGATGGACAAATGTCCAGATCTACTCAAAGAAGAGCTTCAAGCTGGAGCGAGATGCCATGGGCCCAGACCGACTGCGAAGAACTCCAAGCCTTGAGCCGTGGTTAACAACCTATCTGAGAATTAAGCAGCTGCGCGCTCGATTCTGAGCAAGACGTGAAGGGCGTTTCTGAGCCACACTGTAGTCGAGACAGCAACAGAATTGTGCTGAGTTCGCGGTGCTCGCCAAAGACAAGCAGGGACAAATCCGCGACAGGCCCGCCCGCAAGTAAATCCGCGATATGCAACGAATCGGCTTTTCGTGGTGAAGCTGCTAAAGTAAATGCACGTGTGGGTTCTTGAGTTCGTCAGAAGAATCGAACGGGTGCTCTATGCACGGCAGGGTCCTTTCACATAATGTGCGTGTCTGTGTGTTCACGAAAATGTATGTAAGCATGGGTAAATTTGCATGTACATGTACCCGCACCTACACACATTTAATGCTTGTTGTGACCGTGATAGATAGATAGATGGATCGATGGATGGAGATTTGTGTATGTATTCTAATGCTCCATGCCTTCAGCTCTGAAGCTAATCCGCCTGACACGACACGATGCACCAAAGTTGCTGGCTTAAACTGGTGCAGGTTCGACCTCGATGGCGGCATGCACGCCATGATCCGTTTTCCGAACTCCGGAGCTGCGAAGCTCTAAAGTTTAAAGAGAAAAAAAGCTCCACCGGTGCCGCGTTCAGTGGCGAGTAGATTGACCTCGAGTGCATCGAACAGCGGTCTATCTACGTAACGACGGTAGAAGGAAGAACATAATCACAATAGTCATCCGGAGTCAATTGTCCGTGGACGCGACGCCCTACTTAAGCGTTTCGGACTGATTTCGGGTTGTGCGAGACATGCCACTGACAGCACACCGCTACATGTATGCCAGAGAGAGAACATCCCAGAACATGTGACTAAGCAGGATCGATAGCTGGCACGCTTGGCTTCGCATGTCTTTGTTGATCTTGCACAGACCCAGGTGCGAAGGCTCCAGCGAAGGCGGACACTTGGCTTGCCCGCGTCTTCAGTAAACACGGGCAGACAGGAACTTCTGCCTTCTGCACCATGTAGAACTCCATCACAATGCTGCCGGGATTTGCTATACAATGTTTGTCTTATGTGTATATATTTATACAATTTATATATGTATATGTGTATATGTGCATATATGCATGTCTACATCATGTATATCTAAAAATTGCTTATGACTAGAAGTCTCAACCTTCCCTAGCAGCCAGGGGCCTCCGTTCTCAACGCGAACCAGCGCTCTGCCGCTGCTCTCTCAGCCGGAATGCGTCCGCTTCAGGGCATGGCTCCATGGTAATGAGCATGAAGATGGCGAATATGATCGTGAGTGCGGTCATGCTCACGCCCCCTACCTACAGCAGGAGCATGCTTGGAGTCGTTATCGTCGTCATACCGATTGCCTTTGCACGAGTTCCACATCAGCGGCAAGCGTCGTAGAAGCCAGACAGTAGAAGGATACCATGGCCATGGAGTCAAGGCTTCGTGACTTGCTATTGCCAACCCGCTCTAAGTACTTGCGCATTGCAGCAGAACGTGCAGCTAAGAGTACTTGAGCAGAAGATCAACGAAGACTGCAGCGTATGCATGGGGGGCTCTCATTCCAGATGGTCTGGAGGTCTCACTAAACAGCGGACCAGCTAACGATTCCCCTTTGTAGTCTGAAGCCTCCTAGCCTTGCCGTTCATGGACAGTTCGTGCATGTAGGTCCCGATCCCTAGAGTGGATTCCCTGCCGTTTTGGCCCCTGCCATGAGTTTATGTAACAAGTTATGTGTTCATGGTGGATGTATTCATCAACTGTCGCTCCCCATCGCGAGGTCCTTCTGGGCAAACTTGCGTTTGCCGCGATGTGCCTCGCTGCCTCTTGGCACGAGCTTCGGACCAGTGTTTCCCTTCCCCAACTTCGGCACAGTGGAAACAGCTGTCCGCTCGGTTCCAATCCTGCTATCTCCACTTTTCCCCAGATCTCCAGTCTCAGTTTGCAGGAGTGAGATACGTGACGCCGGTTCCACCCTGCTGAGCCCTGGGAATGCCATGAACTTTAGTAGTTCCGAGCACAATGCCTGTCCTTCTTTTTTCGGAAGTCGCCTTCGAGCCTGAAACACAACACCAGGCCCCATCGGCAGCATCGGCAGCAAGCAGTCGTGACGACTGGATTTTGTCATTCTGCAGCCCCGATCCCACCGTGAAGTACCAAACCATACCAAGCCCAAGAACCCCAGGAGCTGAACCCAGACTTCCAGTAAATGAGAGAGCGCCAGTGTCAGCTTTGTCAAGCCTCTAAAAAGATACTGCTTCACCACTCCTAGGCTTAAATCCTGGACTCCTGAAGCTGCAGTTTCAGCCCAAATCGGGGTCCTTGCCCGACCTCCTGAGCTCGCGGTCTGGCTTTGGCGTGTAGCCAGCAGCACAGGCACTTCTTGTTGCGGCGCTCGGTTGCGCGCTGTACTCAGAAGACATGTCGGGCCCTGAACATCTTGCGTCGTCTTGTGCTTAGTGCTTGCAGGGGACAGGCTTCCTTCAAGCTTCAGGTGGCGTCTGACTTCCTGCAGGTTTGATTGTGATTTTGTACGCCCAGCTGGCGTAGCGGACGTCAATTGTTGCTGCAAGTGGCGGATATTTGCACTGCATATCTCATTGCCTCATATGCATCATGCCACTTTCTTTTGCTTGTTAACGATGAGCCTCGCTCGCAGAACATGTTTCAGGACCCTCCAGTACGCGCGGGAAGGCGCTGCTCGCGATGCCAAGCAGCGGTTTTATGCGCAGGCCTTGTGGGGCGATGTCACTTTTGAGAAATCGCAGGCTCGGGAAAGATGTGGATGCAAGGCAATAAACTCCGGAGAGAGGCCTTGCAGCAAGCAGCCAGACATGCTGCATAGTCAGGTTGACGATAGTAACAGGTGGCGACAGCAGGCATGGTAAACAGAGATACATTTGTCATGGCTCTGGTGGCGGCAGCCGTTATTGCTGCCATGAGAGTCACTAGTGACAACAACTATGAGCAACAGCTAGCCCCAAAAACCGACAGGGCTAACACGTGGTTGCTTTGGCCACCTCCCAGGCCGGCCTTGCCAGCGCCCAGCCACAGGCCCAGGCATCCGGTAACCTGCAGTCTGTCTTTGTTTCGGCACTTGGACGTTATCCCTTGAGGGGTATGACTTATGTGTGTATACGAAATGTATTACCTGTATGGTTTGTACTCAGAATATTCACTAGAATAGCATCGAATATCAGATATGTAATGCATATGGCAATGTAATAGAGCAGAATATACTCTAGCAGGGTATCATTTAAGAAAAATATCTGCACACATCGGTCTGTACCCGCAAATTATATAGCTAGATCGATGCCTATACCTATGTGAGGACACAGTGAGGTGATGTTATGTGCGTGTGTGTGTGTGCGCATAGTTACATAGTAACATTTAGAAGAAATACCATGTGATGTGCAAAGTTGGGTAAGATTCGAGGACAGATGGAGAACTGAGCACAGCAGTAGCATGTAAGTATGTTCTTGCCACAACAGGAGTGAGTGGAAATAGCCTACCTAGGATGTGACAGATGCATGGCTGGATGACGGCTGAAAGCCCAGCCAATACCAACGACTTTCGCCGCACCATCTGTTAGTGCAGGCATACTGTAATTATAGTAAGGAACCCCCCCAAAACCCTGCTCTAACTAAGGCCCCCTACATTAGACCTCCGTCCCAAACCCAGACAAAAAACGATGTGTCCAGCCATGGTGGACTCGATCCCATCCCAAGCAAACGACTTCTGTCAAGGGGCCTTTCTAGACAAGACCTAGCAACCTGTACTGGTGAAGTGATGGGGCGGCGCGTGTATATGTGCATGTATAAGTATATACACAAATACATACATATATATATATATATATACGCACATACGAACATACCAAATGCAGACGGGTTCTGGTTCCTCTTGCCAGGACGTTGGCAGGCGTTGTCTCCACACCCCCTGCTCGACAGTCCAGCCACTGGATTCTTCTGAATGCCCAGAGCCCGAAGATCCCGAGCGCTCATAGTATAGGGGCCTAAAAATCAAAAAAATACCAATACATACCAATACTATTTCGGGGGTTCCTGATCGTAAGTATAGTACAATGGGCTCCAAAGCCCTATTACAATTATTAAGGCCCCAATACTATAGTACCCTTATAGATCCCTTATCGTAGCCCTCATAGAAAGGAATCCTGTTCTAATTTTTAAGGCGCCTATATTATAGAAGCCTACTACAGTATACATCCCTTTAAGGATCCCTTAAAAGGGAACCCTGTTCGAAATATTAAGGCTCCCATATTATTGAATCCTACGATAGATCCCTTTATAGGAACCCTATTCTAATTATTCACGCCCCCATATTTTAGAATCCTATATTCGCAACTATTGCAGGCTGCCTCCTCCTCCCCAGCGCTGCAAGACTCGAGGTCTCGGACGCTCAGGGTCTTCAGGTCTCGGTGCAATACCTCTAATGAGTACCTGTGCTATTTGGGGGGGGGGTCCTTTAAAGGGCTCCTCAAAGGGGTCTATAAGGGATCTATAGTAGGGTTCTATGCTTAGGGGCCTTAATAATTGCCTATGCTAGTTTGGGGGGGGCGGGGGGTTCCTGGTTATGATTGTGGTGTAATATACCCCAAAACCCTCTGCTAATGAAGTCCAGTGCGTGATGAGTGTCGGTACTATTTTTACTATCGCCATCTCCGCGAGATGCATCTGCCGCCGTGTGAACCTCCGACCTGTCAAGCCAAGTGGTACTTGTAGCACCTGCATCGGCGAGGATGTTGCAGGCGCCAGTGATGTACTACCAGGCGCGCGGGATGTTGATGATCCGGTGGTAGCGTCAATCTCATGGTCCCATGCTGAGGTTGTGCTTGTAAGCCGTGATCAAGTCCGCCACTATCCGCCACTCCACATTTGATCGGATTCAGAATAATCCAATGATCAACACCTCCCAGTTCGCGACATAGCTTGAAGCGACAACAGTCGCGCTTCACCATCTCCGTGATCAATCGGTGCTTTGAAGTAGGGGGTCAGGGTCTGTTGAGCTGACAGACGACATCCTGCACAATACCCAGAGAGAACACAAGGCTGAGGTGAATGGCACCCAGATGTCTGACCCCAAAGACAACTGACCCCTGTGTGCACAACTTCAGCCACCCTAGCCCGACCAACTCAGTAGCTTCATGACTACAGCTTGGCATTGAGTTTGTTCGTCTAGCTCACATGGCATTTGTACTTTCTGTTCTTCGTCGTTCATGCTCCCGAGCGTCATAGTCGTTTCTTGCTGCTTTCGACAGGCATTGTCATATTTGCCCGATATAGCATTATATAGTATGACATAGTACAAGTTATTATGATATATAGTATAACAATATAGTATACTACAATATAATGTAGTATACTATATAGTATTGTATATAGTATATATAATACTGTATAGTTATCCCATATAACTATCCAAGCAGGTTCCCCCGCCCATGTTGCCCGCCGCCTCCGTGGCCAACCAAAGCGCCCGCTCCGTCGTCCAAAATTCTTCAGGCCTGGCATCGGAAGCCGGGACTAAACAGTAGAAAAAGGGGTTTCCCTTTAAAGGGGTCTATCAAGGGATCAAAAGAAGGAGACCATAATATCGGGGCCTTAGTAAGTAGAATAGGGTTCCTTTAAAGGGGTCCGATACGGGGTACTATAGAGATTACTATACGGGTACCATGATATAGGGGCCTTAACAATGAGAGTAGGGTTCCTTCAAAAGGGTCTATGAGGGCTACTACAAGGGATCAAGAAGGGTACTCTAATACAGGGTCTTAATCATTAGAATTGGGTTTTGGGGCCTATTATACGTTCATTGTAACAGGGAGCCCCCAAAATTGTATTGGTAATTGTGCATCGTAGCCTGTCAGACGTGGTGACTATGTTTTTGTTGCCGAGCTCGGGGCTGTTTTGGGGGATCTTGCGGATGCTTTCTGATGGATTCGAGAGGTTATGTTTCATTTTCTCGTAGTTCTTCCATTTGTACAGTCTGTATCGCCGCATGGAACGTGCATAGACGACCAGCGTGTCCATTTTGAATCGCTTCAAGAGCTTCCAACGAGGGACATCCGGCCTCAGCAGAGTCAGAATTGTGCCGCTGCGGAGAATATGTCCGGGATTAGTAACAATAATAATAATATTATTTGTAATAATAATAATATTAATAATAATAGTAATAAGAGGCCCAGGCCGCCAGTGCTGAGAGGTTCATGTCGGCTACCCCAGAAGACTCAGAAGCCTAGAAGTTGCATACACTGGCGGCTTACGGCTTCCGGGTGTTCCGCATGATGAAGGGGCATTATGGCTAGAGAGTTCACTTCGAGTGTTTCGGCTCGCTGTCGTTCCCTTTGGTCGGTACCCCAGATGCGACACCAAGATCCCCACAGCCTGCTTTAAGATGGCAGGTTTGTCTGCTCCGGCTCCGCAGGCACAGGGGCGGAGTTGGTTCTGTGGCGGAGTGGGTGTGGCTGGCACTCATAGGAAGTTCAGACTGGCGGATGGATAGCTCACCCAAGTGTACTCGAGCGGCTAGGTTGCCACAAGGCAGGTGTTGACCATCGTGGCCTGAGTTAGAAAGCGCGCAAACGAGCAGGTACCATACAAGAAAGCCTGCAGAAGCCACTTTATCAGACAACTGGAAAGGAGCGACACGGGCGCTGATCATCAGAGTCAATCTGGATCCTTGAGTTATGAGAGCTCTGGGATGGACATACAGGCAACTCTACTTCGAATGTCGGTTCACAGGTCCTAGAGTTCTTACATCCCAGGCTGGCCTCTTTACGTTTGTGTTCAGTTACTGGTTATCAGACCAAGCAGGCTCATTTGGTGCGGCTTTCTCTGGGTCCTCAAACATGGCTCGGACGGAAGCAGCCGATCAACAAGAACGATTATTCTCTAGATCGGAAAAGTGCTTTCAAACAGAATAAGAAGCGGGGTAACCGTCACTTCTGAAGCGATTTAGGGTTTAGGGTTTCGTAGGTTTACTTCTACGAGCAGGGCCTGTCCGTCGTCTCGCCGGCGAGCTTGGCGAAGGCAGCTGCTGAGCCTTGGCCGGTCTGAGGCCAGAGCCATTGCCAATGCTATGGTAGGAGTCCAGCTACGGGATCAGGTTTGAGGAGTTGGTGCCTGCGGAGAGGAGTTCTGTGGAATGGGTTCGTGCATTATCCGAGCTTTCCAATGTCCGTGAGTTTGTGAAGCCAATGAGGCAGTCATAGTACCACGAATTTCTAACAGTACCATACTGCTTAGTTCAGTGCTTCTCGAGATGGGATTAAGTGAGAAGTAGACGAGAAGTGCCGTACCATAGTTGGTGATAGTTCAGGTTGCCTAGGGTCCCGCATTGCAATGTATGTAGAATTTAGCATGACAGTATCCGTTCGGGGGAAGGGTGCCGAAGTCCGGCCTTACTCTCGACTTTGTTGTTCATGTCTCGTTGGCTCGGCCCGGAACAAGCAGCATGTGCGTGGCTCTGACATGTCGCGTTGTAGAATTCAGTGATAGCCTGCATGCAAAGCTAATGTCGCGATTTCAGCTTATCCCTCTCACGCTAGAGGAGACCTGCTTGCAGGAGACGGGGAGCATGCTTCCATGCGGGTCCAGGCCAAGGAAAAATGCAGGCTAAGACTTGCCAGAATATGCCCCGGACTCTCCCCGTGCTTCTTGTCTATCAGACTCTTATAAAGGATCGCGCCCCATTGGCAGTCTGGCGGCTGCTTGGGTTTCATCGCTCATGGCCGGGAAAGCAACATTTGCTTTGAAAGGAATGTCAGGGATGGTGCAGTACAAGCAGTGGCGATAGCAAGTATATCCAGGCTATAGAGAGTAGTTGGAATCGCAGCACCTGTACTTCACTTTGTCCATGCAGGACTTAGTGTAAATTGTACCGTGATGCTTTGCGATCTGCTTGCAGCCGCCAGACTACAGCGCCTGTGTGAATGACAGGCACAAAGAGATTCCAAAAGCCCAAAACCAACATGATAGTACCCTTACAGTAGCCCTCATAGACAGGATCCCGCACCCCAAGCTCAGTCAGTGACTTTTTGAGTCTCTGGGATCCAGACGGCTGCTCAGGGAGCAGGTCCCTCCTGCACCCGGCGCCCGGCTGATAGCATCTCGAAGGACGGCGCAGCGATCTGCAGCTCGGTGAGGCTGCTCATCACCCCGAGGTCGAAAACAAGTCTGCTAGAGTGCATCATGCGGCTTCTGATTCTGTGTATTTACTTATGCAAATGTGCGTGCATGTCAAGAAAGGCATGTTTGCATGCTTATTACTGTTATGTCAGCACTTATGTTGCATGCTAAGACGGGACTAGACTCCGCGGTAAACTCCCACAAAAATAATTGAGTGTCATGATGAGCAAAACATCCCGACTTTTAAGCAAACCACGCCCCAGATCCTGCAAGTGTAGTTGTGGCAAATGTTTGTGCGACTGCCAGATATTCGGACCCCTCCACCCGGTGAAACTAGCAGCAGCAAGTGTTCACGTCCTTAGCATGGATCCGATCTTTGCACATCCGGGCCGCCGGCATAAAATCAGCGCTGCTGTGCTCGATACGCTCATCAAGTCCTCGTCCTACATCCGAAGCCCTGTTGCCAGAGCTGTCTTCAGCTGCATGAGCCCCAGGAGGTAAGCTTGACATATAGAACTGATATGATCATGACGCTGTTACACATATTGTGGGCATGGCAATACCGGCAGTCATGGCTCAACATTCATCACAGAAACAAAAAATACTAATAATAATAATAGTAATAATTTAACAATAGTAAATAATAGTACTAATAATAGTAATAATAATAGTAAGAATAGTAATAAGAGCCATACACTGGTAGCGGTGCACTAGCAGCGATACCTCTACTTCCAATGGTTCCAAGCAGAGAAGCCGCTGCTAACAACTGCAACAAACGCGGATCTTTAGGGTTTAGGGTTTAATTACACGGAGTTAAGCACATGCAGCACCTTGAGTCTTGAGCGATCAAAAGCAAGTTTGGCACGCCCTCTCAGAGATCTTTCCACCATCCCAGTGGCACGTCTTTACGCCGCGCGCAGGTTCACCCCGAACGCACAGCCCATGCTGCGCAAATGCTTCGAGTTCAACCCCGTGCAACGGATACACGTCCACGAGGCCTGACGACGTTTGACATAGAGGGTTCTCGATGCTGGGCTGGGTTTTGTCTTTTCGGGCTTGAGATGTTGGGCTCAAGATTTGCACGGGCCTTGCGATAGTGGGGCAGTCGCAGTAGAAGGTTTAGTAATCCCAAGCAAGTCTACGGGTATACCAGCCATCATCACAACATTTACAACAGAAATCAGCCGTGTGGCAGACCTGCAATCCAAGCTTCATTTCGGAACCATCCCAATCCTGAAGCAACTCTACAGTAGAAGCCAGAAAGTTGACACATTACTATCCTCATGCCCTCAATCTAAAGTAAGGGGAATCCCAGGACAAATCATCCCAAATCTATGTTCCAACTTTTTGGGGTTCACTATACGGGTATACCAGCATGCGGTCATCATAACGAGTCAAAGCATTTACAGTAGAAATCATCCGTCTGGCCGCGCACCTGCAATCCAAGTGTCAATTCGGAACCTTCTCTGCAGATCCAGCTCGTGCTGAAGGGTCTGACGCCGCAGGACCTGGCCATGTGGTTTGGTTTGTTGTGAGGGTTTATACTGCTTCGCGCGACCAGGGGCTTTTGGAGCTCCAGATTGCAAGGTTCGCAGTCATAAGGCCTTAACTTCAAGACGGCCACGGCAGGTGTTTATGGTTGAAGCGCATACTCCACACCCGCTGGCAGGATCTGGAACGGCATGGTATGGACAAACGTGCCGTACCCAGTCTCGCGAGGAACGCTTGAAGGCATTGCGAGCACCTTCCCACGAAAAACGTGTTGTGCGGCCAAACCTAAACAAGGCATAATATGGACTCTCATGCTCGGAGCCTGCTGCGCTGCTACACTTTCGGCCGAGTTTGCAAGGTGGGCAACTATTGATTTGCAGGGGGCAGGGGATGTGTACCGCAGTGTTTGCGGTTATTTGCAGTTTTGTCTTTCTACGAGTCATCAGCCGTTACGATTGCCGCTGCTCTCTACGATTATGCCAAGGTCGAACGCGGTGAGCTGCAATTGCGGCTTTCTCAACCCCGTCTAGCTGAGGCCCTGAGCCATCCGATATGAACTCTCGTAATTGAAACAGGACAGAGATTCTGGGAAGAGATGGGAAGAGTGTTTAAGCTGCAATAGCTTGCTTTTGTCGAACATTTTCCGAAATAGAAGGCCTGTTGGTTTGCTTTCGTCAGAGTCCCTTTGGGTGACTTGCTGCTGGGCTGAAGTACCCGCGCGCAACCTATGGTCTGCACGCTGCATGCACGGACCTTGCACAAAGCATCCTGCTTCCGGTGCATGTCCTGCCGGTTTAGAATCTCGATAGGACAACAAAGTGCTATATGATCTGCGGCCTTACCATAGCTTGCAGCACACGAGTAGCTCGTGATAGTCGTACTTGGGGGGAGGTTTAGAATCTCGAAACAAGGTACTTTTGCAGGGAAATGATATGACCTGGCAGCACCCCGGATCATTTCAAAGCAACGTGCTGGAACAGTGGTGATGACGGCATGCTATTCTGCGCTCGCAGCATCATTGAAGATTTTACAAGTGTCACTCCCCATCACGACTCTTGCCAACATGTCTCGCAGCAGTTGGCAGGTAGCCTTTGGCCAGCTGCTGTTGCTAATGCCGTTGCTGATCATGGTTTTGGTGGTGGTGATGGTGGTGTGCCTTCCACCAGGTTTACTTGCAGAGCCCAAGGGGCAGGTAACCTGAGAATTCTGGCGGTCTCGGTGCTTTGCTTCCAGTTGCGAGTCTAGGCGGCTGCAAGTGTTAGCAGACGGCAGACATACAATAACGGGGTTCAGGGCATTTGAGTTCCCTCGCTTGTGCTCGGCCAAATTCAATTGCTCTGACGCGGCCTGTATCCGGCAAGTGCTGCGACTTCTTGAAAGAGAACCTTCCACATTCCTCGTCACTTCTCAGCTTCTGGGGCGGTCCACATGTGGTGGAAGCACCGAGGAAGGCGTCCATAGCCCAGAGCTGTGGACCTCCAAAGTGTAGTTACGCCCTGAACGTCTTCGAAGCTCGCATTTGCTGGATTGCAGGGTGCGTCTTTGCGTGGAATGCAGAGTGCACGAATCAGACGCTTGCGATCTGCCGCTGCAGGTTCTTCGGGGCTGGAAACATTCAAGGTCTTAGTTCCAGCATCGCTACAGGCAAAGAGCGTTGAGGCTCGCAGCAACAAGGTAACATAGCATGACGTCGGGACGGAGATCGGCTGTAAACTATCAACAGCCACCGCTGAGAGAGAGCTACGTCATTGTTGATGTTATATTATATTGGTTTCCGAAGTGGTCCAGCAGCTCTTGCTTCGGTTTCAGAGAGGAAGGAGCACCAGAAAGATACTGTGGAACTCCGAGCATCAGCCGGCACTTGGCAAGCTTAGCGCCTAGCGTTCCACATATCGAGGTGCAGAAGAAGAGGCAGCAGGAAAAGCCATATCTTCGAGCACTTAAGGGCTCATCTTGGTGTTCGGGTGCCGGCGAAATAGATTTCTTTTTGATTTCTGGGACCTATACTCTAGGGCAGCAACAGAATATTTCCGGAAGCTGTCTGCCCTGTTAAGTAGGACGGATTGCATTGCTGCTCTGTCTATTGTCGCAGCTTGCAGTCCATATCTCAAGCGTAGCACTAGTAGCACCGCAGCAGTACATACTTCCCACGCGATCCAGACCACTACTCAGCCAGCCTCCAAATCCTCCTTCAGCTCTGTGCGGCTATGGAACGAGCCAAACGGCGAGCAGCGCAGCTCTCCCAGCAAGTGGTTGCCAGCGAAGGCGCTCTTTTTCGCCGCGAGGGCTGCATGCACCTTGCTGTTGCGGTACCAATGCAATCAAGACACCACCTGGCCATATATGAAACAAGCTATCGCAGTACCCGACCCCTGACTGCAGCTGCCATGGCGGTTTGGCAGGCCTTCCTCACCAGCCTCTCTAGAGCTTCTTTGCATGCTGTTGCTGGGATAGGCTACCCGGAGGGCCCTCCGTCTGCAGCAGTGCCCAACAATTTCGACGTCCTGCCAGGCAGGGGCAATGTCTGCTTGAAAGCTTAAATAAGGCTTTAAGGGTTAGGTTGTGCGGTCGAGATGGTTGTCAAGGATGTCTGAGCCCTGAACCTCCTCTCGAACCTCAACTCCAAACCCCAACAGCTGAAATCAAACGCCTCAGCATCTCCTTATCTTTCCCACGGCGTTGTATTTCCCCCAAGTAAGAGGCAGCGAAGATGCCGAAATCTCGGCTCATCTCCGATGGATGTCCCAGAAGATGGTCCTTGGCCGCTGGGTCGAGACACGAAGGGATCTTGGTTGTTACCAGGATGACGACCACACTACTGTGACTACTATGCAGATCTTATGTTGTCGTTACATATACTGTTTATAACATTCAACGACATGTGACTGTTCTCGTGACTGTGGCGATTCTGATTGTTCTTGCTGGTATGGCGGGGGGGCCGAAGTTCTGAAACCCCGAAGCCGTGCATGCTGTCATGTAGTTTCAGCAAACATCAGCAGTATGAAAACTATGAAGAAGAATGAATGTCAAGCTGCTATAGCAGGTATACTGTGACATACTGTATATTGGTATGTTGCACTACTGATGCCTCGCCCAAGCAGCCATACCTCGAAAGTCTGAATTTCCTGTTCACTTCCAAAGTGCCTTGGTTGAGGAAGCGTCCGCTGTTAATACTTCCAGCTGGCAAGATACCTTAAAAGCCTTTAAGCAGCTGGTCTTGAGTTGGTTGGGTCACCATGTCTCGAAGATTTTATTCAGCCATCAGACATTTCTAAGATCTCTTCACCAGAAGCCCGTGAAGGCCACTCCATGTTCACGGTGTTGGTCGTCTTAAGAGCGCTTGGGTTGTGTGCATACAAAAGTCATGATCGGAGAGATCAGCACCACCTCTGTTGCCACCACATCGCAGGCGGTAGCACCAGAACTGCCACCGCGACCATCATCTCCCTACAGGAGCAGCACGCAGCACCACCAACCGCACCAACACCATCATCCGCAGCCTGTCCGCAGCAGCATCATCAGCGTTAGATTAGATCCTCCCGTGCCATTGTCGTCGTCCTCATCACCAGCGTCATCAAGTCAATAACGCAGAAAAGACAGGGCGGCGTGACTTGATGATGCCGGTCTTCTGAGGCCAGGACATGCTCCTCCTTGGGCCCCCCGGTTCGCTGCGGCGCCAGCTGGCGCTGCGCTTCTGCGGCTCGGAACGTGTGAGCTTCCTCTCAGCAGCCCCAAATTGCCTCCTCAAGAAAAAGCGCAAAATTGAAGGAGGCACCCCAAAGAAGCAACCTTGAGTGTTAGCCCTGAGCGTCGAAGCCCCAAAGCCTTAAACCCGCAACTAAAATCCCAGAGCTCCGAAGACTTAAACGGCTAAGCCGCGAACCGTGAAATTTTTGGAATCCCAACGCACTACCCGAAACCCGTATCGACTCCATAAACACCTAAACTCTCAACCTTAAGCCGTATAGACCCCGTACACCGAAACCCTTAAACCTTTAATCCCTAAACCCTCTAAAACCCGAGAAACCCCGATAACCCGCCGAACCGCTGAAGCCTTAAGCCCCTACACTGGAGTGTGAAAGGCGATGCGTTGCTTACTTTCACAGCGTCTACTTGGGGAATAATTTTGGCTAAGGCGATGCGCTCAGCGTCTAGTTGGGGATTCATGGTCGGTTCAAAATAAGCAACGCATCGCCTTTCACACTCCAGTGTACAACAAGAAACCACAAGCAGGCACGCGTGCACTCTTGTCTACGAGTAGCGGCAAAGTTGTTTGAAGCAGTGTCTCCCTGTCGATGGCAATACCCTCGGGATTCGCAAAGCAAGCAGTCTTACCAGGTCCATCCGCGTAGCCATAGCAACCCGTTCCGGCAAGTGTGGTGACGGCTTCCTGCGCCTCAGAGTTCTTGTCCAATCTCTCTGGCCCGGAAGCCATTTTGGCTTTGTTCCTAAACGGAACCCTCAACCCCAAACCCCAAACCCAGCCCTCAACCCCAAACCCAACCCTAATGCCTAAAGCTTTGTCTTTGAACTTCATCTTTGATGGACTCCCATGCCTCCAGACCCTAAACCTAGATGATTCGGCGTCGACGGTTAGCTACAAAATGCAGTTACAATGCAACAATAGGACTTGGCCTTGTACTTGGCCTCGTAATGGCACCGAAGGCGAAGCTGTCAGCTTCGCAAATCATTCGTCTGTCGTATTATGATTTGGGCGTGCGCTGCAAAGCTTGGGGCGTCTGCGACAAGCTTCTACCGCCGAGCGACCAAGATGAGCTGCTTGACATTAGAGCGCAATTGGCGCGTGCGATGCGCCCTCCCAAGGAGCGGGGATTGGGATACAGTAAGATGGGATTCCGTGCAATTTGTTTTTGTTCAAGTTGTGGTGGGATTCGGGGGGGTCGCCTGCGTCTTTGTTTGTAGTGTCGGGCATTTCTCGGTGTCAAGTCTGTGAGGAGGCACAGTCCATGCAAGAGGGCACGGCAGCAAAAACTGATGATGCAGCAGGTTCCTCGCCATAGTCTTATGCTGGAAATTTTTTATGAGTTCAAGAGTTTACGTTTGGATCGGGGTTGAGATTGGGTTGTGCTTGAGTCGAGGCTCTTCTAGCAAGCCATTGACATCGTTGGAGATCCAGCCTCAAGATGGAGCAGGACTGCAAGGCGGTAGAAGCTTCTATTGGAGACGTTGCTAATGTGTTTTGATGCGGTGCGCAGGGCTCAAGTCCAGCTCCGTAACACTGCCTTTCTCGCTGTGCCTTGTGCTGCTATGGCTGAGGGGCCTGACGAGCAGTGCACTCCAAGGAAGCGGCCAAGAGATGACGATGACGACGTTCCAACACCGCCGGCCGTGAAAACCGTGAAAAAACGCGAGCTCCCGACTCTCAGTGAGACCCATCGTAAGCAGCTGCAGGCCCTCGGACCCGCCATAGCCGGCAACTGCCACGGCGTAGAGCATGACTCCAGCATGCCATGCTCAATATGTTCTCGCCTGAAGCACACTTGCGGTTGGCAGTACAGAAAGGTGGGTTCGAAACCTACTCGCCGTGTTCTCCAAGGCAGCTATTGCTCCTGCTGTGTGCGAGCATGCGCAAAACTTGGTGTCACCCGTAGCGCGAAGCAGTTGTCTCGAGTTGCAGGAGTTTTGGACTTAGTCAGGGCAACAAGCCACCGCCTGTCCGAGAACGCTGAACGAGGCGACTTGTGCACATGCTCCAGCTGCGGAGGCAAAGTCTTCGAAGCAGAGTGACAATCAGTTCTGGTGGGGAGCCGGAGCGACAGACGACAAAAAGCTTCCGTTTTGCGTGCTTCTGGGCGAACCCTGGTGGAAGCAACACTGCCAAGAGCTTCGTGTACTTCGTTCTCCAGTGGGCGCGAGAGGTCCGGAAGACAATCCCTTTGGAGAAATCCTTGGTCTTGATGCTGGATACGGGCGGAGGTTCACTACTGCATTTCACGCTGGACCTGACCAAAGTGGCCATCCAACAGAACATCAAGCTTTTTTTCCTCCCAGGATATTGCACCCGCGCACTAATGGCATTGGACCAGAACACCCACCAATCCATGAGTTCGCATTGGCGGACCTTCAAGCAGCAATGGTCCTCGAGACCTGAGCCGCTGTCGATCTTTGTCGCGCTGAGGGTCGTCCATGCCTTTTCACAGCGGTCTTTATCACCGCAGATAACAGCAGCATCATGGAAGCGCATTGGGTGTGTGGCTGGCCAACCATGGGACAGAGACATGCTGCTGGTCCAGAGAGCCCATGAAGTTTTCAGTTGTGTTCGTGACCAGACTCAGCCTGATGCGCGGTCCTCTTCGACAGCCTTGAATGTCCTGAAAGACGTGGCCCCTGCCAGAAGCAAGTGCCAAGCCCCTGGCTGTGGTCAGTTCCTCGACTCCAAGATGCGGAAGTGCTACAACTGCGGCATGGAGAACCCTGAATTTGACCAGAGAACTTTCGATGTGGTAAGGCGTGGCTTCCGCAGTGGTTGGCAGCAGAATCCGGTCGTGGAAGTGCCAGATGTCGCGGCAATGACCGAGAATGAGCAACGATTGCTTGCCCAAGTCGACGATATTTGGCGTGAAATGCATCGCAGGGCCAGCACAAGAAACAGCCAGAGGCTGAACCTGTTGCGCAAAGCTTTGCAGCACCAGGCACTGCCCCACCGCAAGCAGAACCTGTGCCTCCCGAGGACGCGGGCTTGAAGATAAGCCCCTAAGCCCTGAACCCTTAACTCCTCATAACCCTAAACCCCAGACCCAGTAGTAGGTTTACCAAAGTTTAAAGAAGTACTGAATGAGCAGGACGAGGAAGCCAGCTCAGACCGAGACTTGGACCTCAACGAGCCCGAGGACGCTGCAGCATACATCCTGTCACACTGGTCCCGCGCCAAGCGGAAGGAGATCGCGAAGGTAGTGCACTTCTACATCGATGAGCAGCGCAAGAAAACCACCAAGCACACTCCTCTCAGCAGCATGATCCAAAAGGAGTTCGTTGCCACCGGGCTTCTCAAGAAAGCCAAAAACAGGGAGTGCTTTCTCAGTGCCTGGCAGCACAACCGCAATTTGCGGTTTGTCCCGAAGCCCAAGTTCCAGACGGGGTAGGTGAGCAAGGCCGTGCGTGCTTGCTGTCAAAAGGTGGACCTGAGCCGCGCTGCGATGTAAAGCTTGCAGGCTAAAGCCAAGCTGTCCGTTGGATGTCAAAGTTGAGGTCTTTCTATGAGTTATGGGTGCCCCGCCCGGGCAGGAATCATCCTCCCAGAGCTAAGGGCCTACAAAGTCCTCAAAGCAGAAAACTGGGTTGAATAGTTTTAGGGGAAGTTAGCACTCGGTACGCGGATTTCGGCCGTATTGGAGGCCCCAGATCCCTTTAAACACCTGTACCGGAGGCCCAAATAAGACCCTTTAGGAAGCTGTAGCGCGCCACCCCAATAGAGCCCAAACCCGCGTACCGAGTGTTGACTTTCGAAAGAAGGACATACTGGGTTGAATAGTTTTAGGGGAAGTCAGCACTGGGTACGTGGATTTCGGACATATTGGAGGCCCCAGAACCCTTTAAACACGTGCGTCGGAGGCCCAAGACCCTTTAGGAAACTGTAGCGGAGACCCCAAAACCCTTTTAAAAAGCTGTCTCGGAACCTTGAACCTTTCACAAAGCTGTATCGAAGACCCCCAGAGCCTGTTAAGAAGCTGTGTCGGGCCCCGAGACCGCCTTTAGGAAGTTGTATCGGAGGCAACCGAAATAGCCATTCTTGAAAATGTTTCTGTCATTGATGCGAGCGAATCCACAGCATACCATGCGGGAATGGATATTCCGTTGGCTTGGAAGTGTATGTCGTCAGAAGTTTCCGGACAGTGTCTACATGGGGATTACCGTTGCTGACATACACGCAGACCATGCTTCGGGGACCAGTGCATGCACGGCGTCTCATGGGGATTGGCAGGTTCTGGCCCTCAAATCGGCTTGAAAACTATATGTTCGGACCCACGCGTCCCCAACTAGAACTATGATTTGCACTGCCTTGCACTGCCTTTCTGAATGCGGGCGTCTAGTTAGGGATACGCATGACCAACATCCAATGCACTGCCTTTCGCGGGCCGGTGTATGGACCTATGAACCCGTCAAATCCCAAAACCCCCCAAACCTCTACAAACCCTTGATCGCATAAAACGAGCATAAAGATAACCTAAGGGTCCAAGTACCTGATAATCATATACTCTCCCAAATGTAAAGCTACATATCTACTATCCTAAACCCAAGTACCTTTTTATTGGGTCCTTTGGACCCTTAAAGATAGGAACAGCGAGAGCAAAGGTGAGCTCGGCGGCAAAGAGGCAGAAGTACTCACAGCCTCCTGGCCCCCTTGGAAGGGTTGGTTTTGATAGGTTTAGGTTCCATTTTTTGGGGTGTAGGGGTGATTTAAAGGGCTCCGCTTCAGGGCGTTTAAGGCTTGCGGCTTAGGGTCCACGTAGGGGTTTTAGGCTTGAGGGCTTGGATTTGGGGATTTGTCGAGAGTCTACTAGAGCTTTCGTGTGAGGAGGTGGATATGTAATTGTGGTTCCCACGCCCATATAAGGTGAGAGGAGACTTGTTCAATGCTTTGGGGGTTTTCCGCTTTAGAGTACTAGAGTTAGAGACTGTCTAAGAGTCTAGGGTTTGGGTTTCGATCACTAGATCCCCTGCTCTGCCCAGTCCTGCTTCAAGGTCACCCGCGACACGACAGAGGCAGACCTGAAGCAGAGGAGAGAGCTGACCAGGAGCCCGTTTGTTGGATCAGGTAACTGAACGTGTTTCTACATATTTACACATATGTAGTGCATTGGGGACAAAGCTGGGTGACTAAGGAAAACCTTCTACCATCATGGGATTTTCAGAGCTGGGGCCTTCGTCTGAGAAAAATCTGATGCCTGCGGGGCGAAGCATAGGCAAAGTCAGAGAGGATCACCCCAAAGGGTCTCAGTGAAAATACCAGGAATGGCGGCAGCAGCGAGACATTCTACGCGGACAGCGCTCCGGTTCGTGCTGCACTCTGTGGGCGGATACTAGCCCCTGGTGTTGCAACACATCTTCGGGGCGCGGGCTGGGGTCGCCGCTGGATTTCTGAGCAGCCTCCGACTGAGCAGAACAGTTCGGAGTATTTGCTTCCTCGAACGGGCTCAGAATGAAAATGATCCCTATAATCTTGTTTCCTTCAAACGCTTTATAAAATCAAAAGCAGTGTTTTATGTAACACTACAAAAATAGCTCGGAAAATTTGAAAGTGATCCCAAAACCTTTGGTGACAAGGTCTTGGACGGCCTCGAGAAGGCAGGGATGGGGCCGCGGCTCTGCGTGATAAACAGGTTCAGCGGCGTGGGATGGGGCAGGATTGAAGTTGCACAGGTGTACTAGATAAGGTGGACGGTATAAGCAATTATAGATGTATGAATGTAGATTTTGAAGTGATTTTTACAGCAGACGAAAGACAAAGATGACGAGAAAGAGAGTGGGACATGAGTGATGACGCGAAGATCTGTGAGCGGCCTGCGTTCTTCGTATGGCAGGCCGAGCGCAATGTTCTCCCCACGCTGAACAACCTGCTGGAGAACCGAGAGATGGGTTTAGACGACGGTCGCCTGCTACTAGCCGCAAGCCTCAGGGAGGATTTCTGCTTCGGAAAGGTGCATTGGAGCCACAAATAGCAAGAGTATAGTAGTTGATGTTGCATGTTCGACTGGTTCAGATTCGCTTTTCGCCCAACTGTGGTGCAGGGGCATGCAGCTTGGGGGTGGCCCTTGAGGGTTAATTACAATGACTGACACTATACCGTGGCCAAGGCTGATTCCAGCACGCAGATACGACACCTTGTCGCAAGAGGCATTATCTGCCGGCGTAGGCGTGCCGTCCCTCCCCCTGACTCTATCATTCCTTTCAGGTTTTGGAGCAGAAGTCTGCGTATTGACTCATATTTGCAAGGCGGTGTGGCGAAGCTCTGCAGACTTAGACGACCTGACACTTACAATGTCTTCGGCTGACAGTTGAGCTTGAACGATGGTGATTTGTGCATTCTTTCAACCGGGGACCTCTTGCCTTGGGAAGGCAAGGCGCGGCTGGCTCGTGTCCACGAGGCCTCTCACTTGGTGGGGGAGGGCGAATATTTCAGCCGGAATTATGTTATACTTTTCTAATAAATATGTGCCTTATTTAATATATGCCGGATTTGCCGGTGTCTGCACTGGGGTCCGGCTTGTCAGGACTTTCGCGTTGTTGCGCTGGCCGTCCCCTGCCCGCCCTGGCCTGGGACTCCCGGCCTTGTTCGGCAAGGTGGTTTAGGGTTTAGGGTTCAAACCCTTAATCTATCTAGCACATCTCAATCCTGCCTTTGCAGAAGGATGAGTTCTCAGGCTTAGTCCAGCCTGTCATGCGACTTTTACAATCGAGAGCATCCATATTTCGTGCAGCCATCTCCCGAAACAAGTTCGGGTCTTTGCATGTTGCACTGATCCCAGGAATCCGCTCGATCCTCCTCTGAGGCCGAGTTCTCAGTCGTGATTTTCCTTTAGGGGCCTTAATAAAATAATTGTCTGTAGTTGGATAATGAGCCCCAAAACCCTATTCTAATTAATAAGGCCCCTATAGTTCGAGTGACCGTCCGTTGGACATTGCCGTAAGTCGCGGCAGGTCGCGATTCCAGGCTCGCATCGCCACTGGTCTGCACCGGTGTTCGCGACAGGTGTGGGAACTTGACGCTGGCTTTTTTGTGGGTTGAGGTGCACCTGTGGACTTGCGGGTTTTCCAATGGCTCAAGACTCTGGATCCCTTTCGGGCAAATTTGCAAGTGTTCAGGCTGAAGGTAAAGGCATGGGCAAAGGAAGTAAGCTTATGCAAAGGAACCCCTAAACCCTAAATCCAATACCCAATACGGCATACCAGCCAAGCTGGGGCCCCTGAGCCCCTCAGTCCCAAACTCGGTGGCTCAGCCCAGAGCTTCGGCCCCAAAGGTCATGCCGCCGACTTTGGCGTCCCTGGCGCAGGTCTCTCCCTTCATAGGCCCGGGCCGGGGCTATAGGGAAGGTTCGCTATAGCCCAGTTTCCGGTGAAGGATGAGGTCTTCTGCCCTTGGGGTTCCGAAGAAAAGTCCCTAGAAGCATGGAAGTACAAGGTCGGCAATAGATGGGAAAGCCAGACACCCAAGAAGCGCAAGACTTTCTGAGTTTCCGGGCAATTGCGACGTGCTTCGTGAGGTGTCCCAACTTCCAGCACCGACTTCGAGGCACGGCCTGACTCGGAAAGCCAGCCCTTGCAATCGCCGAAGTTCCTGCGTTTAGGCATTGCGGTAGAGCCTCAAAAGCCCAGGCGCTGCTGAGGCGCCTCTCGGCGCTGCAACGGGCTCTGGACGGCAGCACGGGAAAGCTGCCAGGCACTGCGTTCGTTTCACCGGATCGTGCCATAACAGTGGTAGCGGTAGCGTTGTGGTGGAGAGTGTTTCAAGAGGCCTGCGATGGTGTTCGTTTGGGAGCCTTGCGTCTTTCATGACAGCCCACTCGAGCACTCCAAGGCACTTGAAGCTGCTTGAAGGCCGTTGCTTGAACACCATCCATCCATCTATCTATCCTCCCCTGAACCTACCTATACCATACATGCATGCAGTCCAGGCTCCACGTAACAGATCGACGTAACAATGCAACAATCCGTCGCTGTGAATTCTGCAGGTGTCGCTGCAGTGGAGTCAGAAGCCATCTGTGTGGAATCCGAGCTTCGCTAAAGCGCCAGGTGGTTTCCGCACCCCAGCGCTGACCTACGATGCTATGGTGCGGTTGCTGCGGATGGCTCGGGGCCTTGACCTCTCATGTCTTCGGGCTCTCGAGTCTCCCTGCAGCTTCTCTTGTAGCGTACATAGTCCATTTCGCAAGTCTGGCTATCTGCAGTACGACTGGCTTGTGTAGGGTTCTGCGGCTCAGAGCAGAGGGGCCTTTGGCACCTTAAGGTGTCACTAGCCAGCTTTCCGAGAGGAAGCTTGAGAAACTCATCTGAAGGTCACCGTCTCGGGGCAGGGCGGCTCGGAGATTCGGCCGACGCCTCCAGAGGCGAGTTGGACGGGATGGGCCTGAGGACTGGAAGGGCGTCTGCAATGTTGGCTTTTAGATCTGAGGCCGAGTGGACAAAACGATCCAAGCAAGCGGAGGGTTCTGCTGGGGATTTGCTGGAATCGAAAGTGCGGACCGCAGAACATGTTGTCCTATTCGCCGTGCATCTCGAAGCTCACTACATCCGAAACTTCAACCCGACTGGAGGCTTTTCGTCGCATCTACCCTGTGGCTTCCTTGTCGCCGAGCGCGGGTGCTGGCGGTGCAGCCGTCCGCGACGCGGCAGAGCAACTGCTCAGGCAACCCAGGGTGTGTAAATGGATGCCTGCACAGAGTTTCTTGGACCTGGCGGACGCAGAACTAGGTCCACTGCGGAGAGAGAGGTATGTGGCATGAGAGGGACCACGTCGAACACACCTACCGGCCCTTGTCAGGACATGGTGTACACTTCGTTCCCGGTCATTCGTTCTCCCAGTCGGAATAGTTCAGCGAAGCCCGCAGTACTGAAGGTGTTGTGTGCGCGGGCGTGCTCCGAAGGTATCCTAAAGCAGCATGCAGCCTCACGTGCGCCAAAGCTTTGCTCCGGAAGGGACGTTCCACAGCCATCCACACATCTCCACATGAGCTGTATTTCAACACGACTACATGGATGCTGATGAAGTGCGCCCGAACTGGAAAGACACGCAAGTGGCCTATTCAATACCTCGCAGGCATTTCGACCTCTGGGCCGAGGAGCGGCGGCGAAAGTTTCAAAGGTTTAGTTGGCCCGTTTGGGATTACGATTTCGGATCAGGCGGCGCTAATGCGAGAATTTAAAGTCAGCTTGCAACGCTCAGTGGCATTCACATGGGCAGAGCGCACTGAAGGGTTTGGGGCGAGAGTGCCTGAAAACTGTTTAAGTTTGCTTGCCTCAGGAGCCGGCGCCCCTCACTGTGCTCCCTTCCAGGCAAGACGATGGAGCATGGCACTCCAGAGCACTTGGGGCCTCATGCATGTTCCCAAACCACTATCGGACCGCCATCTGAATTGGAGCATCAGAAGGACAGTATCCTCTAGAGACTGTCAGTGATGGGCCGACTTGGGTGATCCCAAGCATTGTGGCTCTTCAGACAGCCTGCAAAGATCAACAGTCTCGAACCTCCCTCGTCCTTCTGTTCGCAGCTCTTCTGCAGCGAGCTCTTCAAGTGGAACGCTGCATCTGCGACTCCAGCATAGAGAAGGCCCACCTAGAGCGGAGGTCAAGTGATTGCACATCCAGAGATGCATCTGTAAGTCCGAGTTCTCGCAGTACCAGCCTTCTAGTTATTCTAGTTGTTAAAGACGACAATGCTTGGAAAGTTGTACCAAAAGACGGCTATCAGTCTTGCCGAGGCCGAACATGAAGGTGTTTTGCTGACAGCACTTCTTCTTTTTCCAACCGACCACACGTTCATGCTGCAAGTGTGAACGAAAGGAGCTACTAAAGCTAAGAGACGGCCGGTCTTTGCTGAAGATTGCCCGCAAAACAGCTTCAACACCTAAAGACCGGAAAGGCATGCCGCATGCCGACGATGGCATCATAATTTACTCATGTGTGCGTATGCATGGATAAATACATATATACATGCATGTCATGTATATATAACATATATATATATATTTATATACGTCTGGCCGATAAACTCCAGGCCACGAGGGAACTCTCTCCGTGCGGTCGCCGCAACTTCCTGCCCCGGCTACGCAGTGCGCAGCGCAGCACCGCGGCGGAAACTGGACAATGGACCGCTGCACGCATTGGCCAGGTACCTCGCAGCTCCGCGGCTTGCTGCAGTCGTGGCAGCCATGGCACAGGCATGTACACGGCTTTTGGGATTTAGGTCTGAGCCCCGTAACCCTTCGGAAACCGTTCTATTCATAAGACGTTCACAAGCATCCACGAGGTTGGCGATCAGGCCCGCAAGACTCCCGTTCTACTGGAGGAATATTGTATTTGCAGATTGCAGACCTCAGAATTTGCAGTCTTGACAGTCTTACAGCTAAGTGTTGTCCCGAATCCTGACTGCTGAAGTGCACATCATGCACACGAGACAAAGGAGGCACGAATTCGCAGCTTCGGGCATGGTAGAAAGAGGACGGGTAGTAAGATTCCAGTCATGGTTGCTATCCTATGCCCAGAGAGCCCAATATCCCTCAATTAAGGAATATACCTTAAAATTATAGTAGGATCCCTAATATGACGAGACCAGAAAGAAGGATTACGCCGCTGGCAGCGATTGCCTTCTCTTGGGTCCTGCTGGGTGTGGCAAGAGTGCCATGGCCAGGCACAGGGGTGTGGGGGCCCATATACATACACATGTGTATATATATATATATATGGATATATATGGTCACCCCCCCCCGTTGACAGACCATGCCCTTTCAACTCAGTCGTAGTGCATGATCTGTGATCGGGGGGAGGGGGCACTCAGCTTTCAAAAACACAAGTCCAAAATTTCCAAAATTTTCGACATTTCCGACATTTCCAAAATTTCCAAAAAGTCCGCCCTTATGTTTTGGAAAAATCCTGTCCGCTAGGTCGGGCCGTTTTGGAAATTTTGGAAATTTCGGAAATTTCGGAAATTATGGAGATTTTGGCATTTTTGGAAATTTAGGAAATTCTGGAATTTCTGGACCTCTTGGAATTGATTCTCAGGAGGGTTGATTGTGACCCATCCGATGACACATCCTGCACTACGACTCACTTGCAAAGTCAAGGGCTGTCAATACTCATGCCCCTATTTAGACGAATATCTCTCTATCTATCTAACTATACATATATGTATTGATACTCCTACATATAGTATTGCCATTGCTAATACTGACATTGATCATTTGTTGAATGCTCAAGCTAACACCAGCATTACTACTAACATTACACTTACTAACGCTAACACTACTGCTAATACTTAACACAATATTTATACTAACATCATTATTTACATAGCTGTTGATACTCCTACGAATACGTAAACTCTTGTGCGTTAACAGTGGTGCTATCACCAACACTAATACGCACTTTGATAATGTGCTGAATATTCAAGAATGCCACTAGTGCCAGCATGAAAACTCATATTCTGGCTGATACGAGTATAAATAGTTCTAATTCTGATAGTATTGACATTAATACTCCTACGAATACCAATAGTATATTCATACTGATATGAAAACTAATATCATTACTAATAGACACCTGCATATACTAATGTACGTAAAATACATACCACTATCTTAAGATACAGGTATATACAGTAGTGCATTCATGTATTAATGCTTTGGCATAGGCATATACCCATACACCAATGTAACAATATACATCTCGTTGTTGTATGAATATACTATACTAATATGTGACTATACTAATATACGACTACTGCAATATGCAAAAATACCGACATGACAAGTTCGTATACTAATATGCCAACATACTGATATACTTACAAAGGATTAGACAATACATGCATATAGTACACATACTAGTATAATATGATAACGTACGAATACGCTGGTATGTTAATATACTAGTAAACTAATACACCAATATACTAGTGTATTCATGCACCGGTTGTACTAACATGTAAAATATGCTAGTATACAAGTATGCAAATATTTTACTGTTCGAATACATTGATGTATTGATATACTAATCTGCTAATATACGAGACGGTCAATATGCTAACATAGCAAAACTAACTAGTTCTAATATTGATACTAACACTAGCACTTCTGCGAATTTAAGCTGCTATTAAACCCAGCATTAAGACTGATACTGATACTACTCGCAGCAGTGGTGCTGTATTACTGACATTGACACTGGCACTAGCGCTAACTCTAACACGAACATGAGCACTAACACTAATTTATAGTTGGCAATATTGATATGTATCTGCATGTGTCCTGAGTACATGGCATGCTGCATGTAAATATACTATGTACCTCATGTAAAGGTTTTGCTTCATAGAATATCGTCGTGCACGGTGTTTTTTAGACCCGCGGTCTGTCAATGGTGGGGGTGAGCATATATATATATATATATCCTGCTTGCGATTTCGAGGTTCGGTTCCGCAGGGTGCCGTCCTTTGCCTGCATGGAGGGCAGGGAGAAGCTTCATTCAGCTAGTCTGGCATCCTCTATCACTCCAAGATTTTCCAAGGCTTGGGTTTGCAGGTTCTGCAGCCGACGGACTCAAAAGCCCTCAAAGGCTGCGGCTCCGAAACACCCAGGCTCGAAAGTTTCCCAAATTCTCGAGCTTCAACAACCCTCACACCGGATGGGGGAGAGCCCTTCACCCATGAGCCTGATACGAGGCTAGGAAAGTCCAAGCTCCGGGAACTCGAAGACCCCAATTGGGTGTTTCCCAACATAAACGACACCTTAGTTTGGGGTCCTCATACCAAGGCTCCTACTATTGAGGCTGCTTGTTTAGGTCCCTGATTTTCGGAAACTCCCAAATATCCCTGACCCTTGCCTCTGAGATCGACATCTGAGACTGCGAGGCACCTCGCCGGTCTGCTTGGCTTCGGGGCCCCGGGAGGTCGGGGCCTGGAGTTCTTCTTCCTTCACGAAGAGCTGCTTTGAGGCAGAAAGAGGAATCTGCTGCACGTCTGTACAGAAGGTATGTTATTGTATGTATGTATGTATGCATGAAGTAGGTACAGTGTGATGGCACGTCTAAGACGGCTGTCTTACAATGCTTTCTTCAGTATATCGAAGGCGCTATGTGCTATGTAGATGTATACAAGCATGCGTACTCACAACCATAAACATACCTGCCTAGCTACCTAGCGACATACCTACCTACTGCTACCTACCTATCTACCTACACACATACATTTTTCACACACATGCACACGTGCATATATGCAAACATCCACCCATCCATGCATACATACATATCTACATCTCACACAGGTTGTACACATGATTAACGAAAAAGACTCCCGGAAACCAAAGCCTTGACTGACGCTAGCCGTATGTACGTCATGTCTGCCGCTAGACGCTACTGAGCGCGAGTGTGTGGAACTTCGAACAGGTTGGCGAGAGGCTGTTAGCGCAACGGCCTTCACGACAAAGCCCTCATTGTGCCCAGGATGTCATCGCGTGACTTGCTGCAACGGCGAGCCACCAATGACGAGGGCGACACTGTTTGGGTGGACTCGCCTTTGATACGAGCTGCTCGCTCAGGACCGTCATCCAGCTTATTAGCTCGGTTAAGGGCAAGCTGCGAAGACTCAGGGTGCAAGTATACCACATTTCTTCAGTCTGTCTCTTCGTATGTGCCTTTTGTTTGCACGCACTTATTCGCATGCTCTACGTGCTGAAATTAAAAAAGCCTTCTCGGCTCTTCGCTTCTCTCATGGTCCCTTGTGTAGTACTTTCGCGTGTTGTGCCATATGCTACCAGCAATCTCCTTCAAACAGTAGGTTAGTTGTAGGACGTGGTGGGAGCGCGGCAAGAAGCAACGGCAAATTGTACCGGAAGCTTCAAACACGGGGTCTTTGGCACCGGCTGTGGCAGATGTGAGCGGTGGCAGGTGGAGGTTCAGGAGCATAGCCGAATTCCGTCGTGTGAGATGGGGATGGTGTTGCTTCGGTGCTCATTCTTCATCGAACTCCCATGCGCATAATTGCGCAAGCCCGGAATCCCGACAACCTCATCCGAAAAAGAAACTAGATTTCTCCGCTGCTGCCTAGCCGCCACAGCCGTTGCTATGTGGACCCGAACTAGCCGCGGAAGCCAGGGTCCCTTTGCATCCTCGACGGCGCACACCGCCTCAAGGGCGATGCGCTTTGCGCCCTGGCACCGCTGCTGCAGGCCGACAGCCGACATGCGACTGCATGACGGAACATGTTCCTGTCGTCTTGCAAAACGTAGCCGTGACCACGTGTACACACATACACACACTGCTATGCGGTTTTCGGAGCTGTTTGCACAGGAGCTGCTCCTCTTTTGGGAAGGTGAGGTCAGCCAGCTGCCAAAGCCAACCAACTCAAACACGAATTAATTGCTGTCACGTACTGCACGTAACGGCTGCGGTGCTCAATGGCCACAGCCAGCAATCAAGCAGCAAGCCATATTCCCCCAAGGTCTTGGAACCTGTAAAACTTTGAGTTGAGAATGATATGTCTTGAGCACTTTAAGAGACCCTGCTTCACGTTGCTCTTCTTCCGTGCCAGGACCGGCAGGCATGTTTGGCTGTTGCCGGCGACAGCCAAGGCCCCTGTCTGATGACTCCTCCGCCACTAGGTATTTGGGGTATAGGGTTTAGGAAGGAAGCATCAGCAACAGCAGCGGCGACTTCTGATGCTTCTGCAGCACCTGTTGAAGCTGTTAGGACCATAACTTTGAGTGTCTGTCAGGATGGGAATATCCTGATGGTTTCAAGCAGGGAGACCCTTGCATACTTCAGTTTTGAACGATATCGTCTATGAGCCATCCAAGACGATTGCATGAAGTTCAATGCTGTCAGTCTCGGATGCTGCCTATTCAACCACGCTCAATGCTTTCAGCACATTCCCAAACCGGCCGAAACCGCACGTTTCTTGTCACAGCGAAGGTGCCGCCTGGGAACTGATATTGCGAAGCGACCGCTTCGACCACTGGCAGACGGTACATGGTCCAGGTCGCCACCTCAGACGGGCGTGAGACGACAGCAACAACAACCAGAAAAAAGCAAACGGCGCAACACTGTAATCAGTCAGCGAAGACGACAGCAGAGAAACAAGAACAAGGAAAAGGCCGCCACCACCACCGCCACCGCAGCAACAACAAGTAGCATCAACAATGACCGCACGGGAAGTACCATCGACGCAGCCAACCCCGACACCACCACCACTTCACCGCGACTTCACCACCGCCACTGCCACCACCACCACCACCACCACCACCACCACCACCACCACCACCACCACCACCACCACCACAGATCACGCTGAGCTGGTCGATTGGAGGTTGATATGATTGGCCACAAGACACATGATGATGATGGTGATGATGATGATGGTGGTGCTGGCGCTAAGGGCTGGGGCTGGGGCTGGGGCTGGGCTGGGGCTGGCCGCGGCGGTGGCGGTGGCGGTGATGATGCTGTGGATGACGGTGGAACTTGGCCGATGACAGTGGTCATGACGTCTTGTTGTTGATGGTGCTGGTGATGTTGACGATACTGCTAGAGGCTGTGGTGATCATGAGAGAGGAGGAGTCATGAAGGCATTGGAGTTGGGAGGAAAGAAAGAAGATCCTGAAGGTACATTGTACTACAATGCTTGCGAGGCGGCTGATTCAGTCAATCTGTGAAACTCGGCACCCGGGGATGCTGAAACGCAACTCCGATTCCAGAGCTTTGGATTCGTGTCTTCCGAGGTCAGAGCTTCGACGCTGCAGCTGGCTGCCGCGCCGTTGGTCAGCATTAGTGCCTCTTCTTCGGACCACGGCTAGCATGATTGCTCACCCTCACTCTGCTGCTGATGCCGATGATGCGCCCGCTCCAGGTCCGGCTCCGCCTCCTCCTCCTCCTCCTCCTCCTCCTCCTCCTCCTCCTCCTCCTCCTCCTCCTAGCACTACTGACTACTTTTGCTGCTGCTGCTGCCGCTTTTCTTGCTGTGTTGCTGGAGCAGCTTAATGCGATAGGCATACTCGGCTCACTTAAGCTTAAAATTCACAAACTCTTCTCCTAAGTGCCTTGAAACAGAGCCTGTAAATGCCCGGTAGTCGACATTTCCCAGCACCGCTTTGTGTAGAAGCCCTTTGGATCATGTTTCACTCCTCGTACAACCGACATCACCACACGATGAGCGGATATAGAATTGCCGCACCGTGGGTGGGCAAGCTATATCAACATAGCACGAACAACACACACACACGCTTTCGTACAACCTAAGGCAAGGTTTCTCTCCCAGACATTCAACAACATTACGTACCATACGTACGGCAGCAGGAAAGAAAACCTCGCCCAGGTGGCTGGCATCCACCCGGCCTTCAAGGTCTTAGCTCTCGGGGAGCCGCCAACATCGCAGCACCCGTGGCTGACCGAGGCCGGTGTCTTTCTTATCTGCGTCAATTCGTCCATTATGGGTGTTATAAAGTATGGATTGTTCTTGTTGCTCGGATTTCGCAAACCTAAATGTGTTCGATCATACAATGGCGGGGAGCTGGCACATAAAAGCGCAGAGGTTCCTTGGGCGTGAAGAGCACAGTTGGCATGGCCGTTGCAGCACGACACGGCACGAAGACTCAGAGCGCGTCGTTGAAGCAGCCCGGACAGGCTCCTCGATCGCCGGCAACCCTTCCGAAAAACACAATTAGAACGCGATCGAACAAACCGACATCAGAAAGAGTAACATGAAGCATGGCATACTGTATTAGTCTTCGGACATTTGCGAACTCTAACCTTCCTCCAGCATCGGGTGGCACTGACTGCTTCGGTTGAGACTAAAACGAGATTGAAACCGGATGTGATTTCGCACCCCTTGCTCAATGAACTGCAGTCGCACGTCACTGCCCGATGCCCCACCGTGGCCCCAAGTCACGCTCACAATTCTTGAGCCGTGATCCTGAAGCAGCAGGAGGTGGCGGCCTGCTTTGCTACCCATAGTGCCTTGGCAGACAAGCACTGATAGTGGTACCTGTAGTGGACCCGGGACCCTCACATTTCCGAATCCCTGTTTTCTGCATGTGGATGAATCGCACCTGGTACTGGACTTGTGGTGGTGTGTGGGGCATTTGGGACCTCAAGCATGCGGTAAGTAGCTTCAACACACTACCGAGAATTTTGGTTACTGCATCCTCCGGTTGAGGCAGTTGATATAGCAAAAGATTGCAAAGATTCTTAGCCGTATGTGCATATAGTCATATAGTACTGTAGTAGTAGACCGGTAACATGTTAGCACCACCTCTAGAAATCGGTACAGTCGCATCTGATCGCTACACCGCCAGCACTCCCCAGGCTACCCCGAGCAGCGCCCCGAAGATTTGGCCGAAGCCTGAGGATGCTTCGTTGAATCCCGGGTTTAGGGTTTAGGGTACCCTAAACCCTAAACCGTGAAGGCCTCCTGGAAGAGATCCCTGCGAGTGTTAGAGGTCAGCATGCGGTTAAGGCATCATAGTCAACATGGATTTTGCGGTGCTCAGGTGCAGCTACTGGCCGAAGTGGTTCCATCCCTGCCCACAGCCGCTGCTCAACGCTTCGTTGCGGCCGTGGCGCAGAAGGAATCGGAGCCCCAGAAGGTGGCGTTTGCGGAGATGAGGGCTTAGGGCTTATAGGCTTTTCGGATTTACTGTAGGGCTAGGGGCGTGGGATTTAGGAGTTTAGGCTTCGCGTAGCACAAACTCCTTGGATGCGGGAGCTGTGCACAGATACTGGGGCTGTGGCCCAGGGTGCTTGGGTACCGTGCGTTGAAGGCCGTTTTGGGGCCCAGGCCTTCGTTCAAGACCCATAGAGACTAGGGGATCAGCCCCTATTCCAAGTTCAATCCCTTGGCTCCCGAAAGTATGGCGTTCACAGGATGTCTGTTGGTTTCGCAGACGACTAGTTTTGCCTGCAGGTCTGGATGATACTTGCGATTTCCGACTTCTACGAACAATGTTTTTCTGGGTTCTATACCGTCAGCATTTGTTGCGGCAGGTTTCCACAAGCTCTCACTCTTCAGAGATTTAGCACGACTCCTGCATTCAGATGTAAATACTTGTAGGCACCTGCAGCGATCCTGAGTCTGCCTTTTGACATGGTATGTGGCCGGTTTTTATGGATGCCCACAGAAATCCTGCAGCGGTGTAGCGTCGATGCCAGATTGCTTTGCCATGACAGCAGGCCGCCCAGCCGGCTGAGGGGAGGCCTAGCGAAGAGACATCGAAGGCAGCCCGTGTCCGTGCGGAGTCAACTTCCAACACGATTCTACTTCCAAGGTTCTTGCAACGTCTTGCCTTGCATTCGAGGCTCACAAGTCACTGTGTCGTGTGACCTTCGAGAGGCTCCTTCAGAGCGCCTGGTCGTTCCCATCCGGGCCTTTCACTCAGTGGCTGAAGTGTTTGTAAGCGAGGGGAGCTCATGGAATCAGCCATGAGGGCAGGCTCGAGAAGCTCACGCCTTATCGAAAGCTATGAAAAACTATCATCCTGAGAGTGATGTCCGTAAACTTGCTTCTCAAAACTGTTACACACCATATGGGGATCCCCAGGCATTCAGTCTTGTGGTGTAATTTTTTTCGCCAGTATGAATGGAAACTCCCATACCCCGGTTCGGCACCAGTAGAACCTGTGGGTCCGAGGTGATCCTTCGCGTAGCACGTGCAGCTGCTGTGGCCGGAGGGGATCACGAGGCCGTATGGGGAGAGCCGAAAGAAGACGAGATAGCGAAAAGGAGCCCGCAAGGGTACCTACGGAAGGGTTCTTATGGGAGCTCCTGCCCTTGAGCCGGTTTTGGTTTCATTGCTTCTCAATGCTTAGCTGCGGCCCATGATTCCCCGTTTGTTAACTTCTGCGGCGTCCTCAAGCGGCTGCTGAGATCGAGACCTCTTGTGGCGGCGGTAAGGAACCTGGCACTTCATGGTTACAGTAGCAGGTGTAGATCCATGCATGCATGCATCCGGGCTCAGAACAGGAGCTATATGTAGACTCACTTCAGTTAGGACGTAATCCCGTAATCCCCAAAAGTGAAGCCGCACCTGACCAGATGCGAAACCTCGAAAAACCTCCAGGGCCGTCTCCCTGCATCGCAACCCAACCCCACTCATAAAACAATTTCCTCGGCTTCGAAGAGAAGCAGGGTTGTAATCCTAAATCTCAATCTTGCTTGATGCAGTGCTGTCAAGTTTCGGAGTTCGGACGCCTGCGAGCAGCAGGTGGAGTTGCTCCACGGCATCCTCCAGCAGCAGCTGTTTCCCTTCATGCCGAAAGGCCGGGGAGCTCTAGGCGTTGAGGTAGCTGGTGGGTGGGGCTGAAAAGCCAACCTTCCACAGGGCCCTGCACCCGGTCCTAAGTGCCCAAAGTTTCTGGTTTACCGGTTCTTGTTTGTCTCTCTTCGAGGCGAGAGGGCGAAGCTACTGGGCCAACTGGCTGAGCACTTCGGCATGGCGGCAGCCGAGAAGGAGCCAAGAGGGACCTCCAGGGTTGGGGGCTTCGGGCTTCCTTGCAAGGCTGTATATAGGGCTTCACTGTCAGGGTTCTATGAGGGCTTGGGGCTTGGATGAGTTTCAGAGATGGTTTCGAAGCAGGTGTCCGAAGCCTCGAACAGCTGCACGTCCAGTTGACTCAGCCGGATTCACGGAGCGTGCAGTGGGACGAACTTGCACCGGAACGGCCCTGGAACTGGAATTCCTAAATCACGCAAGAGTGGAATCATCTCGACTTCAGTACTTGCCCTCAATCCCTCACGGCAGGCAGCTGCCAATGTGCTGCGACGGGCGCCGAGGTCCTTCAGTGACAGTCGCATACGAGCCAATGTTCTTTAGAATTGACGGCAGAACCGGAGTGAAAGGATGGTGTGCAAGGGCGCAGGTGCAACAAGAGTGCGGGCGCGAGGGCCAAAAGCAGACCTTGATTGCAGGAAGAACGCAGCGGACAGTCACTCTGCTGCACCCGGCACTGCATCTCCTGTCGGACATCTTGCGGTACTGCAGCGCCAGCTTGATAATCACTTCCGAGGGGGCAGCAGTGCGGTGCATGTCGGAAAGGACCCCTGTTGGTCGGGACTGGGGTCTTGCTGAGCGGACGGGAGGGCTGACAGCACACATCCAGATCTTGAGATGTCATTTCCTGGTGTCAGGACTCTGTCCAGTTTGGGGAGTGCGTGGTACCTGTGGGGAAGCCGATGCATCCCGAGCTTGCCAATGCCTCAGCATGCAACACGTGTGTGAGAGGGTTGCAAGACCCTGCACATTTGTCCGTGATATATTCTGATGTTCTATATGTCTAGATGGTACTGCATGGAGGTTCCCAGTGTGGACTTCGTCGGCATCGATCGGCATGTAGACTTGTTGGAGGAGCTTGGGAAGGCCACTTTCACCAGATGCCCCAGTCAAACCAGGAAGTGCTTGTTGAGAGATGTTGAGAGTCTATTTTTACGTATGATATTGTTCATACATACAAATATGCATACAGGCACATGTAGCTTTTACATTTGCGTGTACATAGCTTCGGACATACATACACATACCTACATACACTTATTATACCCAACTCAGCAGTGCTAACCCTAGAGAACCTCCAATACCCCAAGATAGGAAACAACTAGGGAAGTACAGGTTTGTAGGAGTACGGAAAAGATAGGGGAAATGAGGGTACGTTTGGGAAAATAGGAATAAAATATAAAAAGTTGTAATAACAAAGAAGAAGACTAGGTATAAAATATGGCAGAAATACGGTAAACATTGGCATAAATACGTAGCAAACGTAGCAGAAACCTCGGACAATTGGAAACAATGCAGGGCCACAGGGTGGAAAGGAGGCCGGGCCGCGATTTCTCCCTATGTGTTCCCCTTGTCTGTAAAAGTTGCGGCATACTAGAGTTAGCACAAACGGTCTGACATAAACATGCATGCATACATACAGTGGACATACACTCATACATAACTGTATATATATATATATATATATACATATGTATATATGTAGTTATATATATATATATACATATACATATACACATATATATATATATATACATATATACACATAATATACATATGACTTACCGTATATGTCGGCATCGGAAGATTGTTCTGACCCGGTAGGCCATTTTCCAGAGGAGGGCCGCTTGGCACGATTTCCCCGGCCTGGTAAGGACTTCAGCGTTGGGGTTTTGAGGTTCGGACGTAGGGCTCAAGCTGTGGAGGCCGGGATCATAAACCAAGGGCAGCTTCGGGAAGAAATTCTTGCTGTCTTGCAGCTCTGCGCGCTTCAGTTGCTTCTGATATCCAACTGCCATCCCACTTCCTCTTTCTTTCATGGGTCTTCTTCCCTGATACGACTGGCTGTTTTATTTTCATCAATTGTCATCGGTGCACAGCTTTGCCAAGGAGCGCTTCCTCCTCCTGCTGGGGCCGCAGGGTGTGGGGACACCCGCCCGAGAAAGTTGCCTTGAGCGTTCGTGGGGTTGGTGTGCCGACGGACGAGACAGGGCGGATGCTACCCGTAGAGGCTTTGAGCAAGCTACCGGCTGCCCAACCCCCAGCACCGGAGGAAAAACCGGGTGGTTGACTACTTCCTGCAAACCGTGGCCATGGAGCGCGAGTACATGCAGCTGCATCGGGACACCACTGTGTCGCAGCTGACGGCAGCCAGGCTTATGATGTTAGAAGAGCCTGCACCCACGAAAATCATGAGCCGCCCCACACCAGCTTGATGCGAGCGTCTGATACTGCACCTGGCTGCGAAGTCGAGGTCGCTCACAGACCTAATTGAAGCTGAGAGCTTTACATCTTGCAACTTTTCAACTGACCCAGGTCACGCCTGTCGTGTCGGATGGGCGCCTCTACCATGAGGACAGGGAGAGGGGGACGGACGCTTTTGGATTGGCGTTTAGGCTTGACATCTGCACACCAAAAACACCAGGAACGCAGGGCGCTTGTGGAAAAGCTGGACGATCTTTGTGTGAATCAGAATTGAAAAGCGTCCTGCGAGAATTCATCGGTCCTCTCGCATGACAGCCAACGGTTCAAGCTACATACAAGCAACTCCACTGCAATGCACGGCCCTATCCAGCATTCTCTTTTCAAGAAATTTGGGCTACAGCAGCTTCATAGGTAGACAGCACCTTTCAACACTGTCCGTACCTAAATCACAAGGCTTAGATCCCAGCCCTGAAGCCCCTGGACCTAGGACTCTCCGCTCGTCCGGGCAGCGCAGTTTGGCCGTGCACTGGTTTTAGACGAGGCGAAATGTGGTCGGTGTATACGACTGTTTCGCCACCAAACCTACATGAACAGTTAGCAGAAGTGACATCATAATACATTCACGGTAGAAAATACTAATTAGCGAGTAGCAGCTAGTCACATGAGAAATCAGTAATATTATCGCGATGATTATCTTCACCATCAGCAGAGGCACTGCCACTACCAAAACATGAAAAGCTGAAGCATAGTCATAACACCAGAACGAAGGACAACAACAGTACTCGTAGATAGAGCAGTCGTGGTCAGAGCCATTCAGGGCTCGATGTATTCGGTGATGATGATGGAAGTGGTGATGCTGCTCATGACTACGACGCGAATCATAAGAGGAGCAACAATGATTTCAGAGTAATTAGAGCTGTAGTTTTCGAGTAAAGATATGGATGACATTGCTTATGATGTGGGTACCCGGTTCCAAGTGCTCGAAGTGTCTTTTTGGGGGGCGTCGTGCGGAAACATGGCACTGAGTCATGCAGAGCTGACTTGCAGCATCCTTTGCAACATGTCCTGAACAAAACAGGTCTCACCTTGAAGCTTCAATCTTTTCGCCGGTAATACCCGGTAGCCGAATCGCTGAGTTTGGATGTTGCATATAACGGATAAACTGATGGCCACCATACATTCTCTGCACAAAGAATGCAACAATTGGAGAATGCCGTGTGAAGCTCGGTACCAGAGGTGCACATCGTTTGAAGACGTATAGCTTTCATGCAGCCTTGGCAAATGGAGACTGACATGCTTGGGAAGTCGATCAGCGAAATGCACACAAGTTTCCGGCCATGCCCAGTAAATTTCTGAGAGCTGCGTGTGCAGGCAGACAAGGCGCCCCTCGAGGCCAAACGACGAAACCATGTCCATAGTTCACATGTCATAGCCCTGCTAAGGTGGTTTCTCTATGGTTTCCGGTGTCTGCAGTAGTATCACACGCTGGGTCACTCCACAGATTGGCTGCTGCAGTTTCTCGTCGCGAGGTGCCGATGTAGGACTGCATAAGATGGCTATCTTTCAAAACGCTGCATCGCTTCGATGGCATGCAATGCGAGAACATTCGCTGAACCCGGAACACTCCTGAGATATCGTGAGGTACGACCATCAGTACAGTTTCAGGAAGGCAAGATCTATAGATATCCCCGATCGATGCGGTCTTCTCGAAATCACATTAAGACTCGACTGCTTCGAGCCAATCGCATGGTTGATGGTGTGGAGGACCCACAGAGCGCGCTCCCACCGCTTATCGACATTCGGGTCCCGCAAGGGAAAGATCTCCTTCACTCAATAGGTCGTGGTGATCCTGAAGTCGCTGATTGAGGATGGGCAGCTTGCACTCCCGGACGGACGCAGGCCCGCGGACAGTGGTGCTGAGAAAATATTGTTAAAACCTTGACACGTTTCAGTCGCAGCGATGCGTGTCGAGATTCAGAAATGATCCGTCCTAAGTTCGATGCACGCGACCAGGAGAAGAAGACCGAGAACAGAGCACGGCTCTTCAGAAAGAAGAACAGATGTTCCTTGCCCTGCCGTTGCAGGCTTGCTGCAGCTACGGAGGCGACAGCTGGCGAGGGCAGTGCGACGACGCTGCAGGAGCGTCTTCTCAGGGTTTGGGGTATTAGTTCGTGGGTTCTTTCTCGAAGTGTGTGGGGTTTTGGCAACGCCAGCCTTTGCCTGCAGGTTCACCCGGAATTCCGCATGTGTCTTGGCGGAAAGATAAGTCCTGTTCTAGCCCATTCTATCCCCCTCTCACTTGTCCTTTCTGCTGCTTCCCCAGGCCACCTATGCATGAAAGACAGCTTTCAGATTCAGAGCTTGAGTCATATCGAAGACTCTTCGGCCTATCCGCTTCCCTGCTACTCGCGGTCACCGGTGGTCATCCTCGAGCTGAGCTTCAAGTGCTAAGGTTCGTCCTGGCCAATCGTCCCGGCTTCCCCTTCCTCGGCAACGACTTGCTTCGCGAGGTCCACGGAACAGCAAAACGCTGGGATGACGACAGCTGTGGACACAAAGCCGCAAGCTTTAGGGGAGCCAGTACTGTATGACCAGGTCGAGGGGTGCACACCTAAGTCGAAGCCTGGAGCTGGGGCTCTGCGCCGGGCTCTCATAAGACTCGGAAGAAGCTCGTCGCCGGGAGGCGGATGTGTTTTCGGTCTTCTGCCTTGACAACCCAGCGTCTCGGCAACATGTTGGGCAGGGAGCGAAAGTGTTCATGGTTGTCTCTACATCGGAGGGCACGAAGTTCATGTTGCTTGCAGTGTGGAAAGTCAGAGTCAAGAGGTCTTTGTGTCGTTTGAGTCTGCGTGTGTGCCCCAGCTGCCGGACTCCTCCAGCCAAGTTTAGGCATAAGATTCCTAGGGGTGAATGGCCGCCGTGCGTATAAGAAGTGCTTGTCGGATATTGATGCTTATTGCAGATTCTTTCGCGTGACATCCGGCGATTGCGCGACATCCACTGCATGCGTTGTCGCGATGCTGTAAGCCTAGGTAGTATTGTTAGGGAGACCCCTTAACGGGTACCCCTTCTGAACCCTACTTCTGTCCCCCTAATCCTAGCTCCCAAAGCCCTCGCTTGGAGCTCAACCCCCGGAGCCCTGGCCCTGAACCCCGAATTGGACCTTTCATGAACCTTCAACCCCACTGGTACTTGTAGTCCGGCTGCAGTGGCAAAAGGGCATGAGGGTTCAACAAAAAGACAAGGATGCCACGTCCGAGCTGCAGCTTGCCAGGGCAGTAGGCCGGGACCCCAGCCTTTCGAAGAGTCTCGGTCTCGGGCGGATGGTGAAGACGTTGGAGATGTCGGGGCAAGATTTCAAGAATCTCTTGACTATCTAAAGAGTTCATAGTGTTGCAGCATTGCAGTCGCAAGTTTTGCTGTTGGATGGGTTCTATGACTATCCTCCTTCGACTATCTCTAGGTAGAGGAAGGTTGAGGTGCGTGGAACCCAACTTCCAAGATCGCAAAAGACTTAGAAGTCTTGGGCGTTTTTCTGGCCTAAGTGCGGACCTTCAGGGTACTCCGTGCCTGCATTACTCAATCTCGGCTCGTCTCACTGCGGCTTCAAAACGCGATGAGAGTCATCACAGGGGACAACTAGTATAGAGTACGAGGATCACGGCATGAACATGCGTGGCACACTGCAGGGTGAAGGTCATACTGGCCATGTGACGGCCTACACCGTGCCGAATGTCCAGGCCCCAACGTGCCCGACGGCCTCCTGCGCACGCTGGTCGCCCTTTTTGCTGATCTGCGCTTGGCTTTGGAGGCGGGGTTCAGGTCCTTGAGGCAACGTCCGGAGGAGGACGTTGCTGTTTTGAGTTCTATACTACTTCAGCATTGTCGTTTCATCTGGCAAGATGCGAAAGAGGCGTGCAAACAGTTCGAATGGTCGCAACGAATGGCATCGACGTATCGACGTATGTTGTCTGCACAGCAAATCAAATGCCCTCAGCCGGCTCCAGTAGTAGAGTTCTACTGCAACTGCAGCTACTAGTTACGCTTGCGATGATAATCAATTCTTGCTACTGCTACTGTTATGTTTACGACTCACGATCGTCACACCACTAGCTACCACATGAAGTGTTTATGTGTATGCGATGTTTATGATGATGTTGGCTCTTGTTCGTGAGCTGCCCTGAGGACGGCCGCTTGCAGCACCTCGGCCATACATACCCGATCGGGGATGGCTTCTGCTTCCTTCTCCACGTTCTGGAGACTCGCTGCTTCAACTTCCATCACACTCCTCCGTAGTAGGTACATACTTTTGGATCTTCGGGCTGCTACTCTATTGATTCCGCCAGACATACTGGAAATCCTTGTCAAGATTCAAACTGCACCTTCAGCCAACCGTATGGAAGAACAAGAGATGTGGTTAGCCATAGTCCCCGAAACCCAAAACCTCACATAGACCGATGCGAAGTACCGGTGTGCAACCCTTTGAATCGAACAGCCAACCAAACAAAGCATGGACCCTCGAACCAGACGAGCCCTAGGTACCCCTACAGTGCTCGCGAGCTGCTAGCAGTGATCCGGCACCTCGCAACTCGGAGCTCCACTTGGCGACTTGTGTTCAGTTTTCAGCCCCGAGATGCCCATTCGACATTTGCTGTACCCATGGACTGAAATTTGTCCTGCTCAGCTCCATGAAGCGCAGCCGAAGCCTCCTATGGCAGCGGTGGTACTAGCACCTGCAGTCATAAGCAATCTCGGAACAGAAGGCACTACCTCCAGAAGCACGATCATCGTCACGCATCGTCATGATTACCATCACCATCATCATCATCATCAATCATCATCGTCAGCAACAGCAGCAGATATCAGCAGCACAATTGCGTGTGAGACTTGGCAGATACGGCACGGTTCCGACTTGCTTCACCACCCCCCCCTTTCCGGCCCCAAGGAAGAAGACAAACCTGAGTTCGCCGTCATCACTGACCCCAGGCGAGCTGACCACAATGCTAAGTCTGCTAAGTTTAAGTATGGCAGCGTTATGGTAGTGCTGGTAGTACTAATACTACTATTACTACTATTACTATTGTTACTAGTATGGGGCATGTGGGCCTTCAGGCCATGCAAAACCGAGCCAAGGAGCGCTTTCACAACGAGCCGCTGGAGGAGGCTGGCACCGGGCGCAAGCGTAGCGGTTTTTATCAACTAGGGTAAAAGCCAGAAAGTTGGAATATGATTATCCTAAACCATTTATGGTAAATTAGAAGTATCCTGCCCTGAAACCATATTCCAACTTTCTGGAGTTCCCGCAGAGGTCCTCTGCAAGGCCACGAAACCACCAGAACCGCCACCAGCACCTTCATGGCCAATATTGGCGCAAGCGCCGTACCCTAGCCATGATCACCATGGTTATCTATCCCGTACCAATTTGAAGATCTTGCCGCTAGATCTTCTTGCCCTTTTCGATTCCTGCCATAACTGCTCCAGTACTACCATGGAGCATGCATCGACAGTCTGCTCACGCGATGGCAGCCGACGGCCCGCGACTTGAAATCTATCAGCGACACATATGCCGACGCCTGCAGCGGCTATGACAGCTGTAACAACGGTAGGAGTGCTGCCGTGGTTTAGGGTTTGAGTGCATGGGTCACGACCGGACATGTCACACGAGCAGGACATTTATGGTACGCTATTGGTCAAGCAGGTATGACCCACACGCACACTCACAAACACACACACACACACACACACACACACAAGCAATCACTTAGTCCTGGATTCCTACCGTCGTAGTAGTGAAGACTCCTTCGTCCGGAACCCATGAAGCTTAAACCCCTTACTTCCCAAAGCCCTCTCCAGTTCCGGACTTCCCTGAGGCCCTAAACGGCCCTACTGCCTAAACTTCTCTCGGGTCGTCCCCGTAACTCCCAAATTTGTGGCCCGCAGTCCTTGACAAAGGCCCCGCACACTTGGGAGTTTCCGAAAATTAAGGTACCTTATGTTGGGGTCCTTATAATAAGGATCCTACTATTTAGGGTGCTATATGAGGGTCCCCTGTTTGCGGAATCTCCCATTTTGAGCCGAAGGCCCTGAGCTCTGTCTTGGCCTTCGACCGCTTCGATGCTTCGCTTCGGGAGGTGCGGTGCTCGCAGCCTCCACTTACCTTCGGTTAGTAGGGAATGGAGGAAAGGGGTACGATTATAAGTACTATTACTACCATTCTTAAGTCCAGGGAGAGAAAATACTGGTGAGCAGTAGTCGCTATGCAGCAATAGAGTACTCGCTACAGCATGAGGATTGACTTCGATGTTAAGTGAGAGTCAGTAGGAATAAGACTATATTCGTCAACTGAAGGAAGACGAAAGAAGAACCGTTGCAAGAACAGTCTAATCACATTCATACACGTGTAGGCTTGGGGCTCAAATTCAGGGTTTGTGGTTTGAGTGTATGACTTTGTGTGCATTGGCTGGGTGCATTTGTCGATGAAGATGGTACTCGTATAGTGCTTCCCCCTGTTGCACGCTTCAAAACACCGGATACTTGTAGCTCACACCCGAAGGCCCTCTGTAGTGAACATTCGATCAGCATGGCAACAACAGGAATAACTGTGTTGTGCAGGCTCTGCGGCCCATTCTCGAGCGCCGCGGTGTTTCGAGCCTGGCGGTGCTAGGCAAGGTGGAGAGGACGCAAATGGAATGCATGCGAGATGGTGCACCGGCATGCCCTACGTACCTTCCATGAAATCGCTCAAAGATCAAGTGCCCTTACATCTTATCTTTGCGTCCAGGCCCTGCAAGCGGTGACGGCGGCCACTTGGCAGCGCAAATGCCAACGCAAGCAGAAAGGCAGTTCTAGTAGGCGCAACACCCCACGAGAGGAGAACATAGGAGAACGTGAGGCTGCAGTAGACGTAGATCCCTGTGCGCGGCGCAGAGGTCCAGCTCCAACGCCCGCACAGCCTTGGCTTCGTGCCCTCGAGGAGCGCTCGGTCTGAAGCCCCGGAAGCTCTGCAAAGCCATGTGTTTTTTTTGTGCAGGTGCTCCGCTCTGCACGCCTTGCGCGCTCACAGCGGCTGTCAAAGGAGCGGTCTAATTGCATTGTTGCAGACGACGGAACTGATTTGGATGATTCTTGCGGGGCGGGGGTGGGGGCAGCGTGCATGCAAGCTGCAGCACGAACATCTCTTCCTTGCCATGGCTTGCGGTGCAACTCTGCCGTGAGTGACAATTCTGCCAGAGGCTGCCCCGATTGTAGTTGGCCCTTGGGGGTGTCCATGTCTAAGGATTCAGCCTTTCTCAGCATCCAAGTCAGAGGTCCGTCACAGGGAGACCACTCCCAAACCCCTAGCCGCACTAGCCGTTTTGCCGGCCTCTATCCGAAGTTTGACAGGAGCCTGCTGGCACCTGGCAGGTCAAGGAGCTCTTGGACTATGCGAAGGCCGGGGTAAAGAAATTGCACCCTCCTTCCATGAAGCTCCTGATCTATCTTTCTACTACCTGGTACTACGTTCTACTGACTTGTTACGAAGTCTACGATTAAACATGAAATCCCTAAAGCCTAAACTCTTTAAAGGATCCCCTACTACCCGATACTACCATCAATTATTGTGAGAGTATACGTACAATTACTATGTTTATTGTTCTTATTATCATTTAAATTATCCCGATTCGTCTTCTTCTCTGAAGTCTTAATGCGATTATTATTCTTGTTATTGCTCTTGTTGCTATTGTCATTATTAATTTTCATGTTTACTATTGTCATTATTTGTATGACTGTTGTTGTTATAGTATTATGACTATTACCTGATGGTTGTCAGCTCTTTCGTGGGCGTAGCCTCGACGCTTTCCCTGGAGGAGCTGCAGAGCCCCGAGCCGACGAGGGACTACTACGAGGTGAAGCCTCGTCCTTACGAGCTCAATACGTACTATCACCGAATATTGCATAGTATATAATTTAATATCGTACAACATCAAGAATATACGGACTCTAATAATATAATATAACGTAATAGTATATATGGGTGGTTGTCAAAATTAGGGTCCCTTTTTCATTATTGGGTACCCTAAGTATTAGGTGCCGTACTATAACCGGGACCCCAAAAGCGACCCTAATTTAGACAACCACCCATCTTGTACAATTTAATATTGTACAACATTAATAACATAACGGCCCGGAGTATAATAGAAGATAATGCGATTTGACATGATGGTATATAGAGTATTCTATAATGTGCTGTAATATGATGTGCTACAATGCCCCACCTCCCTTGGGACGGCACTGCTTCAGTAGTTCTGGCATGTGGGCCTTCTTGAATCCTCTGACTGAGGGCAAACCGCGGTTGTTATTCCCCCCAGCCTCAGTACATGTCCTCCCTGGTGCTATGTTTCTTTTGCGCACAGAATGGTACTAGGTCTTCTATTGGCATCACCGTAGAGGTGTTTGTACTGAGGACGCTGCACTTGCGTTCTAGTGAGTCTAGTGTCTATGTTTCTTGCGCTTGCTTCGACAAGCTTGTTCTTATCATTGTTCGTGGCCTTATCAGTTACTGATACTGCCTGCGCCCTGATCCGACTGCTTTTCCTGCCCGTCCCAGGCTTCGCCCGGCCATCCTGGACCCGGCGAAGGCAGTGCCCCTGGCAGAACTGGCCTTCGACCGTGCCTCGGCCTCGCACGTTGCGGGCCTTGGGCCTTGGGATGCCTTGGGGCTTTGAGGTTTGAGAATTGAAGATTTCCCGACGCTTTGGGACTTTGTAGGCCCAGCGAGGCTTGGGGTTTGCGGCTTCCGGAGTGCAGGGGTGGAGCTCGGGCTCGGGATAAGGCCATATAGTGGAATCGCATCTAGAAGTGCACACGTCATTGAATTCAACCTGCTTCAGATTCAGCATGTTCAGGGCCTAGCTGAGGTGACTTGTGAGCGGGGTTGAGAGGGTTGCAGTTCACACAGTCGCAAGAAGCCGGGCGCTCCAGCGGGACCTGTTTGAGCCTCTTGAGGCAGCGGTGGCTCCTTCGACGAGGGGCTTTGTCGCGCGCGGCTCCCCCTAGGCCGCCACTGTGTGGCAGATATGCGGTCCTGAAACAGAAGTCCAAAGGCAGTTACTGCAGGGTCCACGAAGTGTCAGCTATTGCTATGTGGATTGTGATTTCATGCGTAAAGAAAAGCACCCGTGGTACCTGCAGTCAAGACCCGCATCTCTTCTGAAGCACTCAAACCCCGAAGCTTTAAACCCAAGCTTAAGTTCTAGACTTCACAATGTTCAAGACCTTTCTGGCACCATCCAAGGCCACTCTGGGGGTGTGGTGGATGCAGTCGCTGATGGATCCACATTGCATCTTCTTTCCACAGGCGTGGGGCTCGGTCGGTGCCGGGGTGTGGTTGTTCATGTCCGTAAGCTGCTCGTAAGACGTTCCTGTCAATCCCCACTCATTGCAGATGGTAGATGGTGGGCAACCGCTGCTTGTAATGAAGCCTTCATCGTAATTGCTGGCGAGAGAAAGCTGGGCTAACAGCTTGAACCTTCTCATTCCTGAGAGCTGATCATCCGGACTTATCCAATTTGCAAGCAATAACAGAGGAGATCGCAGATGCCTGGCTTCGCAACAAGACAGACCTCCGAGAGGCACCAAGCTAGCCCGAACACTACCAAGCACCTTTCCGAGGCCCGTTGTGCATTTGGTCAGTCGAGGCTGGAACTTCCCCATGGCACCGGTGCTCTTCTCTTCTTCGGTTTCGGGCTCCATAGGCTTTCGGAGGCTTCTAGACTTAAGGAGTTCAAAGCCAAAGCCTTGGAGGTTTGAGAATAGCCACCACTCGTCCAGTGGTCCGTCGAAGCTCAGCAATAAATCTGGCAAGCCTTTGCGACTGCTGAAAAGCGAACCCAAGCAAGCCAATCAGAAACCACGAAACAGGAGATCCTCAACCGGCATCCCATACAGCCAATACATGATGCTCACCAGTACAGTAAGTTCGTCATTCCTGTCTGTATTCTGACGACAAATCGCGCATTTTACTCTGTACTCTCGTCACTGCTTTCCTTGAAGATCCGTCCAGGATCCCCATGCCCTGGGCGCCGACGCGGGTCGGTGCTCACTTCTCCAGGTGCCCGATCAAGTGGAGAGCGAGAAGGGGCTAGTGGGGTTTCAGGACTTATTGATGTCTGCAGTTGCGGTGTGGGGTTAAGAGTTTGGGAAATGAGGCATGGGATGTGGACGCAAGACTTTCGGTGCTGACGGGATGCACAAGCTGGAAACTGGGTGCAAGGTGAACGCGGCATTGGTATTCATTCTACTCTTCTCAGCCCAGTGAGTTCGAGGAATGGCTCCAGTCTGAGAGCCCAGCTTCGAGGTAGACTCCTTGCGACAAGAAATCTATGAAAGCTCAAAACATCATCTACTTCAACGGCTCATTTTGGGCAGCAGCCACGTGCCACTCACTGTCTCCACGGCAACCTGGAAGAGTTCCACGCTAGCCGACAGCACTATTGTTGCAACTGGCAGCATTACTCACCTTCGATGGTTGCACGAGGCCATCCCTGAGAATCCCTGAGACCTCTGAGCCTCGGAGATGCCTGTCGAAGCTTCGCGTCAATCTAAAGACAGGCCGCTTCTGCACCATGTCCTGCTGCTCAGCTGGCCTAGGCGACGAGTCAATGAGACACCGTCTCTTTCAAAGCGCCTGATCTTCTCCATCACAGCGGGAGAACACGTTCACAAAGACGATGTTGCAGATCCGAATCACGCCTGAATATTCCCACGGTGCAATTTTCCGGCCCGGCCTCCAGAAAGCAGAATCGGCCCAGCATCTGCACAATGTTTGCAGACACTGAGTCGATGCTTCTGTTGTTCGCCGCGCTTCGTCCTGCCAGGACGAAGCATGCAGGAAAGGCTGTTTATCCGCGAGAAACCACTGATTAAGTGTCATTGAGCTGATAGAGTTGGCATCGGTCAATCCTGGTTGAAATCGTCGTGGTCACGCCCCAGCTGAGAATCTTCGCCTTCGTCAAGGGCGCCGGTCCTCCATGGTTCGTCGCGGCACGAGCCCCCACTAACTATTGATTAGCTGACTTGTTAAGGAAACGGGCCGGCACAGGTTTCGTAACCGTGGCTAGCTAGTCGTTCTCACACGCAAATTCTGAAGCACTGCAACAAGAAGAAAGGGCAGTTGTAAGAGAATCCATGGTGAATTAATTCCAAGAGCCTTGGCGCAGGCATTGCAGGTCGACTGTTGTGCTCTGGGATGCGCTTGACTCATGCCTACATCCTATTGTCAAAAGTGGAGACTTTGGATCAACTCTGCTTCCCCTAAACCCTAAACCCTAAACCGTGAACCCTAAACCCTGAACCCTAAACCCTAAACCCTCAACCGCATCATGCCAGGTGGGTCCCAGCGCGGATTGGTCCTTGGCCATGGCAGTGCGTGAGACGATGCTGAGCAAGGCGCGCCCTCCGCCAGCCTTGGATCTTCGATCGTGCGCCTTTTAAACGTTCCGAAAAGCAGAAATTCAAGCCCGACCTGCCGGGAAGTGCAACACCGGTAGGTCTCCAGGGTTTTCAGAAAGCCCTGAAGCTTGAAGTTCAATCTTCAGGATTCCGCAGCCTTGCATGGCACCAGGTTTGTCGAGTTATTCAGCCTTGCTCTTCGGCGGGAGTTCAGACGGGGGAGTTCAGACGGAATATCATGCTCAGAGCACTGATTTGTTAACGCAGCTGGATCTTGAATCAGATGTTGATTGCGTGCATCGTCTCTGGCTGAAGCTGCACAGCACCAAGATGCTGCATTCTTGAATTAGGAAGTTCCGGATCTGAGCAGGGCTCGACGAGCTGATGGTTGCGTATGTGTCGGGTTTAGAGGCGTTGCGACTGTTTCGGGGTGGCCCAGATAATTCACAGCGCCCTTTCCATGGATTCTCGCCTGGGACGTTGCAGCTCCAGGGATGTTGTGGAGCGCAACAAGGCCATATCGACATGCAGGAAGCAGTCCCTTTGGCAGGACGCCTTGATTCTTCTCCATGGCTTTCAAGATGTGACCCTTGAGCCCACTGTTGTTTCTTACAACACGGCTATGACTGCCTGTGGTAAAGCATCTCGCTGGCTTGAGGTGCTGGAACTCTTGGAGATGTGCGGGGAACAAAGGATACCAGCAGATGTCATTACCTGCAGTGCTGCCATCAGTGCATGTGAGAGGGCAGAGAAGTGGCAGGTGGGTCTCTTCCTGCTGCAGAACCTGGAGAGCTGGGGAGTAAGAGCAGATGTGATCATCATGAACTCGGCGATAAGTGCCTGTGAGAAAGCAGGCCACTGGCATCAGGCACTAGAGCTACTCTCCAGTTTTGGCAAGCACAGTGGGCTTCAGCCCGATGTAATCTCCTACAATGCCACCATCACTGCCTGTGAGAAGTGTGACCAATGGCAGCTTGCCATGCATTTATTCGGCGAAGTTAGAGACAGGGAGCTGCAGCCCAGCATCATCACCTACAATGCCGTGCTGAGCGCCTGCGACAGGGCAGCTCGGTGGGAACAGTCTCTTGCTTTGCTGTGTCAGCTCGAGGAAGAGCGGCTTCGATCTGATGTGATTACATACAACGCTGCCATGGGTGCTTTGGCCAGTGGCGAGATGTGGCAGCATTCGCTGCAGCTGATGGAGACAATCGAGTCGAAAAAGTTGCAGGCAGACATTGTCACATACAGTTCTGCAGTGACGGCATCCGAAAGGGCCTCTGCGTGGCAGCAAAGCTTGCTAGTGCTTTGTGAAGCTTGCAAGCGTGGTTTGAAACTGGATGTCGTCATTTTCAATGCCGCAATCAGCGCATGTGCGCGGGCTGCTGAGTGGCAGCAGGCTGCAGGGCTGCTGCATGCCATCCAAGACAGATCGCTTCGGCCGACCGCATTCACCTGCAGCTCTCTCGTGAGTTCCTTCGACAACGCAGCAGACTGGAAGGGTGCACTTGAGGTGTTGCAAGCGGTTGCTTCATGGGCTGTGAGCCCCGACGTAGTCGCGCACAATGCCGCCATCAGCGCATGCGAGCAATGTGGCAAGTGGCAGCAGGCAGTATTTCTGCTGGAGACCCTTCCATTGCAGATGCTACAGCCGAGCATCATCACGTACACTGCGACCATCAGCGCCTGCGAGGCGGCCTCCGCCTGGCAGCATGCCTTGGAACTCCTACAGGAAGCCCATGGAAAGTGCCAGGTGAACTTGATCGGCTACAATGCGGCCATCGGAGCCTGCGCGCGGGCGGCCCGCTGGGTCGAAGCGCTGCAGCTCTGGAGGGAGGTTGGCACTTCGGGAAGCGCCAGGGCTCTGTTGCCTCTGTTGCTAGCTACTAGAACTGGTACTGTAACACGCAAACATGGCATTGGCAATTGGGAAGTAAGACCGGAAGAAAGCCATGCGCTCCATTTTGCACACCTGCCCAGGTGGAGGCCAAGGGGCTCGAGCCCACGATTGCCACTTGCCAGGCCACGATAGCGTCTTGCGAACAAGCCGCTCGACACTTCGATGCTCTGCCGCTGCTGCGGAGAGTGTCTTTGATGATGAGAAAAAGGAATCCGAAGCTGCTGCATGCTGGGCGGACTTGCGGTCATCCTTGTTCGCAAACACCACCCCATCCTTGCTATGACTGCAAGTAGTTTGAGTCCGTGGCCTGCCCTGTTGACGCATAGTTGCCGAGATTATAACTGGTGTCCCTTGATGACCAGCACACGCTGTCCCGGCCCTGAATATCCCCGGCTTGCAAAGCCGTTCGAAAGGACTCCGTGTCGGCAAGCTCGTACTGAGACCTTGCAATCTGGAGTGTCTATTCCGTCTCGACTTACAGTCTGTGCACACGCATGCAATCGTAGGAACACCATCTTGCCGTACCGTGATCGAGCTGCCAGGTCGCGCAGGGCTACCGGGGTATCGTCGTGAATGGCCGCCCCCTGGTCCCGCGCCGTAGTTGTTGGCAAGAAGCGGCGAGGGCAGTAGTCGATCCGAGACGCCTCAAATCTTGTTGTGCAGGGTCTAGTGACGGGCTGGGGCAATCGATCTGTCGAAGGCTACTTTTCCCATAGACGAGCGACTAGCATCATTCAGGCCTGCTTATTGCTGGACCCTCTTCAGATCTCGAGAACTCCAAACTTTCACGCCTTCCGTCTCCTTCGTTCTCCTTCCCTCGGCAACACACTGACCACGACAGCCCGACACCGCAGAGTAGACCAACACATGCATTGCGTGTTACTGTACAAGTATCGTACGACATTGTCAGTTCTACTACTCTCTACTACACTGCTTTGGTATCCACTAGCCCTTCCAGGTGCTACACGGTTACAGCACAGCATGTGGCTGTAGGCACTATACTATGCATGATAATCGAACTACGACTGCGACTTGGTCTTACGGATGTTGCGCACTTCGTGACTATCATGATGACGTGGGGACCCGGTTACAGTTGCTCCATGCGATCTCGTACGTGGCTCAAGACCCAGGTATACGCACACACACACACACAATCCGTGCAAAAAAGCCCAGTGGACATGAAACATTGGAGCACCCTGAACCCACAATTGACAAGCAAGATATCGGGAGCTTCAACCATTTTGCACCAACCCCAGCTGTCTAAAGAAATGCAAAGACATTGGACAGCCAGGCCCTGGGTTGCCCACAGCTCGGCCGAGTTCCCGGGGTAGCTTGGCTTGCAACGGAAGTCGGTGCAGGGTTCGGGCAGGGTTTGAGCTTTAGGGCTGTAGCTCTGAGGGTAGAGGCTCAGCCTTTAGACGGAGACATCATGTTCTTTTGGCTTTGGTGGTTAATGAAGAAGCCCGAGCAAGCACAAAAAAACCGCTGGAAGGCAGATGCGCTGCTGTTGCACTCGCCGCTGGAGAGCTGGGATGTCGCTTCTTGCTTCGGACACATTATATAGTATAATAATAAATAAGTATATATATATATATAATATTATGTATATGTCCCCAAACCCCGATCTGCTAGTGAGGGCACATTGCACAGCGAGGCAAGCCTTCAGCTGCCGTGTGCTTTTGTTGTGGCCTGGCAAGTCGCTTAGCTGCCAGCCCCTGGCATCTCTAGTACCTGACAGTGACAGAAGTAGAGAAACTTCCCGTCACCCACGGGCCCCAAAGCCTTGAAGAACACTCATGGATGCTAGAGAGACGACTTCGAGCCCTTATAGACCCCTTTGAAGGAACCCTTAAAGGAACCCGCGAAGATCGCAGGATGCCTTGGCCCCACAGCTGCTCATTGAACGACCCTCGGAACCGGTCATGCGTGCCTCGGAGCTGATACGGTTTAGGGGTTTAGGGGCTTAGGGGTTTAGGGTTTAGGGGCTTAGGGGTTTAGGGGCTTAGGGGTTTAGGGTTTAGGGCTTGGGCTAGGTTAGAGCGATGGGTTGTTGGTCTCGGGCTTGCGGTTTTGGGGTGCAAGAGGCATTGGTATGACGATCATGCTGGATTCCAGGATCAGATACTTGTGCATTTTGAGTATTGTGGACCTGGCAACACGTTCAGCTCAGACTTTGGCGAGGAGCTGCAGCATGGTGGCATACCGCGATTTTGGAGCTGTTGCGGTGACTGAGCCACAAGTTGTGCGACGAAGGTGCCTATGCCTTGCATGCCCAGCCCCTGCAGCACGATGCGGCAGCCACCGCACGCATCCGGCCGACAGCCGAAGACTGCGACTGGGCTTCGCTGAATAACACATCGGCACCTTCTGAGAAGGGTGAAGATAGACTTGAGTTCTGTCTTGTCCATCAGTCTACCATACCTTCGCTTCCGAGCCTCGGAGATAGATTCAACTCAGGCTTTGTGATGGTGGCGCCGAACTGGGATGATCAGCAGGACCACCCGGCTTGCTGGAAAGAAGTCCGAACTATCACGCGGGCAGCAGTAGGCTGCATCACCGTCTGTCGCCGCTGGAGTGAGTTTGACAGATGTGGCGTGGGTTTTCCAAGGCAAGGGTCTCTATTTCGTGGGGCCCCTTTACGTGGTGAATCTGCCTTTGCGTTGCAGAGTACAACCTGAGATAGATTGACGCTGACCGGTGGGGCCAGGCCGGACGGACCGTGGTTGACGGCCCTGTCCTTGACCTCGACGAGGCGGGGATGCACGAGGGACAAGCCACAATAGACGCTAACTGCCACCTTCCTATCCGCATGATACTCAAACCGTGGAGGTGTTCCCTGCCCCAGGTGCAAGCTGCAGTCGGGGCGAAGCCGTCTGCATGGCGCCAAAGCATCTCCTTTGCAATTAGATTTCGGTGGCCCATGCAAGGACGCTTCCTGTGATTTCATACTAGATTACGCTTCACTGTACTAGATTACGATTCACATCTTCCGAGTTTCGCAAAGCGAAAATCTTCGTTGTCAGACCGAACTATTTCTGGGACACCGGCGGAGCATGCTCATCTTGGTGGAAGAAGATCGCCTGTTGCTACTACTGCTGCGTCGCCACTGTTGACTCCCTGGTGCTTAGCAGGGAATGGGAGAATGGGTTATGGGGACTACTATAGGGGATTATATAGGGATTACTATACGGATCCATTCCCCCCATTCCCTACTAAGCACCCCTATAGTAGTCCCTATAGAATCCCCTATAGTAGTCCCATGTAGTCCCCGTAATCCATTCCCCCCATTCCCTACTAAGCACCAGGGAGGTCTGCAGAGCCCCACAGCTGAACGCCAGCATCAGCTGGGACACTGTTGGCTCGGCCTGGTGGGGTAAGGCCTGCCACGGCTTTCAGGCAGTATAATGTAGGAACCTGATTAAGAAACCCTGAGGCCTCGGGCCTGTAACCCCAAAATAGGGTAGGGTTCCGAAAAGAACCCTAATAAAGGCCCGCCTGCCGCATGGGGAAACGGCAGTCTCTCGAGAATAGAATGGTCCCACATTCGTGCGGCCTCATCGTAACGGCGCCAACCAAACCGCTCAAATAACCAATTACAGCAATCGAGGGGGCCATTGAACCTGACTCAGGGCTGTAGAGCTTCACCTTGGTGCACCGGAGGGGTGTGTCCGAAGCCGGTGCAAAGGCTGCTACGGCATATGAGTTTATTGAGTTTTTTGCTAATGAGTGCCGATGCTACAAGGCGATTAGCGATTAGGATGTGGTCATAGGTTTTGTACCAATATTCCAGCCATGCTTTTTCTGTGTTCACATGACGAGAATTTGTGATTTGTCAGGTACTGCCACTCCGATCTTCGCCCCAACGAATGCCACTTGTCCTGGTAAGCCGGGCCCAACACTTTCAAGACTTCGGGAAGCGGAAGGAACGGGTAGAGGTATATACCCTTAATATAGCCATTATATACCCATTATATAGCCCATTATAGGGTAGGGTGTGTGCCAGGTGAGGACCGTCATGCTACCCAGTTGCAGAGTTAAAGTGCGAGCAGAGATCAGAAATGGATGGTGGCTCATCGGTCACATGTGGTTCAGATACAGTTCAGTCTGCATTGAGTCTGCTATTTGTTCTGGGTTCTCGGTTTGCTGCGAAATCTGGGTCCTGTACCCTCAGGCTCCATAGTAGTTCCTTTTGGGGTGCATATTCAAACTCCTGTAAGGTGATCCCAACAAGGAGCTACTATAAGAGTGACTTTGCGATCCATGGCTCTGGAGCAGAACCTGCTCGGCAAGCCCTGCATCAATGCATGTATAACCATAATACAGAACAACATATAACCAGAATATATAACCTGAGCATATAAACCCAACAAAACTCTATAGATCTCAGGTTATGATTTTCTTCCAGCCAAAGCGCTGGCGTGTAGTCCAAATGGACCTTGTGCGATCCATGGCTGCACCTTCCGGAATTCGTAGGCCGTTTAGGTATTCGTGCACAAAGCGCTTGTTTGCCTGCGGAAGATCCACGTCTTTGTGAAGTTGAGATGCGTGTAAACACAGCAACGCAGCAGCACACTGGCAAGATAAGTCCATCCATTCATCCATCCATCCATCCATGCATGCCACGTGTGCATGCACCTTAGAAGTAATTACTGTTTCTAGTTTCATGCTGGCATGCATCAAGCGAGGCAACGCTTTCCTCAAGGCACTGTTGGAAACTAGGCTACTCAGGCTCCATGCAGTATCTTCGCAGGAGATGTTGTCGAGTCGCAAACCTTGCCACGCCGCGCACTTCCTAGATCTGCGGGAATGCCAAGCAGCCCGAACCCTAAACTCTCAAACCCGCCCTCCACCCCGAAGCCTCAAACCTGAAACACCCCTGGCTCCCCTTGCCGCAAGGAGAGCGCACTCGCGAGGTCTGGTTGGAGCGGGCCCTGCCTGAAAGTTTAAAGAGCAGATGGATGAACAGCCCTGGACCCGCCGCCTGGTTTATTTCGGATTCTCTTGCGCGGTTTCGTTTCAGCTTTGGGGGTTGCGGCTCTCAGCTCGCATCTCCGTGGATGCGTTCCCTCCTCTGTCCCTGGCCTTCCATAAGCATTTTCTTCTGTGAGGATAGGGAGGCTTCTCAGAAGGGTACTTCTCAGTGTGTTTAACCCTATTCAACAATATTCAGAAATGTTTGAATTTCTGCTTAAATATTCGGAAATATTACGTTTTCTTCGGTAAACTTCCATAATATTCTTCATTCTTCCAGGTTCTTCACCATTATTCTTAGATCTTCGTAAATCTTCGAAATTATTCGAAATTATTCGAAACTATTCGAAATTATTCGAAATTATTCCAAATTATTCCAAATTATTCGTTGTATCTGCGGAGAACTTCAAACACTTTTCTAGACCATTCTTCTCAGATCTTCGTAAATCTTCGAAATTCTTCGAAATTCTTCCAAATTCTTCGTTGTATCTGCGGAGAACTTCAAACACTTTTCTAGACCATTCCTCTTAGATCTTCGTAAATCTTCGAAATTCTTCGAAATTCTTCGTTGTATCTGCGGAGAATTCAAACACTTTTCTAGACTTCTGCTTGTTTCCCCCAGCTGAAACCGCCAGCTCGCACCCTGTTCGGAAATACATATCCTATAGGAAATTACAATTCGCACCGTTGTTTTTCTTGGATTCCAAGCACAAATCCTATGGGAAATTACAATTCGCACCCTGTTCGGAAATACATATCCTATGGGAAATTACAATTCGCACCCTTGTTTTTCTTGGATTCCAAGCACAAATCCTATGGGAAATTACAATTCGCACCCTGTTCGGAAATACATATCCTATGGGAAATTACAATTCGCACCCTTGTTTTTCTTGGATTCCAAGCACAAATCCTATGGGAAATTACAATTCGCACCCTGTTCGGAAATACATTAAGTAGACTCTGTTTCTTGGCATCCAGGTACAGCATCCTATGGGAAATTACAATTCGCACCCTTGTTTTTCTTGGATTCCAAGCACAAATCCTATGGGAAATTACAATTCGCACCCTGTTCGGAAATACATTAAGTAGACTCTGTTTCTTGGCATCCAGGTACAGCATCCTATGGGAAATTACAATTCGCACCCTTGTTTTTCTTGGATTCCAAGCACAAATCCTATGGGAAATTACAATTCGCACCCTGTTCGGAAATACATATCCTATGGGAAATTACAATTCGCACCCGCTCGCACCCTGATTAGCGCTTGTGTTTCTTGGATTCCAAGTACAAATCCTATGGGAAATTACAATTCGCACCCTGTTCGAAAATACATTAAGTAGACTCTGTTTCTTGGCATCCAGGTACAGCATCCTATGGGAAATTACAATTCGCACCCTTCTTTTTCTTGGATTCCAAGCACAAATCCTATGGGAAATTACAATTCGCACCCTGTTCGGAAATACATATCCTATGGGAAATTACAATTCGCACCCTTGTTTTTCTTGGATTCCAAGCACAAATCCTATGGGAAATTACAATTCGCACCCTGTTCGGAAATACATATCCTATGGGAAATTACAATTCGCAGCCTTGTTTTTCTTGGACTCCAAGCACAAATCCTATGGGAAATTACAATTCGCACCCTGTTCGGAAATACATATCCTATGGGAAATTACAATTCGCACCCTTGTTTTTCTTGGATTCCAAGCACAAATCCTATGGGAAATTACAATTCGCACCCTGTTCGGAAATACATATCCTATGGGAAATTACAATTCGCAGCCTTGTTTTTCTTGGATTCCAAGCACAAATCCTATGGGAAATGACAATTCGCACCCTGTTCGGAAATACATATCCTATGGGAAATTACAATTCGCACCCTTGTTTTTCTTGGATTCCAAGCACAAATCCTATGGGAAATTACAATTCGCACCCTGTTCGGAAATACATATCCTATGGGAAATTACAATTCGCACCCTTGTTTTTCTTGGATTCCAAGCACAAATCCTATAGGAAATTTCAATTCTCACCCTGTTCGGAAATACATTAAGTAGACTCTGTTTCGTAACAACATGTTGTTGATTATTGTCGCATGTTTCAAAGCCGTGAACGCCGGGATGTGTAACAGTAAAAACAAGGAGCCTTGAGCCCTGAGCAAAAGTACTGGTAATTATTCCAGCTTCTTGGCTTCTATCTCATTGATGATTCGATGTTTATGATGATGACTATAACGACGTTCTATGTGGATGATAACAACGATGACTGATGATGGCCGATGCTGATTATGATGACGATTGTGAATATGTCGTTGGCGATGTGTATGATGATATGTGATGATGATGTTGATGATTATAAAACCTGGGTTCTACGAAGAAGACTAGGGCTATGAAGACGATGATGGTGGTTTGATAATTATGACGAGCATGATGATGGTTTTAATAATTATGGCGAGGTTGGTGATGACCTTAATGGCGATTCTTCATATATTTATATCTGTTTACAGATATTACATATAGGTAGACACACACGTATATACATACATGTGTATGTATATACATACACAAACAATATATATATAGATACAGACATGTATACATATATATATATATATATACAGACATGTTTGTGTATCTTCATATATATCTATATATACGCACCTATAAATATATACACATGCATGTATATACGTATGCGCAATTATGTATACATTTGTATGTGTGTGTAAATGAGTACATACATAGGTACATACATACATATATACATACATACATAGGCAGATACATCCATACATGCATACACACACATGCATACACACAGACACACACACACATAAACACCTACACATACGAACATACACACCTGCACACCCACACACACATGTACATACATACATACATACATACATATACATGCATACATACAAACATACATACATACACACGTATATACATACATCTAAACCCTAGGCCCTAAACCTAAGGCCCTAAACCCTAGGCCCTAAACGTAAGGCCCTAAACCCTAGGCCCTAAACCTAAGGCCCCAAACCCTAGGCCGTCAACCTAAGGCCCCAAACCCTAGGCCCTAAACCCTAGGCCCTAAACGTAAGGCCCTAAACCCTAGGCACTAAACCTAAGGCCCCAAACCCTAGGCCCTAAACCTAAGGCCCCAAACCCTAGGCCCTAAACCTAAGGCCCTAAACCCTAGGCCCTAAACCTAAGGCCCCAAACCCTAGGCCCTAAACCCTAGGCCCTAAACCCAAGGCCCTAAACGCAAGGCCCTAAACCCTAGGCACTAAACCTAAGGCCCCAAACCCTAGGCCCTAAACCTAAGGCCCCAAACCCTAGGCCCTAAACCTAAGGCCCTAAAACCCTAGGCCCTAAACGTATGGCCTAGGGGAGGGGGGGGGAGGGGCTGAAAATCGGGCAGCATTTCCTTCCCCCAAGCATGCCGGTAGAAAGGGGAAAAAAAGAGAAAAAAAAACAAACCTCAACCGAATAAAAGGTAGAAAAAGGTAGAAAAAGGTGTAGAAAAAGGTAGAAAAAGGTAGAAAAAGGTAGAAAAAGGTAGAAAAAGGTAGAAAAAAGTAGAAAAAGGTAGAAAAAGGTAGAAAAAGGTAGAAAAGGTAGAAAAGGTAGAAAAACGAAGAAATGGGGGATACCGTGTGTGTGTGTACAAATGAAAAAAAATGGTGTTGGGAACCAGGCATGTCTTGACAGACAGGCAGAAACCGGAAGATTTTGGAAGAAAATTGCAGAATTCCGACGAATCTAGAAGAATTTAGAAGAACTTAAAAGCATGCAGCAGTCTTACGTAGAACAGGGAAGACTACAAGGCTTGCTCCAGACACTCGCACCAAAAGCATTTGCATGAATTTTGCATAAAAAAACACAAAAAAAATTCCTCGCTTCGCGAACATCCATATTTGTTTTCAACTCTAGTACTCCACACACACTACAAGGCTTGCTCCAGACGCCAGACACTCGCATCAAAAGCATTTGCATGAATTTTGCATAAAAAAACAAAAAAATTTCTTCGCTTCGCGAACATCCATATTTTGTTTTCATTTGGTTTCGACTCTAGTACTCCACACACACTACAAGGCTTGCCCCAGACACTCGCACCAAAAGCATTTGCATGAATTTTGCATAAAAAAACAAAAAATTTCTTCGCTTCGCGAACATCCATATTTGTTTTCAACTCTAGTACTCCACACACACTAATTACAAGGCTTGCTCCAGATACTCGCACCAAAAGCATTTGCATGAATTTGGCATAAAAAAACAAAAAAATTTCTTCGCTTCGCGAACATCCATATTTGTTTTCAACTCTAGTACTCCACACACACTACAAGGCTTGCTCCAGACACTCGCGCCAAAAGCATTTGCATGAATTTTGCATAAAAAACAAAAAATTTCTTCGCTTCGCGAACATCCATGTTTGTTTTCAACTCTAGTACTCCACACACACTAATTACAAGGCTTGCTCCAGACACTCACACCAAAAGCATTTGCATGAATTTTGCATAAAAAAAACAAAAAATTTCCTCGCTTCGCGAACATCCATATTTGTTTTCAACTCTGGTACTCCACACACACTACAAGGCTTGCTCCAGACACTCGCACCAAAAGCATTTGCATGAATTTTGCATAAAAAAACAAAAAAAATTTCCTCGCTTCGCGAACATCCATATTTGTTTTCAACTCTAGTACTCCACACACACTACAAGGCTTGCTCCATACACTCGCATCAAAAGCATTTGCATGAATTTTGCATAAAAAAACAAAAAATTTCTTCGCTTCGCGAACATCCATATTTGGTTTCGACTCTAGTACTCCACACACACTAATTACAAGGCTTGCTCCAGATACTCGCACCAAAAGCATTTGCATGAATTTTGCATAAAAAAAAAAAAAATTTCCTCGCTTCGCGAACATCCATATTTGTTTTTAACTCTTGTACTCCACACACACTACAAGGCTTGCTCCAGACACTCGCGCCAAAAGCATTTGCATGAATTTTGCATAAAAAACAAAAAATTTCTTCGCTTCGCGAACATCCATATTTGTTTTCAACTCTAGTACTCCACACACACTAATTACAAGGCTTGCTCCAGACACTCACACCAAAAGCATTTGCATGAATTTTGCATAAAAAACACAAAAATTTCCTCGCTTCGCGAAC